ATACCACATGAGCGCTAACTGTAGCGCGGCTGTGCTATCACTCGCAAATTGGTCCATGCACACTATCAAGCTTGCATTTTTATCTCTGGTGACGACAGGACATGCCGCTGTAAACGAGTATGATAATGAAGAGTGTGAGTCTGCAGAAAATGCTTGGTATGCAGCATACCAAGGTTGACTCTGAGATCCAACAAGGGATCTCATACGATTCAGATCGGCCGTAGTGTGAAGAATGCCAGGATGGACCCACGCTGCAGTCAGGGCTGCAAAAGTGGTGATGTACAAACCTAGTAAGATGAGCATTTTGAACAGCAAGGACCCCTTTGACTAGAGAATAGTTGACAAAGTGCAGAAAACCCCCCAGCTGAGATCTTTTCTGAAGCAAGGGGCAGCCTAAATTAGAAGGCTTTATAGAGAAATCACGCGGGGTGTCTCCGTGCGAAAGTGAAGGCTCGCAGCAGGACCCATTTGGCGCTGAGATTAAGGTTCAGCGGCATGAAACTTGAAACGTCGACGGGAGACTTGGAGAGACTTCGGCTCGGTGCCCTAACAGAAATCTTATTAATATGCGGAGCAATTACCGGAAGAGCGAGAGTTCTGCGGAAACCGAATTTAGTTGGAATCAATTTATCCATCTCAATGATCTGCAGACCGTTATGCTTTTTCATCGCGAGGATTTTAGAATTATTGGAAGGTTTCCGGAAATTGGTCCGGTCCTTCTGTGAAAAGGTTGGTTTCGTGGAAGGTTGTCAGCGATTCCTCTTTGCTATCTCCTACCGTAGATTCAAACGTATGTAAAAACACTTCTGGTATTATGGCTCTCGACTGCATGACTGTCTTGGATGACCAGGCAAGCAAAACATAAAGGTGAGTTCCCGAGCAACTAATCGCTTGCTAGTAGTAAATTACTACTCCATACGCTGCAATAATCCCAGAACATGTCCAGCGGTTATCGCTTGTCACAATCAATACACAACTGGTTTTGGTCGGTATGGATCTTCTAGATACTTGACCTCATCATCTGATAATTGGAACGTTACAGCTTGAACTGCGTCATCAATGCGCGACGTGCTTCCTAGACCGGTGATCGGACACAGTCCTTTGCGGAGGCACCAGGCCAGAGCGACAATCGCCATCTTGACACCTCTCTTGGCCGCAACTTCAGTCACTCGGTCCACCACCTCCTTGTCTTCGAGAGTCTCGTGGCTTCGAACCAGGCGCTGGAGTAGCTTATCCGTCTGCTCGCGAGCAGTCTCTCTCTCTGTCCATGGATGGGCCAGCACACCACGTGCGAGGGGACTCCATGGTAGAATTCCAACTCCACTATCCTGGCAGAAGGGAATCATTTCTCGCTCCTCCTCGCGATAGAGGAGATTATAATAGTTTTGCATAGAGATAAATTTGTGCCACCCATTCTGCTCCGCTATGTTCTGCAGCTTCTGAAACTCCCATGTCGCCATCGAGCTTGCTCCGAGATACCGCACTTGGCCGCTTTCGACCACGTCGTTCAATGCCTTCATTGTTTCCATGAGGCTGACATCACGGTCTAGTCGGTGGATCTGCAGGACGTCAATGTATGTACCCAGCCTTTCCATACTCTCCGCGACAGCGGAAATGATGTGTTTGCGTGACAAGCCAACTCTGTTTACCAAGCCTTGTTTCTTTTTGTCCATCAAAGCCGCGATAGGACTCTGGCCGTCCGGGTCAAGCGCATAAAAGATCTTGGTCAGGATCACCACCTGTTCTCGAGGTATGTTGTAGACACGCAGGGCCTTGCCAATAATCTCTTCTGACCGACCGTTGGAGTACGCATCAGCCTGCGATCGAGAAAGCAATCAATGTCAAGAACTCCCCAAGGAAAGCCAAAGCTGATGAGGCTACCGTATCCCAAGTATTGATGCCCATGTCGTAGGCATGCTTCAGTAAAGGCAACGCAGCCTCCTCATTCAGGATCCATTCCTGCCAGCGTGGAGACCCGTAGCTGGCTGTCCCGAGGATAATCTTCGACACGTAAAGGCCCGAGTCGCCTACTCTATGGCGGCCACGTGCGTTAGCAACACATTGAGACTCTTTAGAGATCGAACCCTACCTTGTGTATTCCATCTTGTTGTCTTTTATCACAAATGTTGGATTGATGATCCAAAGTTCTTTTGGCGTCCCTTAATTTATTATCTTTCTGCTTACGTCCAAACACACTCAGGTGGAGCGGGTATGCGGACGATCTTCCGGACTTCAGCCCGGCTTCAATGAATACAGACTGAACAATATTTAAGTAACAAAGCTTGATGGAACTTGCGCAAGAACGGCACTTGTACTAGTAGTCATTTGTAATTCACATCCAGAAATCTACTTAGTCTCACAATGGATCATCCTCTTATCGTTGTCATTTTTGCATGTGACCAGCGCCGCACTGCTTACGTCTTGCCGCCACTATCCCAACGAACCATGCTTGCCATCAGTTAAGGACTGGGACCAGCTGAATCAAACTATATCGGGCCGGCTCATCCAGATTGTCCTGCTTGGTCAATTATGTCGTATCCCGATTTCAACAATAGCACCTGTGCAGCCCTGCGGCCTGAAATGGACCTTCCTAATATCTAGTAAAAATGCCCTCACGGTTGTCCTGCCCTTCTTCTCGGTATTGTCATTAAATAGGTGTCAAGTGATCGCACCCCTGCCGGCATTATGGTGCCCCCTTCACTAATAACAGTTGCAACTTTTAAACCCCAGAAACCGATCCCTGCCAACCGGGGAATTATGCCCGCTACGCTAAAGCTGTCGAGGAAGTGGCGGATATCACCGCCGGCATCAAGAGGCTGGGCTTGTCTCTTTAGTGGAATGGTTTTCCTTGAGTGATATGAAGATGCCAGGAGGTAGAATGATTATTTCCAGCTAGAGTTTATCAATCTAGCTGAAGGTGAGAAGCAAAGAGAGGTATATGTGAAAGTCTGGCCGTACCAATAGGCTTTTATTATACATGACTTTGCGTCTTTATATTCATGTTTGCCAGGATCAAGTATTCTTGATGGATCCATCTCCTGATTGAACAGACGTCTAGAAGTCAGGCAGCGCTAGCAAATGAAAAAATCCAAAGGCTTTGCCAGGCCTAAACCAGAACTGATTAGCGGCCTTTTTTCCGCGTGTGACTATTGAAGAATGGAAGGACACGTTTCACTCAACATGACAAGCCCCACACGGGATCCATATCATTTAATCAGAGATACAAGCAATTCCAAACAACTGGCCAAGCAAACCGTTATCAAGCATCATGGTACTTCTATCAGGTTGGTCATCTCCAGGCCCTTGGCGAGCGCCCCGCTGACTTGGCTGCAGGGGACTCCACTGTCAAGAACGCTACTTTCCGTTTCCTCGACTTGCCCTTTGAGTTACGCAGGATGATAATCCAATCTACAATCAATATCCATCGCCCTAGACCTAGATCACCTAGTAGCCGCCGTGTTGGGCGGTCGGGATTGGAGACAGACCAGTACGACTTCACCATCAGCGGCGCGGGTCTCAGATGCCAGTTCCTCACCCCACTTAGCTTGAGCTTGGTGAATAAGCAGGTGCGCCAGGAAGTGCTGTCTATCATCTTCCAAAATGCTACCGCATGCGTCCATGTCCAGATTCCAACATATGGCCCGTTCAGCGACGTCGCTGCCTCGGTGCCCAGAATCATTCACACCCTCAATACCTATCCTCAGCTGCTGGGACTGGCCCAAGACATTGTAGTAATCGTTGACGCGGAAAAGCCCTACTCTCATACTCTATTCCAAAAACTGGACAGCGGATTGTGGGCTCTGGTACGGAATGACACGTTGCGTCTTTTGACGATGATTTCACTTGCAGTCCCCACTGTCGCTTTCCTTCATGCAGCTGGATGGGCTCACCGGACTGGTCCTTTTCATAGGAACAGGGATGCTGCCATCCATGCTCTTATTGACACCATTATGCAAGGCGTTGAGAGCCACAAGCAGCTGAAAATCATCCTACGTCTGGACAACTTGTATCTGCAAGATCTCAAGATCATGCTCAGATTACTTCACATGCCAGCTAGCACCGTTACATTGGAGGAGTGGTGGCTCTACTGGTCGACATCGGACGAGCTTGAGGAAGCTAGAGATGACTATGAGGCTACTTATAAGCGCTTTGTCCAAAAAGCTGCTGAGGAATCCGGGCAGACTCGCCTCTTAACTGTCTGTCCATTATCAGATACGTTTGAAATAGATGAAACCGACGACGGTGATAGCCGAGGCATCAAGTATATTGGAAAGAGGCGAAGGGTCTGGGTGCGGTAAGGGTCAGAGTCGTCAATCATCCTAAATGTCAGCGACGCCGCTAGGTTGTGAATTGTAATGAAAGGGAACGGCAGCTTCAAGTGGCGCTTTATCCACCTGAGATGGCGCTCCTGGGCACGCAGTCCGCCTACACTTTGTGCGGGCATTAACGTCATAGGCAATGTCCTTGCGGAGGCTTCGAGGGACGGTAGACCGGTTAATATCAATACTACTGTTCTAACTTGATGGTTCGTCTGCACAATGCCCACCTAGAGGGGATTAATTTTACAGATACGCGGTAGATCAATTGATATCAGAGAATATCTTTTGTCCCTCTCTTCCAATCCACTAGAAACGAGGTCCTTGATGATATAGCCACAGCATTATCACTTTACTAGACTTACACAATAAATACTCTTCAGGAATATACTGCTCGGTGTGAATTTAAACTGACTGACCCATTCTAGTTGAGAAATTTTCAGAATCTGAGAAAGCTGGTCAATGTCTTCCTGAGCAAGTTTCAAAATGACGTGCTTCGAATATTGATCAATACACAGTAATAAGTATCCACCCGCCCAACTGGCCCAGTTGGCACATAAACCCTGGCCCTAAACTGCCGATACTGTAAAAGGGCCTCTGGCTAATTGCCACAACCAGTACCAATGGCACGGATGCTAAGACTGTGCCACGAGTCCGTTTGAAAGCCTTTTTGGGCCGAGGACATCACGAGCCAACTGCTTGGTTCAGGGCGTTGATACGGTAACTCTCACTACGCTCCATCAGCTGCGCGTGTGTGCCTTGATCAACGCACCGCCCATTCTCAATTAGAAAGATCACATCCGCCTTGCGGATAGTGTATAACCGATGCGCAATGGCAATGATGGTCATATGTTTCGCAGCCTTCTCAAGACCATCCTGAAGCAAGCGCTCGGATTCCGCATCCAGAGCACTTGTCGACTCATCCAGAATCAGGAGCTGAGGCTTACGAACAAGCGCCCGCGCAATGGCTAACCGCTGCTTCTGCCCTCCCGAAAGCCGGCCGCCATTTGGCCCACAGGCTGTGTCATATCCATCAGGTAACTGCATGATCGTGTCGTGGATGTTGGCCGATTTGCATGCTTCCTCGAGTTCCATCTGGGAGACAGTTTGGCCGGGTCTCGCACCGAGGGTCAGGTTGAATCGGATGGTACCGTCGAACATGACACTCTGCTGCGGGACGTAGGCAATAGCATGACGGAAAGAGGTATCTCCGTACGCGATGTTATGCCCGTCTACCTCAACTGTTCCCGACTCGGGGGTGTACAGGCGCTCAACGAGCGAGATGATCGTTGACTTGCCAGCACCACTTGGCCCGACAAGCGCTGCAAATTGCCCAGGTTGAATGCACAGATCCAGTCCGTGCAAAACCCGGGTATCTGGCCGTGCGGGATATGTGAAGAAGACCTTCTTGAAGACGACGTAACGCCCCCGGCCGATGACCGTGCCTTCTCACTAGCTACCGTGGCTTCGACGTCCCACACCGGAGCGAGAGGCGCAGAAAGCCTCTTCGTCGATCCCATGTCCAGCAGGTTCAGTAGTCGTCGTGTAGCCTGGAGTGCGCGCGAGACATCTGGCACGAGGGCGAATGCCTGCCCCCATAGCTGTGAACTGACGAGGAGGGCGAGTTGCACGATGAAGAACTGGGTTTGAGTGTACTCGCCTGCGATAATACGCGTTGATCCCCACCAGTAGGCCAGCGCATAGAGGAAGTTACTCAGACCATAACCGACAGCCAACCACAGATTGGCCCAGGCACTGTGCTTCGTGATTTGGCGCATGGGACCCTTAAGTGAGCGCTTGTATGTGGCAAGAATCTCGTGCTCCAGTGAAAGCGACAAGACCGTCTTGATGGAGTTGACGGCCTCAATGGTGATGGTGTTGGAGTTTGCGAAAGCTTCTAGATGTTCCTCCTCAAACCTGGCTAATGTGGTGACACGCATGTAACCAGCACCCAGGAGCAGCGGTACAACTGAGAGACATACTATCGCAATCTTCCAGGCAATAATATGTGTCATGGTGATAGTAGCGATAAGACTGACAAACATTGACAGGATCGTGCAAACCACGGAGCCGGTCAGGCCACCAAGGGCGGTGCTGTCCTTTGTAATAAGTCCAAGAAGAAAAGATTGTTTCTGGTATTTTGTTTCGTGCCATACCAGATCCTGTTCAAGAATGAACAGCAGAGTGAGTATACGCACCTTATAGACAACTGCTCAGCCACCCAGCCAAAGAGAGACCAGCTGAGAAAATTGGCTATGAATTCAATGACAGCGAGAAGGAAAAATAGAAGCCCAAATAACTGACCCGCATGACGGATAGAGCTAGGTTCTGCACAGTAACTGAGCTTGCTGACAACATTACCAAAGATCACAGCAGACCCACAATATGTGCCACCAATAACGACCGCTCCAACAGTTGCGATGACCAGCACGAACGAGTACGGCCGGAACAGGGCACCCACCGACCGAGCATTTGACGAGAACGTGCGTTCTCCCCCGACTCCTTGGTCTGCTGGGCTCCGGTTCCCGGCATGAGGTACACCAGCGAAGGTCGATGCCTCAAGGGCCACGGAATTGTCGTAGATCTCTTCTGTAGAACACTTCGAAACCGCAGAGGTTATATCGTTACCCTCAAGGCCCCCGTTCATGTTGAGGTTCTGAAGACGAATGAGCTCAGCGTACGCGCCATTGGCATTAATAAGTTCCTGGTGTGTTCCTTGCTCTAGCAGCTTGCCCTGGCGCATAACAATGATACTGTCTGCATTCTTGATAGCCGACAGCCGGTGAGCAATTGTGATCACAGTTCGTCCGGCTGCCAGTTTGTCTAAAGCCTGCCGAATCCGCAATTCCGAGGCCGAATCGAGGGAGGAAGTAGCCTCATCAAGGATGAGGATACGTGGATCCTTGACCAACGCACGAGCCAGCGAGATACGCTGCTTCTGTCCGCCGCTAATAAGATGACCCTGGGCACCGACTGAGGTCCCGAACCCTTCCGGTAAGCGTTCAATGAACTCGATTGCATCAGCCAGTACAGCAGCGTTAAGCGTCAGTTCGACGATTTCCCGGACATGGTCACCATGCTCTTGGGAGGCTGCCGCCAAGACTTGGCCATCTCGGACTGCAGCCGCAACTTTGGCAAGGACATCGCTCATTAGTGCCGACCGCAGGTGCTCATGCCTGGTTAAGTTGATAAGACCAAGGGCAATGTTTTCCAGGATTGATCGGTTCAGAAGGCATGGACCTGCTGTACGAGACTGATATGACTTCGAACTGACCTAGCGCTCAGCTCTTTGAGGTCGTGGCCATCCAAAAGCACAGTGCCCTCGTCTGCATCGTAGAATCGGGTGATCAGTCCGGCGACTGTGAATTTACCACTGCCGGAAAGACCAACGATGGCAGTCTGCTGACCAGCTGGGCACAAAAAAGACAGATTTTGCAGCACGGACTTATCAGGACGACATGGGAAGGCGAAATGAACATTGCGCAGCTCTACCTTTCCTGAAACATCTGCAAGTATACGACCAGTATCTTTGGCAGTGCCTTCAATAATCGCAGGCCGGTTTATATCAGCCTCCAACGTAGCAAAAGCTACGGATGCGGCATCAAAGCTTCTCAAGTATGGTGCAGCTTGGCTGAGAACCAAGGACGCTGGAGCAATTGCTTTAGTACAGCTTCCGTAATTGACAGAGCCAGGGGAGATCAACGTACCGTCTATGAGAATCAGAATGACAGTGAGAGTGTCTCCAACGGTAATGCCACCGTTATTCAGTGTATTCAACTCTACAGCGCTGGCAATCTGTCGGGATCCTTGCCAGAAAGCAAGTGCATTCGCCGAGAAAGCAATGAAATACAAAAGACCAGCCTGCAATGCCATAGTCACGGATTTCCATACACCGGCCCACTGAGCTGGCGTCAGGACTTCAACAAATTTCTCTTCCAAGCGTGCATTAGCGGAGAAGGCGTGCACAACCATTATATTTGAGATTGCCTCTAAAGCGGCTGATGATGCCTTGGCCATGGTGTTCATTGAGTGTCCAACATACTTTTGCACAAAGTATCCACCACCTAGCGCCATGATGAGGTACGCGGGGGTGAGAGATACGAGCATGCCAGCAAGCTTCGGATTCTTAATAAAGGCTACGACATATGCGGTGACGAAGAAAGACACACTGCTGATCACAATGCCGACCTTCTCGTTCGTACCCTGCTGCACGACAGATACCTCGTCTGTGATGCGTGCAGACATCTCACCAGCGGGCAAGTTGTCAAAGAATGCCGCGTCTTGCCGTAAAATGGCGCTGAAATATGCTTCGCGTATGCGCTGAGCCAATCTCTCACTAAAAACGTTCCAACAAAAAGTGTGGATATAAATGAGTGCAAAGTAGGCGATCCCGACATAAACAATCAGAAGTATCTTGGAGTTGATTCCATCCTGGTAGGATGCGGCAGTGGAGGGGTCGAGCTCGCAGATAGCAGAGTTCAATCCGTTGACTAGCTGTCCAAAGACAATTGACATGATAGGGAACGGGACTCCAGATGCAACAGCAGCAAGGAAGCCAACGAGCAGGATAATTAAATCCGTCGACGACGGGACAGCATAGAACAACAGACGGCCGAACGAGGTGGCGCGGCGCCAGATCTGGAGAAAGCAGATGTCTCGATAAGCTTCAAAGCATCATACACAGCCGAATGGCTCGAAAGGAGGAATAGAACGTACGCTTGGCTTCGCTGATGCTTTTACCTCCGTAGATGCTTCCGATTTGGCAGCCATGATGGTACACACTTTGTTCTTTCTCTATCCGTGGGGTCTCCGAAAGATCTAATAGAAAGTTGCAGGAAAATACGAGCAAGGAAGCGTCTGTAAGTATAGCTAGCATTCTGTTGCCAAACCGTATACCCGCCGCTGCCGCCTCCTTTTGGGTAAGATCATTGCGACCACAGAGGAGCATCTCTCCACAAGATCCTTACGTTTCTTTTCGAGATGCTAAGCCGGTATCGGAAACATTTCGAGCCAGACCCGGTATTTTATATCAGTCTGGATGCTATTATATCACGCCAACGGTGGCCCCGGGTTGGGGCCGGGGGCATGCTGTTGATCCGACGTGAATACGATTGATAATTTTTGATCAGATTAGGCTTTCTGGCGTCGATGTGTCACTAGTATGGATATTAATTCTGGGTGGGCCAGGGAGTCACAAGCGTATTGATCCACTTTTTGGGGTCCTAGTATTTTTACAAGGCAATTTTACGCCGAAAAACAAGCCCCAAGGATGGGCAGGTCAGCGGTGAGTCCGAAAAGGGGCCTTACAAGGAAATCCCTGAGACCGCCTGTTGCTGTTGCCCCTGCAGATGTACCCTTGATCCGGTCTCATAAGACCAAACTTCCTTCCCACGCAATCACAATCAGTTGCAGCGTAATTGGGAATGGATTTTGATTTCTCTCAGCCCGGCCTGCAGCAGTTTTCAGTGTCTAAATGGATAAAATCATCAAGATAGGGGTCAGGCCAAGCCCAGTCCCGCTTCCTAACTCGGAGCAGTTCTACCTGAAAAGCGAACAGGGCGAAACGTACCTTATCCAAATATCTTGGCCACTGCATTGGCAAGATAACCAGACTGATCGTGGGGCCCTTCCTATCATGTAAGCATTCACAGATATCCTAGAACTCCGGAAGATGTGTCGGCTTACCTACTTGAACCAGCTACATTGTTGATGGGAATTCATTGTTCCTGACTGCGACCGAGGCTGCATGGCGTCGTGCAGCCTCGTCACATTACGCTGGCGGAGGCATCATTGTCGCTATCGGATACCCCTTAAATGGAAAGCTCTATGATGCACGACGACGCAGTTTCGATCTGACTCCGCCCACGGCGTCCAAAATTCCGGGATATGGAGGTGCAGATATGTTCCTTGACTTCATTGAGAATTCGGTTCGGCCTGCGGTGAAGGCCCGGCTTCCACGGATGTCTCTCTCCAGAGAAGCGCTCTGTGGCCATTCATATGGGGGCTTGCTCGCCCTCCATGCATTATTTACACGCCCACGTTCATTCGATTGCTACATGGCTAGCAGCCCCTCGATCTGGTGGAATAGTTTATGCATCTTGCACGAGGCAAGGGCCTTTTTGGAAAATGAGAAGGCTTCAGATGACAAATCCCCGTCGTTGATGGTTTCCTGGGGCTCCTTGGAGCAAAACCCACCGCAATGGGCTAACGAGGCGCCTGATCACTATGAAGCAAGAAGACAGATCGCAACAGATTTGAGAATGGCGGACAATGCTCTGGATCTGTGTGGGATATTGCGAGGACGCAACCAGCTACATACTGTGATAAAAAATGAGTATGAGGGGGAGGACCACACGAGTGTGATGTCGTGCTCGTTGAGTCGAAGCCTGACCATGTTCTTCGAGGACTGGCCTTTTCCCCGGCCATAGGAAACGTCTACCGCCGCCTGGTGTGCACATCTTGATTTTAGCCCAATAATTTTTGTCGCTTGCAACCCCGCGAGGCCTTTCATGTATGACTTCCGGAATTCCAATTACCTAATCGATTTTAAATCCTGAAGGGGATGGCACCATGGGAACGATCCTCCGGCGATCGGGCGTCAGTATGGAAAAATGGAAGTACGGAACTAAGAGAGTGATGACAGGTAGAGCGTAGCAAACACGCGGCACCCCTCAAAACACAGGACAGTCTGGTCACCAAGACCAGGTCAAAAATGAAACAGGGCTAGAGCTAGCAATCTCCTGTAAAAGGATACGGGGATCTGAACCATAAAATACAACTAACGTTTATCGTCGGGACAAGTTCCCCTAGCACGTCCTCATCGAAAAGTGGGCTCAGATTTTCTCTCCTGGACATTTGGGGGCCAGCGAGGAGTGAAAGTGTGGATTTGGGTCCGTCCACTACCTTACGGGACGGCTCGGGGTGTGGTCTCAGCGGCCGTCCGTAAGTAACGCATACAGAGACGCCACGCATATTGGTGGGATGGTTCGGTTGTGTTGTAAGAGAATTGTGTCCAGAGTGGTGGCCCGTCTCCACCCCTCAGCCTAAACCCCCGCAGGAATGCCACAACTCGGAGATTACCGGCAAGGGATTTATCTTATCTGATGGATATTGTGCTGTAACATCGACTGATCAATGACCCCGGCTGGCTACAGTCCAGACTTTGCCAGACCCTCTGCGCGATTATTGCTGATTTGGTCCCACTATCTCGCCAAGACTGCCTGCTCGGGTTTAGGCACTGTTGGATCCCCTACGGTCGTAGTTGAATAACTGTATCAAATAACGCCAATCTAGACAGCGGTATACGCACCTTACGACAATGCCGATAAATTATTGTAGATACATACTTGGCATGGGCATGTAGCTGCTTTTCATTCTGGAACATATTCTATCTCCGCCACGTATCCGTAAGCTTGTTAGGCTTCCTTTTTTCCAGTTCCTACATGTGAGACTTATCTACTTGGTAAGGCTCACTAATACGGGAGACCACCGTCACCAACTTAAGCAAATTGAAACCCTAGTCTTTCATGTCGCGGCCCTTAGAGGAGTGGATGTAGTGTTTAGCTTCTGATTTACACCAAAGGACACCAGTTGTCCTGGATATCTTTTTAGCTCACTGGTGCTGGTGCATTTCACAGAAACTGCACTGCAACCCATCTTCGAGGTGGTACCATCTTCATGAAAGAAGAATTTCACGAAGGTAGAATCAACGTACAACTGTCACTCCCAAAGGCCAATGCGCGAAGGATTGGGCATATCAACATTACTATACATGAATACTCACCCGCTGTTGACTTCCTACATGAGGGAAATTCGACTAGACGGAAATTAATGGGCACTAGGGGCTTTACTGCACCTTACCTAGCATGCTCCGAGCCTGCAGTTTTTTCAATACTGCGTCACACAGGCCATTAAAGTATTCCCCTAAAAGCCAACTTGCAGAGTATATAGGGAAGCAGGAGGTACAAATGGCAAGACGCCGTAGGTTCTCCTAGAAGAAAAAACAAGTTGTACTCCAAACCAACAGAAGCAAGACTCATCGACGCTCTTCTATTCATCGCTCCTTACAACATGACAATCAAAGCTCAGGCCACTCTGCGCACTGCATGCCTAGAACTAGTCCCCATGGGCCACGAGCACCGCAAGTTCACGATGCAGTTGGACATGGACCCAGAGGTTATGAAGATGGTCGCCTTCGGCCGGCCATTTACCGAAGACGAAGCGCTCCAGGTTCATACCTGGCTGATGGGCTGCGCAACGTCTGTGCCTGGTTTCGGGACTTGGGCCGGCTTTGCCAAAGGGAAGTTCGTGGGTTGGTGGATATTGGCCCTCATTCCCACGAAAGAAAACCCCGAGGAATTCATGACGATCGGACGGAGTATGGGTTCCGAGTGTCGCCCAAGTTTTGGGGGCAAGGATACGCGAAGGAGGGGGGGCGGGAGATGGTTCGCTATGCCTTCGAGGAACTGGGTCTGACGGAGGTGATTGGCGAGACGATGACTATCAACAAGGCTTCTCGGGCGGTTATGACCGGTTGTGGGCTGAAGCACGTTGAGACTTTTTTTAACAAGTATAACACTCCACCACCAGGAATTGAGGAGGGGGAGGTGCGGTATTCGATTTCCAGACAGGAATGGTTGCGCAAGGAAAGATCCAGCATAACCCGAAGACGCTGGTTTTCGGTCTTGGCCAGCTGGCCGCCGCAACTGCTCCTGTCCAGGCTCTGGTCCTTCCTTTTCAAAGGTCTACCCTCGTAGCTTGAGCGGCCAATCCTGGACACAAATGGAGCCGTTCATTCCTAGCAAATACGAAAACGTCTCACTTTCTTGAAAGTCTGAATCAAACTGTTTGGAGTTAGATACCTGTTGGCGTGTTCCGGGACTATGACCTGGAATCACCTAACTTCCTTTGTGGCGCCATCGACGCCATCCAAAATCCGTGGGGCGTTAAGGCCAGGATAATGTTATCTTGGACATGCAGCGGAAGTTCAATCCGTGATTACCAATTATTCCCGCTTCGCAATGGAGTCCCAACTGGCGCTAACTAATGGTAGAGTAAGCGAAGTAGTACCAAACCCACTGTATCAACATGTGATATGTCTGTAATTGAGTGTATTTGCTGTGAATTGCTGGGCACATTCATTTTTTATGTGCTACTGGTGAGAACGGGGCCATACTGTGGTCAATTTATCCTTGTTAGGCCCGTACACGCGTGGGCCGCTAGGCGTATTGGCACCTGTGTCTCACGGTAATCCTAGGTGTGGGACCTGTTTGTCTGTGGTATCGATTGCCTTATGGCCGACATTCTCCTCTGTTCTTTTCCTCCCGTTCTCGCCTTGCGACTAGAAAGAAAATACATGGCATTCTGCCGCACAGCACAGGTGCTGGACTTACGTAAAGGTTGTATATAATATGTGGCTGAAGCAGGTATTTAACATCTGTTCCGCACTCCTTATCAACCTTTCATTCGCATCCAGAGTTTAAGCAACAGTGGGCAATCATGAAGAAATTCCACTCGATCGTTGGTGAAAAGTCTGCTCACGGGGCTGAGTGTACGCCAGCCAATGGCCCAAGTGTTCTGCAGATCAGAGCCGACGACAAGGAGGCTGCTCATGAGCCCGTCCATGAAATGACCAGTAATGAGGAGGCCAAGCCGAGTGACAGAGTCCAGTCTGGTGTCAAGAAGATAGAGGCTGTGACCCTGGCCTGGACAAGGGCTACGGCGTTCAGAGTTTTAGTACTGTATGTAGTGAACCAATACCCTTGCTGCATGTACCGATCCTGGCAGATCACGCTGCTAATATGGCAAATTTGTCTGATAGCATCTGGTTTCTCACGCTGGTCAATGATTTCAGAGGCTCCATTGTTACAAGCTTGAATGCTTACGCCACGAGTTCTTTCCAGGGCCACTCGCTGTTGACCGTCATCAACATTGTGGCATCTGTTATGGGAGGTTCAGTGTACATCCCTATGGCGAAGGCGCTAGATGTGTGGGGTCGTGCAGAGGGTTTCCTGATGATGACTTTCTTCTGTATTCTGGGCTTGGTTCTTCTGGCTTCGTCCCAGAATCTCCCCACCTATTGTGCCGGGCAGGTAAGATATAACAACCAAAGAGCTTGCCAATAGAATTGTCTAACGGCTAGACTGGCTCTAGGTATTCTACAAGGTCGGGTTTGGCGGGCTTTCTTACACCTGGGATGTCCTTGCGACCGATGTGACAAATCTACGGAACCGAGGTCTAGCGTTTGCTTTCACCTCGTCACCTGCTTTGATCTCTGCATTCGCGGGTTCCAAGGCTGCGTCGGATCTCCTTGCCAATTCGAATTGGCGATGGGGCTTTGGCATGTGGGCAATTATCTTGCCGGCTGTTGCTCTGCCAATCTACGGCATTTTGGCTTACCACCTACGCCAAGCCGAGAAAAAGTGTATTCTCGTCAAGGAGACAAAAAATTGGAATATCACCCCGAAGACGATTTGGTGGGCCATTGTGGAATTCGATCGTAAGTAACAACAAGAGCGGTCGCCTCGAAGTTCCCCCAGAAGGCTAATATTCTCATGAACTCACTTAGTGCCCGGAGTTGTTCTGTTCGCCGGCGGTTTTGTCATATTTCTTCTCCCCTTTACTTTGGCGGCTACGGCGCCCCATGGTTATCAGACCGGCTATATCATTGCAATGATTACTGTTGGCCTGGTGCTAATTATCGCCTTCGGACTCTACGAAATCTTTGTGGCGCCCATGCCATTCCTGAACTATAGATTCCTCATTGACCGGACCGTTCTGGGCGCATGTCTTCTGAATATGACCTATCAGGTTTCTTACTTCTGCTATGCCAGCTATCTCCCGTCTTTCTTGCAAGTTGTGTATGAGTTGGACGTCGCTACAGCTGGATATGTGAGCAACACTTTCAGTGTGGTCTCCTTCGTCTTCTTATTCCTCGCTGGTTGGCTGATCCGCTGGACGGGTCGTTTCAAGTGGATTCTTTTGTCCTGCATTCCGCTCTATATCCTCGGCCTTGGTCTGATGATTCACTTCCGTCAACCGGGCGGATATATTGGGTACATTGTTATGTGTGAGATTTTCTTCTCAGTCGCCGGAAGTGTCTTCATTCTCTGCGTGCAACTAGCGGTTCTTGCTTCTGTTGACCACCAACACGTTGCTGCCGTGCTCGCTTTGCTGTTTGTCATGGGCAGCATTGGTGGGTCTATTGGCAGTGCGATCTGTGGAGCTATCTGGACCAATACTTTTCTGTCGAAACTTGAGAAAAACTTACCCGCGTCCGCCGTGCCAGATTTGGACCTGATCTACAAATCGCTCCCGACCCAACTCAGCTACCCAGTCGGAAGTGCTATACGGACCGCCATTGTGGAGGCATACGGTTATGCCCAGGCAAGGATGCTCATTGCCGGTACCGCATTCATGGTTCTAGGCTTCATTTGGGTTGGCATGATGAGAAACCTGAACGTGAAAAACATGACCCAGACCAAGGGCAATGTTCTGTGAGCGAGACTGTTTGGATTTTGGCCCTCGTCACATCGCTGGTTCAATCACCCTTCAGATCATCTCGCCTATCATGCTGATCCAGTCGCCTTGTACTTCCACCCGAATTTCCCTTCCTTTGATTCTCCGTTACCATCATCCCTATCCTATTCAAAAATTATTATGGATTTGATAGCCACTCAGCAGTAATTGTAATCATATGGTAAACGCATATACATGGAATGCGTAGATGAAGGTCTGATTTCTCTTGAACTATCTGTCTAACCTTACTTTATAGACAGGAAATCTAATATTAGTGAGGACACTGTAAATTCTCTATAATTAATATATTAAATATATACTCCAGCAATAGTTAGCCTTTCCTACTGTCTAGAGTTGCATTTGGTCTGAGTTTGGGTGAGTTTAAAACTAGTTAGCACTGAACTGCTGCAATTTTAAGTCTAAATTTTAGAACTCAGAATCCACCCTGACCCATTCAGCAGTTTAGGGTCCCCGAAACTGAACTAATCTAACCTGAATCTAACAATGGTTAGTTAGTAGGGGCCTAGCTAGGCCTAGTGGCGGGTTTTTACGGTGAAACCGCCACCAACCTGGGTTGGCTGTGGGTTCTAGAATTTGAACTCGAAATTGCAGCGGTTCGGTGCCAACTAAAGGTTGAACTCGCCCGAACTCGCACCAAATGCAACTCTAATATCAATACTACTATCCTAACTTAATGGTTTATCTGCATAATACCCACAGAGCTTAGAAGGGATTGATTTTATCAATATACAGTAGATTAGCTATATTACAGTTCCTCTCTTTTCATATACTGCTTAGTAAGAATTTGAACTAGCTAACCCATTCTAGCCAAGAATTTTGCAAACTCTAAGCAAGCTCATTGACATCTTCCTAAGCAAGTTTTAGAATAAAGAGCTTCAAATATCGATAGATACACACAGATATCGAAGGCAAACGCTCAATCTCAGGGAGCCCACCATCCATGATATGCCACAACGGAGTTAGAAGAAATGAATAGAGTCTGTGAACACCTTCACCGCTAAAACTTTCTCCCACCCAACACTCTCATCAAGTCTATCATCGTCCTCATCTTCTCGTGATAAGGGAAGTATTTACCCTTATCACAAGGAACTAATTTTATAAATGAGAACTTCTGAGAACTTCTTCTACTCTCCCAAGAAAATCCAATCCGGAGTCGCAAGGTCAAGATCCAAACCATCCAACCAACTCAAGAAATCTTCACTCGCGAGTTCAAGTCCCAGATTCGCATCCAGTCGGGCTCCGTTCTCCAATCTCCGTCGAATCTCGCGCGGGTAGCTCGCGGAAGTCGGGGTAAAGAGCACACGCGTCCACCACCCGGTGATACCAGTCCGGGTCATACTCTTTGCCAAAGAGATGTTGTCGCGTACAGTCGCATTCTGTATCCACGCAAGCTGCGGACAATACGCCTTTGATGCCCCTCGCCGAACAACCCCAGCCGTGTTGCGCATTTCGCTAGCAAGTGCACAGAGGAGCGAGGTCTTCCCACTCCCAACAGCCCGGACTACAGCAATGAGCTCCTCTCGTTCAGCCTGGAAAGTGACGTGCTCCAGTTTGAAGTGGACCTCGTTCTGGCTCTCTGTCGTCCTCTCCCAGGTGAAGCTTGCATCGCGCATTTCGATTGCCGCATGCATCTGCTCGTCGAGCAGAACCCGGTCTTGAAACTCCTCCACCAACAGAAGCTTTTCAATCCGGCGCATAGAGGACCACGCGTCGGCGCTCTGGCCAATAGCAATAGGCAGCCAATTCAACGGGTTCCGCAGGCAGTTGAAGAGCGCCAGGGAGGAGAAAATGATTGCGGCGTCTAGGGAATGTCCCGTCAACGAATAGGTGATGTACGCAAGCATGTTTGAAAAGATGGGGATGGCCATTGAGACAGCTCCTAGCGCGCTTCGAATAACCTGAAGGATCTGGAGCGAGTGGATCTCCCTGACACTTATTTCCCTGAGGCACTTGTGAAATGCCTGTTCCCAGGCGAAGTACTTGACAAAGCGGATCCCTTGTAGGATTTCCTGCGTTAGATTCATGCGCTCATCTGAGACGGAATTGAGGTTGTCTCAGCGGTTGTTCAGACTCCGAACCGCCCTGGTCACACCGGCGAGACCAAGGACCAGCACAGCTATGCCAGGTAGCGTGCTGGAGGTCAGGTTAATTAGCAGCAGAACCACGGTGAGAATGATGGCAATGGGGTTTGTCCAGACGAGGTGGATGACCTTGCTAGCTTGGAAAATTCGTTCAGCATCGTTGGACATGAGACTGAAGATACGACCATCTGGCCAGCCGCCGTCTGCTACCCGCGTGGACCCGTCGATCCCATCCTTCTCGCTGCTATTTGTATCCTGCAAGCCGGCCCTGGCCCGATTTGACAGCTTCAGAGCCTTCGCAAAGATGAGGGAGACCAGAGAACTTCTTGCTTGAGCGCCCACGAGCATCGCTTGGTATTGGTAGTGACTGTTGGTGAGACTCTGCATCACTTGCATTACTATAATCCCTACAAGCAGGCCAATACCGATGCCCACGTTTGAGCTGCTGCCTCCAACAGCCAATGCCGCATACGACAATTGAACAAAGCTGATCAGATATCGCAGGGTGAATGGTGCAAAGACGAGGAAGAGATCGGAGACGAGTCGAAGGAGTCCGCTCCACCAGATGTCTCGTCTAAACGTGTCGTATATCGCCCAGTAAGGGGATTGCTCTCATTTTGAGACGCCCGAAGGCTCAATGATTCCATCAGCTTTGATGCCGAAGACTCAGTAGTACGCTTGGGGTGAACAAGCCAGATATCGTTGTATTCAAGCGACCGGTGGTAGCCTGTCTGTGTTTGATCAGTCAGTCTGTGTTTGATCAGTCAGGATGTCATGAACAATCATGTGAGGTCAATGTCTATACGCTCATGTGCTCTCCCATCCAATGGAACACCAGTTGACTCCAAAATCCCGCCTCATACTCCTTTGTGATAGTGCGAGCATCTGGAATGGGCGGGATCCTTCCCGATTGCATGGGATTTAAACATCGGTACCAAGGTGGGCGGGAGTAATCGCCGGGAACATCTTCTGACTCGACCATGATGGACCATGGTAATGGGCGTTCGATAACTGAATAGACGATGGCCCGGTATGGCAACTAAATAGAGGCTTCCTCAGTGCAGAAACCCCACACATAGCAGTGGTCCATGATCGCATTTTGCATAGCAATCGGGCAGATTTCGGACTCGTTGACCTTCGGAATAGACGCTGCACGGAAAGGATTCGCCATGAGACGGCATTCCCTACCAAGTCCGAAGAGCAGGAAATAACAGTCACGTCCAATGCATGATCAGATTGAAATGTTCGTCTAAAGCGAGACAAATGAAAGACCTCGAATCTGTATCGAGCGTCTTTACCATTTGTAGTTAAGGATTTGCAGAACTTCCTAGAATCCTGGGGTGACTAATGAGATCACGAGAGCGCTATCTGATCATAGGGTATAGATTGTAAGCAGCTCGAACAGTTGAACTTGCTACAAGACGGCTCCCACAGTTGTTGTCAGAAATCCAAGTATGGGTGCTGCGACCCCCCATTCTGACCACTGTATCAGGCCAGGATTGCAGCCCTAGTAGTCTAGTGGGGATAATCTAGGTATTATTTAGTCCATCTCATTATACTATATCTAACTATACTAGTTACTAATAGAGTTGCATTTGGTCCGAGTTAAGGCGAGTTTAAAACCCGTTGGCACTGACTGAACCGCTGTGAGTCCAAGTCCCAATTCTAGAACTTAGAACCCGTGCAATTTGATGTGTTTCACTGCAAAAACCTACTAGGAGGCCTAGATAGGCCTACCTAGGCTCCTACTAACTACCTTAGACTTAGTTTGGGTTGGTTTCAATTCGGCTTAGATCAATAGTCAAATTTTAATAGGTTTTAGAATTCCTAGGGCCTATTATATATGCTTATAGAAAATTATAATTTTTATATAAAATATGCGGTAAATATCATCATACTAATCCATGTCTAAAATGTTGATTCGATATCTATAGCGTTGAATGGGTGGTGGTTGAAAATCATTTAAATTATGATGGTTGTCAAAGGTTGGCAGTATATTTATATCTCCTCCACTTTTACACCAACCCATGACAGAACTCAGCAACCACTAGATATTTTGAATCGATATTTCATATATAGATAGACTAGATATTAGGATATCTAAGATTTTAGTGATTACTAAGTAAACCGGTTTCTAGCGGTTTAACCGCTGACCCCCTGGATCTGACCCTGGCCCGCCCCGAACCCGGTGCGGATTCGCAATCTAGGAACCGAACCTCACCGCTGCGAGTTCGGTGAAGGTTGGATTCGATTTTAGCGGTTCGGTTATGCAGCTCTAGCAGGCATTTTCTTGGGCAGGGGAGGATCAATCCCAGTCGACCTGGTACATGGCACCACAACATACATGGTGATGTGCCCGGGTCGTACGATGCCAGCCACTCCTGAATCTTTTCTATTCACTCCCTCTCATCACCAACTCAGGGACATGGAGAGCTCCTGGAGTGGATCCTTCCGTTCTGTTTCGCAGCCGGGTCCAGCCCAGCACGTAGTAGATGGCGCGGGCCCGGTTGAGGGTGCTGCCTGGTGGTACTCCAAGGTGTCCCGCGCGGAGAAGACACTGCCGTAGTGTGGCTGGTAGTCAACGAATAGTTGATTGAAACTGCTGATGGCCGTGATGTCGACGCACGGCTGGGACTAGTCTTCCTTCCAGTGCGCCGCCGAGCGTTTGTGCCGACGAAGGTTTCTGCCCGCTCGGCCAGCTTGATCTCTCCAATGTTCTTGGTCGTGGACGTGATGGATGGCGATACCTGGAGGTCGGCATTTTGAGCACATCCTCATCATTCGCCTGGTGCCGATGATCGCTTGCGGCCCACGGCTAGACCCCGCGGATGGACGCCCCGGCGGATACATTGTCAACGCATTTACGTCCAGCGCAGGATGGATGACCTGGGCTCCCCTAAGGCGGCTGTGGTGAAGGCAGGAAGTGCAGGTAGGGGCGGACAAACTGTGATTTGCATGGGGCCCCGAGACCTGAGCCCACGGCGCGTTTGGGTCCCAAGTCTAGGTAGTCAACAGGGTATATCTAGCGTGACGGAGAATATGACTGTTGTAAAGTAAGTGTTGTGACCTGTTGATAGAGTAGATTGTCGCTGACCTCCTCAGGCTCAGCCTTCGCAGGAGGCGGGAGCCTGAAGTACTGTCCTGTGGAGCACCTACTAATTCAAATCTGAATAACATATGATTTTCTGCTACTTCATACTTGGTCTTCTATTACTGTCCAGATTGGATTCAGGTAATCGTTGCGATGGTATGGGAGGGAAAATTGGAGCCTATTTCTGGGAGACTCGGTCCTCGGAATATCCAAAGATTTTCATCTTCCTCTACCTTGCCAATCCCTTTGCTAATGCTCCCTTTGTATTTATTTTCTGTGAGGAGGAATTACCCTGGATGTGCAGCGTTCAAGTTGAATGCGTGATCCCGTTTCCGTTCTCAGGGAAGCGAGCAACGAGAAGCAAGGGCGATGTCTATTCATCTTGTGAGACATTCCGGTTAAAAATTGCAAGAATATTTGATCATGTCAGGATCCAAGTTACTACATTGGGAACCCAAAGAAGTGGTGGACGCATATCCCTTGCAGGATGGGGCATGTTGGGAGAGAACGATTCCAGCCTTGAAAAGCTATTCTTAAAACCTGCCCAGAATGTTCGTCAGGATGTTTATTACTGTCACTGGCGCAAGATTTGAAATCCTATATGTGTACGCAAGGCAAAAGAGTTCTCCCACGGTCGCTATATCCGAACTCACGCCCCGGAAGAAGGCTTGATCAGTACCTTGTGGTAGCTTTGATGCTTGTACAGTGACTTTGGCGAGGGTGAGCAAGGGGTAATTGCCTTCGGCTGGCCTGGTGAAGAAAGAGTGCATATCAACAACCTTACGGACTATATGCAAAGGGTCACTTGCAGAGACTACGACCTGAGGGATATCCTGCTTGCGCAAACGCTTTTTAAGCGACCATCATGGGGAATACGCCTAGCACTGCGGCTGCCCGAGAGTGTTTGCTTTCAGCCCTAGGAGGTGATCTGGGGCTCGTAACGTTCGGTCCAGAGAACGTCCACCTCTCTAACCTGGAATTCCCCGTCTCCCCAATCGCAATTACATACCCAGAACACTCAGAGCAAATTTCTGGCATTGTGAGGTGTGCACGCTCCTTTGACTACAAAATTCAGGCCAGGTCAGGTGGGCACAGTTTGGGAAACTATGGTAGAGCGCTCTACATCTACATAACTTTCCATCTTTATCAGATCTAACCTGGCATATGATAGGGCTGGGTGGAACCGACGGCGCCGTCGTTGTCGATATGAGACATTTCCAGCAGTTTTCTATGGAGCACTCTACATACAGAGCTGCCATCGGCGCTGCAGTCACCGTCGGTAATGTTGCCGAACAGCTATATCAGGCAGGAGGACGAGCAATGACCCATGGGAGTTGTACCTCAGTCGGCGCCGGGGGCCATTTTACTATTGGGGGGATAGGCCCAACGGTCCGGAAATGGGGAATGGCTCTCGACCATGTTGAAGAAGCAGAAATCGTGCTGGCGGATGGTCAGATTATTCGAGCTTCCAATACGGAGAGTCCAGAAGTCTTCTTTGCGCTCAAAGGTGCTGCGGCGAGTTTTGGCATTGTCACCGAGTTCACGGTTCGCACGCAACCAGCACCAACAATTGCAGTGAAGTACGATTACACCATAGATGTGGACACCCGGGATGCGGACGAACAAGCTAAGATATTTTCCAATTGGCAGACCTTTGTATCCGACCGTAACCTCACAAGAGATTTGGATATGACATTGACGGTAGAGCGACCGAACATACGACTGAGTGGATATTTCTATGGCACCAGAGTGGAGTTTGAGGAACTGAACCTGAAGGAGCAGTTTCCCGTCAAAAGCCCAGGAGGCGTCACGGTCCTTACAGGTTGGCCGGAAATTATAAATGCCACCTTGTACGACCGCGGCCCTGCTTACTCATATGTTAAATCGCTGGGAATTACGCTCCAGAATCCTATACCTTACTCAAACGCGGTAGAGCTCTTCCGCMATCTTTACACCGCGGATTCGGGCAACGCACGCTGGTATATTACGTTCAGGTTGGCTGGAGGTGCTGCCAATGACTACCCTGTGGGAGCCACAGCATTTCCACATCGAGACGTTCTCTACTGGATCGCCGCCCATGCTGTGAACACTACTGAGCCTTTGACCCCCGCTGCCTTTGCGTTCCTGAACAGAGCATACGAAAGCGCTGCTGTGACATCGGGTCCTCTTCCAATGTACCTGGGGGACCTGGATCCACTGATGCCAAAAGCACAGATGAAGTACTGGCGGTCGAACCTGCCTCGACTGGAACGGCTCAAGGCCGATATTGATCCACAAGACATTTTCCACAACCCACAAGGTGTACGAGTCATTCCTACGGAGCGCAGAGCTTCGCGCGCTCTGGATACTACCATAGGGCCCAACCAGACTTGAGGTAGCTAAAACGACGGTTTCCGTTGGTAAAATTCAACAACTGATAGCAACAGATATAAAGAAACCCAACTCCCCGGGACCCAGTCCGGAATATCTCATTCATATAGTAGCTACTGATTCAAACTTAGAAATTCCGACTTGCCCCACGGCATTTACCGACCATCACTGCCACTCGACATATGGGTTTTGGCAGGTTGCCCGCGCTATATTTAGCGAGGCCAACACTATTAGGGCCAGATGAAACGGTGTTTGTGGCAGTAATTCTAGGCGGTGCAAATTAGGAAAACTAGAATAATGAAAATACGGGTCTCAAGGCCCTTTTCTTTTCACTTACTCCGTACACAACGGAGGATCAATGAACGGCGAAGAGCCCGTGTCCGCAACCGCAAACGGCCTATAAGCATGAGAGACCGGCAGTATTCTCCGCTCTTATTTGCTGAATCCAGTATGTACCCTATGCTTCAACGCCATATTTATGATCCATAAATCATTCCTCTCCGCCTAGAGAAGAGCCTTTTTGACGTTCATGTACGATCAGCTGAAATGGTGCCCAACGACCTTCAGATACGGACGTCCCTATCTCATTTCCTCGATTCCCCTTTCCCCTTTGATTACATCATCGTCGGGGGTGGGACTGCCGGACTGGTGCTTGCCTCACGTTTGACAGAGGATCCATCCATCACGGTAGGAGTCATTGAGGCCGGTGAATCGAAGCTCAGAGATCCTGTTGTTGATTCCCCAATCGGGGTCTCCACCATGCTTCACAATCCCCAGTACGACTGGATGTTCAAATCTACGCCGCAGGTATAGTTCTCCCCCTCTTTCCCTTTTCCTTTTGTGGCCCCTGCTTTTAGTGGTATGCGCCCTGACCTGGATTTATTTTATCTGCATAGACAGGAACCAATGACAGAGTGCATAATATATCCTGCGGCAGGGTTTTAGGAGGATCCAGCGGGACCAACTTCATGACATACTGCAAGCCCTCCGCGGAGAATATAGATCTCTGGCAGAATCTCGGAAATCCAGGCTGGTCGTGGGAGGAACTTTCTCCATACTATCATCGGAGCCAATCACTGGACGATGAAACCGAGCGCCCCAAAAAAGTGCCCAGTGGCCAGCGTCGGACCTACGGCCGCACGGGTCCGATAAAGACCTCTTTTTCACCCTGGCAATTGGCCATTGAAGAATCCATGATGGACGCGTTCAATAAGATATCGGGGATTCCAAGACCAAAAGACCCCTTGGGGGGACACCACCTTGGGTTATATCAATCGGTGTCAACCATTGATAGGGCTAATGACGGGGTTCGAAGCTATGCCACGACAGGATATCTGCTTCCCTGTCTCAACCGCAGCAACCTCCGGGTGGTGACTGGGGGAACAGTGTGCAAGTTACACCTCCAGAAGGATAGTAAGAGAGCTATAGGGGTAGAATTCTGGTGTGATGGTGCTTTTCATCAAGTCTCGGTAGCCAGAGAAGTCATCCTGTCCGCTGGCTCAATTCAAAGCCCCAAGCTTTTAGAGCTCTCCGGTATCGGAGACCCAGAAGTCCTCCAAATGGCGGGAATTGAGTGTGTTGTGCCCCTCCCAGGTGTTGGCCAAAATCTCCGAGAACATCCCATGACACACGTCACATACGAGCTCACAGCTGGTGGGGGTTTTCCTCCGGCAAAAGAACACACCAGCGTCGACGAGGAACAAGGAACTCCTAAAGGACGGCCGGGAGAACTGAGCTTGGTGGGATTTCTACCATTCACGTCCCTCGTCGCGGCAGAGGAGCTGGAAAGCACCATCTCTAAAGCCATAGACCATCAATGGTTTGCCTTGGCACCGGCAGAACAAAGCATCATTGCACGTTTACGCGACCCCAAGTCGGCGGCTGTGCAATTCATTGGTTATCCGAGCAACGTCACCATTGCAGAAGGATGCCCCGATGAAGATACGACCAAGTCAGACATGTCTCAAACCCAGAAAACCTTCTACAGCATCCTAGTAATTGCAACAAACCCACTGTCTAAGGGAAGCTGCCACGTAAAATCGATCGACCCATTTGTGCCGCCCGAGATTAACCTCGGTGTCCTGTCTCAACCTATAGATGTGGATATCCTGGCAGCCGGCATTGCTTTCGCACACCGCGCCCTCCAGTCAGACCGAGTGGCCGACAAGATTGCGGAACGGGTGTACCCAAAACCTCAAGTGGACCTTCGTGATCGAGACCAGGGTTGTGAGTTTGTCCGGCTGAGTACCATGTCGTTCAACCATCCGGTGGGGACGTGTGCTATGGGCCACGTCGTGGATGAACGACTGCGAGTGAAAGGGGTTCATGGGTTAAGAGTTGTCGATGCCAGTGTGATTCCAGTGCACATTGATGCGAACCCTATGCCTACTGTGTACGCCCTTGCCGAAAAGGCCTCGGATCTGATTAAGGAAGATCAAGGCGTCCTTTGCTGACCCGAGCGGTTAAACGAGCCATCTGCCTCAGCGTCGGAGGCCTGAACTTCCCATTGAGCAACTCAGAAGGGACCAATAGCCTGTCGAATGGTCTACATGCGTATGGTAATATTGGGAAAGAGAATTCTACGGACATATTTCTCTACCCCTCCTAATATAGGCTATGTACCGTGTCGATTAAATTACAAGATGTCTTACTATACCACCTATACAAGCTTTTTTTTTGGTCCTTTTCCCTGTTCCCTATAATTTGTAATTGCTTGGTTAGACTTTCCTTCAGTGCTTTCATATATACATATATATAAGTAAGAAATCTTAGGATCTACCCAGCATGTTAACTTCGTCATTCACATCTCCATTGATAGGTCAATTTCGTTCGAAGACAAACGAAAGCAATCACTGCTGACAAAGCACAAATACCAGCTGTGAAGTGTTAGCATTTGCGAAGCCAGCCTAAGGTGAGAAAAGGGCCACAAAACAAATGAGCCACAGCCGCATGTATATACGTACCGACCACACAGTTCAGAACGTAGTAACCAAACTGGTCCCGCAGTCCACCAGCAAGGATTGGGCCAACAAAAGTCCCTAGGGGCCAGGACAAGCTGGTCAGTGACAGTGCTCGTGACATACCGCCGTGTGGGCCAAATAAGCCGGGGTGTTCTTTCTCTAGTTGCTCTACGGTGACTGGGAAAGCGTCAACAACTGAGCCAATATGGACACGGGGTCAAACTGCGAAAAACTAGAGTCAATATTCAACTTACGTGTCGCTTCAATTGTCCCTGACCCATTCAGAAACGTGGAGATAATTCCAATGGAGACCATGCACAACACATATAGAACCGATCCCCACTGTTTGGCCCATGGAAATAGGTCCGTCCCTGCGATGCCCAAAAGCCAGAACAGCGGAGCAAGCAAGGTGAATGCAAAGACGGCTGGGTCTCTTGTTCCCACGCGGTCTTTCAGCCAGCCAATAATGGGGGCCATGACGATTCCTGGAGCTTGCAGGGCACCAAACATGAGGCCGGCAGGAACGCTACCCCAGTGGAAAACCTCCCGAACATGTAAGGGAAGGGTGGCGTCAAATGCAGTCAGAAGGAGACCGAAAATAAAATTGCAGTACATGCCACCAAGAAGATTCGACTTGCTCAGAATACACGTATAGAAGCTCAGGCCAGTGCGTTCCTCTGTGGCGGGAATAGCCCTATTATCCTGGTTGGAGAGAAGCGAAGCCTGTTCGGCCGCAGGGCCATTTGTATGTCCTAGCACAGTGTGAGCTCAGAACATTCGTACCGGTACAAGGAATAACGAGTTTTAGGGATACAGTGCCAGGGCTTACCGCTTCTGACCCCAGAACGTCTCTCCAACATTAGTAGACGAAGGGCAATATCAATCCCAATAATAACAAACGCAGTAGACCAAGCCGCCCAGTATCCGGCTAGCTCAAAGACGACGCCAGACAGCATTGGGCCAACCGAAGAGCCGAGAGCAACAGCCAGGGAGATGAGACCGAACGTTTTCCCCATATGCTCCGTATGGACCGTATCTGCCACTGTTGAGAGTCCGACCACCCAGATAATACTACTGGCTATGGCCTGCCACAATCGGGCGAGGAAGAGCTGTGCCACTGCATCAAGCGATTAGTTCCTAGTGGTGAGAATGCCAAATGCGCTGGGTCGTCAGCACCTACAGGAGGTGGCAAGGGCAACAAATACAGTGCTGGTAAGTACAATCGCCAATCCCCACAGCAACCAAGCACGGTTTGAGCCTGACTTATCCGCAAAATGCCCGAATATCGGACTCGCCACCACTGAGATCCCCGCACTTTCTGCCAGCAACCAGAAAGTGATGGTCTGGGTAGAGGATGTCTTTAATCCTAATCGATCTTCAATCACATAGGGAAGGATAGGAACGAGAAAGGAGTAGAGAAAAGTATCTACGGATCGTCATTCACCGGTCAGTCAAAGAAGCGGAATACAGGTTGTCATATTACCAGTAAAGAGAGCTGTGGCCATTGCCATGACAGTGAACCACTGCGACGACCGCCAGCGGTGACCCCATGGTTGCCTTGGCGTCGACATGTTGTGTGGTATGGTACGTCCGCCACGGGGCATATGTTCGCAATTACTTTTGATGAGGTGATGGATGAACTGGAGACCGACTGTTACTCTGGTGTGTAATTAGCGAACACTTATCTTCTCCCTCCGCTCCCCGTTTTCGAATTGCAAATGGGTATTATTGTGCTCTGGTGATACCAAGGCTCGACAATCGCTGTTTGCGTCTCCCACTTACGCCCCACCAAGCGGCCGAGACTTCGCTCCGCAACATTTCACGCCCTGAGATGATCCCGTCGACTGGCAAACGTTTAATCGCGGTATGAGAACGGAAGATTAATCGGCCTAGTTCCTAGCTAGCAGTTGCATATAGCTCATACCGAATACATCACCAACGGTGCCGATAATAGCTGGGCTCTCTGCCTCGCCGAAACAACATTTTGCTTTCATCGGCATTGAGCAAGTATTCAGGGTTGGTCTTGGAGGCAGCGACTCGACTGGGGGCTTGGATGCAGAACTCGGCGCTCTATTCCTCTGTCATGACTTAACTGGCTGAGCCGCCCTGTGGTTAGCATCTGTAAGGGGTAATCAGAAAACCCCACCCAAAGAAATGAGTAGCCAAAAGCATGTATCTCCATGGACGGCCCCCCTACGACCCTGCGATCGTCTTTCCGCTCTCGGCGTGGCCACTTTCGTCGACCTGCAGACTCCTGGATTATATATCAGACAGTGATATCGTGTATGACCATGAACTGAAGAAGCCCTGACAGATAATACAGATTCTACCTTTCCACTTTTAAAGTCTTCAAGTCACAGTGGATAATAGTGATATCCTCCCGCCCTCAATCACAATGGCACCCCTCAAGGTGATTGCACCCGGATACAGTCGCACCGGCACGTTAAGTTTGTGCAAAGCGTTGGAGATGCTGKGGTAAGCATCTTTTTCCTTGAATCTTGTTATAGTATTTTGTGCAACGAACATACAAACAAGGTCAAAGCATGAAAGAAATCAATTACATCTAACAATACCTATCATGTCCCAGTTTTTCCTGTCATCATATGCAAAGAATGATGCTAGACCTAGACCAGGATCCCAACCTCTTTACGGAAGCCTACCAGGGCCAGTGCATCCCTGATTGGGATAAAGTCTTTGAAAAACATGACGCCGCCGTGGGCTGGCCGTCCGCGGCGTTCTGGGAACAACTCGTCGAAAAGTACCCAGATGCGAAAGTGATCTTGACTGTTCGAGATGCCGAGAGCTGGTACGATTCAATGGAAGGCGTTCTCAACGTTACGCGGGCCAGTGCGGATTTCGATTTGCCCAAACAGATGGCCGACACCATGGCTATGATCAGAGCCATTATCAAGAACGGGGTCTTGAAGAATTTTGATGATCGGAAGGCTATGATTGAGGATTTTCACGCCCGCAATGAGCTTATCAAGAGGACGGTTTCTCCGGACCGACTGTTGGTCTTCAAGGCGCAAGACGGGTGGGAGCCACTATGTAAGTTTTTGGGAGTTGACGTGCCCCCTCTGAATGTATCGTATCCTCACGCGAATAAGCGGGAGGATATGCTAGAGAGGACCTTGTACTTGAAGGAGAAGCTAGAAAAACAAATGGTGGACAACTAGTGGTGACGCAAGGGGATGGATTGGTCAGCGCGGATGTCTACAATGTACGTCCCAGCTTGTAATGACAGCCACCGCGATTATTGTCCAATTTCACCGCAGCTCTGTAGTGGGTGCAATATTCATCGTGTCCGTACAATTGTAGAAATGTATACTCGCAGGGATGGCCCCTGTGAGTACTGTCAGAGTATGCCCAAATGTCATAAAACAACGTCGAGATGAATGCTATCCCAACAGTGTCTAACACGAACATTTAGGACTCTCCACCCGGCCATCCGTACTCAGACAAAGAAGTATGAATTATTTGACCTTCTTCGCGATAATATAATAGAATGGCGCGTCGTCCGTTTGAGCACATTCCGGGGGCACAAATAGTTCCATCCATTGATCGACAACTTCGAAGCCATTCTGCTGCAATAGGAGCACCCATCCGGCTCTTGTAAAGAGAGTATGCACCCTCTGCTGTCCCATAAAGTAGTTTCGCACCTCTCTGGTGCCAAGACTGTCAGTGTCGGCCCCGTTAAGTAGTCTGTCCGGAGGACAATCGTCGACAGCCATTGTACCGATACACAGCAGACCATTAATATTTATCCAGCTTCCCCATCTCTTAATAAAAGATTCAATCTCCTCTCGATTAAAGCGGAAGAGCGAGAAGATGTTAAAAACAGCATCCAGATGCTCCGTCCCTGCAGGGCCGTCGTAATTCCGCATGTCGGCGACTTCGAATCGGCCTCTAGGCACATTCTTTTGGCTTAGCTCCACCATGGTCTTTGCGATATCAATTCCGACTACCTGATGGCCAGCGTCCGCTAAGATGGAGGCTACTGGTCTCCCAGTGCCGCATCCGATGTCCAGGACATGGGCCTGGGCAGGCAAGTAATTCATTGCCTTGTTGACGAGCTTCAGGAGCCCAGCATTGTGAGCGAAGGCAGCTTCATACGAAGCAGCAACCGAGTCATAGAATTCGGCGACGGTCATTGTGATTCAAACAGAGCAGTTGTGGAATTCGGAGTGGTAAGAATGCAGGTAGCTCAATGAGATCAGCCCTGATGGTCGCTAAGGGTGAACGGGGTTCCGTGCTGCTAAATAGCTCTGAAGACCGTGTATCGAAAGTGTTCTATCCAAATTATGCAGCATTGGGGTTCTTGGCACTGTATCAGCCCTAGCTTGTGCCTTGATAGCCCAGGGACTGATCCTAGAGTGTCCTATTTCGGACAGTAACATATACCCGGAATGTCTTTCAATGCTACTGGACTAGTGCCCTCATCACGCCAACAGCTGAATGCGGCATATTTCATCTGGACCGTTTCACAGTGCGGAGGTAGTACAATTGACGACCACGGCCAGAAGCCCACCCCCTTGCCACGTCCAAGGAAGCAAGGGAGTGTCTCACCTGACCTCTCCCTTGGATTGGTCGATTCCGGCAGGTCATTAGAACACAAGTCGTCATTCCCAGTAGTTTGGCTGCAGGCCAGGCACTGCAGTTAGTTCAACCTTCAGATAATGCAGGACAAGTTCGTGAAAGCGATGTGTCATCCCGAATGCTAGGACTGACTTAATAAAGTAGGACGTCCCCACAGCCATTTTGCCATTCTTGTCGAGTCTGAGAACGGACGCACTCGGGGTCCCAAGTTCTGCAACCAGACAAGCACATTCCTCTGTCGTGCTCCAGCCCTTTGGCCTAGGTTGACAAGTTCCGTAAGGGGCAAGCGGTGCACTTGGGAGTTGTCAGTTACTACGATCAGGCAATGACGGACATCTATTCCTTAGACGAGCTACAACAAGGACTGCTTCTGGACCTATTTACCAAGTCCCTGCTGGGAGGAATCATCTCTCTAAAATGTTGTTCCTTCTTCTCTTGCTCACAGGCGCGGTGATTCTGAGGAGCGTCTATCGTCTGTATTTCCATCCGCTTTCGAAGGTGCCGGGGCCAAAGCTGGCAGCGATCACTCACCTCTATGAGTTCTATCATAATGTGATCAGGCCGGGAATGTTCCTATGGAAAATCGAGGAGATGCATAAAAAATATGGTAAAGACTGAATGGCTCAGTAACGGCTGTGTGCATGCCCTTAATACGTTCATAGGACCCATTGTACGTGTTAATCCTCGTGAAGTCCATGTCACAGACCCCGAGTTCTACGATGAGATATATGCTGCAGGAAGCAAGGTGCGCGAGAAAGACCCAATGTTCGCCGCCATCTATTCCGCTCCCCACTCCCTCGTGGCCACTCTCGGTCACACACAACATCGGTTACGCCGACATGTCCTTAGCCCTTTCTTTTCCAGAAAGGCTATCAAGAACCTTGAGCCCCTAATCGATAATAAGCTTGCTCAACTCCAGAAGCGCTTCCAGGCAGCCTATTTGGACAGCACAGTGCTTCACCTGGATGTCGCCTTCTCCGCCCTAGTGTCCGAGGTGGTCACACATTATTGCTATGGTAGCAGCTACGGATTCCTGGAAAATGATGATTTCAGCAGCTCTATAACGTCGGCGATAGATGCGATTAGTTGTAGCGCACCTATTAACAAGCTTCTACCGTCTCTAGCAACGCTGGCACGTCTTCTCCCAGAGTGGATTATGACAAAGTTTCAACCTTCAATAGCGGGAATATATAAGCTGCAGGATAAAATCCGTCAGCAGTCATTGGAAGCCCTGCAAGAAAGTTGCCAATCAGACTCGATTCCTGCGCGTTCCAATACAACACTCTATAGTTCTCTTACCAATCCCAAAATACCTCCAGAGGAGAGGGCCGTCCAACGCCTTGTGGACGAGCAGATGAGCCTACTTGTTGCGGGATCAGTATCTACCACCAATACGTTACTCGTCGCTGCATTCCACTTACTGCAGAACAAGTCCATACTTCTTAAACTTCGCCGGGAGCTCAAAGTGGTCTTGCCGACCCCCACCAGTGTGGTACGGTGGTCAGACCTTGAGAAGCTTCCTTACCTGGTATATCAAATCCTCTCCGCGAGGGGCCCTAAAATCGTGACGAAACAACTAACATCTTTGGGAACCATACAGACTGGGGTTGTCAACGAGGCTCTTCGCCTCTCTTTTGGTGGAGCGAGCCGATTCCCAAGAGTTGCGCCCTATGAAGCGTTAACATATCGATCTTATACAATACCAGCTGGAGTAAGTATGTCCCCGCCGGGCCCCCCAGGAGGCCTCGAGGATATGCATATCCGCTAATTCAGATATGATAAGACACCTGTAAGCATATCAAGCTACTTCGTGCATATGGATCCGAGCATTTTCCCGGACCCGGAGACTTTCAACCCTGACCGCTGGGTAATGGCTTCCGAACGAGGCGAGAGGTTATCGAAATATATTTTGTCGTTTACGAGAGGGAGCAGAGAATGTCTGGGCAAAAGGTCTTATGTCCTTTCTTCACTGATATCCCATATTCCATTTCTTTTCATTGACATATCCATTTCCAGCCTGGCGTATGCGGAGATATATAAGACCATTGTCGTTATCGCCCACCGTTTCGATATGGAGCTGTATGATACCACAGCAGAAGATGTCCGTTTTGCGCGAGACCTCGTGGCACCCCGAGCTAAGAAGGGTCGCTGGAAAGTCAAGGTTAAAGTTATAGATATTGTGGAGGAGTGAATGTTATCATACTAGATTTTGAGCCCTCTTGGTTGAGTGAATTTCTCTCTCAAAATTCAAATGGACGAATAAAAGCAAAAATGAATAGCTAAGGTACTATAAGCGATGCACAATATTCCTATTTCAAAGAGGCCCTAACTATTCACTGTATTCACCCTCAATCTTATTCGAATATAATACTCCACCGATAAAATGTAGTCAGACATCCACCTATTTCCATGATATTAGATGACGTTCTGTGCTCTCTGCGGACACGGTTCCAGCTCCCTTTGTAACGAAAGTCTTGCTTACTCTGCCTTCGGCAGGGACACGGTGTTTGAAGAGCCGCTGACTAGGGTTGCCAATGAGAGGATGTCCTTAGCGTTGCGATGTGGAAATGCCACGCCAATATTCCACGGAAAGATGAAGTGAACCCAACGGTGCATTCGACACACGTAGGTAAAAAGTGCTCCAGTCAGTTGCCTGTATTGCTCCTTGCTAGACAAGGTTTCCAGAGCATTGGAGTACATTGTACCTATGTCGTGCATGTTGGGGAGGCCCAGGTCGGTGAGCATCTCGAAGGTGTTGAAATTATCCCGGATGAATTCCCTCGTCATCCGAATCAGGGTTCGCAGCGTAATGTCATCGTACTGCGAAACCTTTAGTAGTCGATACAGTACGTCGCAGCCCAAATGAAGCAAAAATGACTTCAGATGCACCATCACCGAGAAACACTGTCCTCCACTACCGGCGCCACTTTCGATGATTCCCCAGCTAATCTTCTCGATCTCTTCGGGTTTCTGCAGCCATACTCGCTCTATCTGGCTTTCAATAACGTGCATGGCCACCCGCCAGGTACAGTCCAAGTTTGTGGATATGGTTGCAGCCCCAGCCAGCCGGGACCCGTTCGCTTTTGGCTTCTGGTGCATCAGGGAGACGCTGATAGTCATCACCGAGCGGCACGGTTGGGTCACGGTTTGCTCATAGACAAGGTACCCGAGCCTCTCTAGGGTGGGAAGATCCTCCTCAAGAACATCCGCCACCTTGTTCACTAGCGCACTCTCGGTCACTGTCCCGTATGTCAGGCACAGAGACTGTCCCACGGCGTTGAGATAGACAGCACCGGGGTGCCGTTGTACCATATTGTTTCTCCCCAAGTGGACGATGCGCGTCGGAAACCAAATGGCTTGCCCCGAAATAACAACATGTCCCAGGGTGCCCTGCATTGGCAGCTGGGCAAGGACCTGCTCCGCGACGTCCGGGTTCTCCTTGATCAACAATTTCGCTCTAAAGGACAGCTTCACGTCGGGAGCGTAAAACAGGATCAGGCCGGACTCGACCATTTTTATGCATTTATTGACGTTCTTTTCCTCAGGTGGAAGGGTTAGAAGATTGATAGATGTGTAGAACAGAACAATAGCCAAGAGCGAGTTAGTCTGCGCATATTGGGGAGAGAACATATAGCTCCATTTCCCAGCCTTTCATAGTAGAAATGGCATTTGTCATTTGCCATACCTTACGTTTTCCCTTTCTTAGTCAAAATTCTCCGTTTTCGGCCATTTTTGTCTGGTATGTGAGAGCCTGCCTTTGCTGTGCAGAATGTTGAACATTTGGCGAAACCTCTCAATGTTGTCTGGGGGACTTGAACGAAATGTATAACATCAGTTAGTTAGGACTGCTCGTCCTATCTCTGACACTCGCTCTTGAGGTCATTCATTAGTAGCCTTCCTTCCGTTCAAGGGAACTGCATACTCAACTAGGGCCCTCCCAGCATCGACTGCATTATTCAACCTCTAAATGTGTCCAGGGTTAGGAGATCAGCAGCAGCCAGCAACACAGTTGGACATATATCTATTCAGCATATCATGCAATTGTTCATACATCTGTCCAACTATAAGGGTAACTGGGTCTATATTTTAACTTGCTACGATGCTGCAAGAAGTCTTTACATTTTTCCAACCCTACAAGGTTTGTGGCATAGCTGTCATTGACACGTCAGAGCCTAGGACAGCCGTATTTCCTCCAAGTGTTACAGTATGCACGGTCCAATGCTTCCCCCTTTTGACCTTTTTTTTTCAAAAAAAAAAAAAAAAAAAAAAATAGGGTTCCCTGAAAATTATAGGATACAGGGGCATCGTTCATCAACGTCCCCTTATCTTCTCCCTTTTTAACCCTTGCCTCCATTTGTATACTGCGCTGAGTTGTCGCATTTGACTGATGATAGTCTCTAATATAGATTAGAATAACCTTTCAATACAGCTGAGCAATATTTCTTCACGATCACGCCATTACTCAGCCGGGAAGATATGAATGTCGATATAAAGCCGCCGGACTGATTGTGGCGGAAACCTAACGTATTTATCTTTATGCCCAACAAGCACACCTAAGCTTTCTGAACCTTGCCAGTTAACATGAACTTGTTTGAATTCGAGATCAGTAGGCCCGTATGTTTTTGCTAAACCGACTCACATTATAAGAATGAGGTGGCCACGTAACACCCGCCGCAGCGGCCAACTGATGTGTCCAAAATAAACAGAACAAATTCGTGACGAGGCAGGAAAAAGAGGTATCATTTGCATACTGGTTTCCCCACATAAGGCCCTGGAAATTGGTATCCCTTGCTTGCGTTTATCTCTGTCTACAGCGCCGGGAAACCATGATCCGAGACTATATGGGATCAGGCAGACCATAGTATGGTATGTGCGCACAGACAACCCCTTACGCCCACAGCCGGGCTAGAGTTTTGGGCACGGGCTGGGAGATGGTTCGTTGTTGGTTGATTGATCCTTAAGACGTAATGTATAAACACGAGAAATTTCGGCTCCTTCTGTCCATGAGTAAGAATATTTGGCCCCAAAATTGGTTTGAGATTGAGTGGCGTGACTAACACAGCTGATGGTCTACGTTGTCCAGGATGTGCCAGTTTAATATCCTTCTTCTCTATTTGTTGGACACATTGCTGTTCGCCTCTGCGACAATCTGGCAGAACGGCCAGATTAGAGAAGAAGCCTACCCAGGGCAGGCGCGACTGATTTCCCCCAGCGACAGCAGCAACCTGTGGAGAGAATATGGACCCGATGCCCCCGAGATATCATATAAGGGACGATGGGATGCCAATTTTATATCTTGTACGTCTGTTCTATTCTACCTGGTTAGATGATGCAAGGTGCACTACTAACAACGAAGAAATAGGGTGGTCGTAAGGCCCTTTTTCAATCTTACATTAAAGGAAATCTCTAAATAAATAAAGCACACCAGGGGTTAAGTTTGACTTTACTGGAAAAAAGGTTCGGAGCGACCCGAATGATGATTCCCCGTCCCAACCCCGAACAATCGCTTTGGATATGGATTGACTCGGGCGACAGCTGGCTTTGAGCTTTGGTCCGTATACGGACCAAGGTGTTCTGGTTGCATATCGGTTTGTTTTATTTTTATTGCCCTATCTTTGCGGCAGCCACCATTTCTGACTTGTTCTGCATGCTTGGGGGCCTCGATTGGCAATTCTCCAACGTCACAGCCAATTCTACGTACCAGTTTATCGGCGATTGGACTGCTGCGCTCAACGCGACTGCAATAGAGGAGAGAAAATCATTCGAATTGAGAGGTAAGTACGAGAGAATGTGGTCGAAGAATAGCCAATTCTCACTAATGGATTTCAGTGACGAACTGGGCATACGGATACGTCTCCTCCTTGTAAATGGTCACATGGAATCCGACTGACAGTGTCATACGATCCAACTAGCAGGCGTATCTGTAGCCTCTGATGCGAAGATTTACAAAGCGGAGGAATATCCAAAAGTGGTTGAAATTATCGGGGATTCGTAAGTCGCCTCGGTCTCGCCTGTCTGGGAACCTGGTTGCTGAGCGAAATGTTCAGCCTCAGTATAGGCCAATACGCAACCTATGAAGGACTATCCTCATGGGCGTACAACTTTGCGGCAGGCTTCGGAGATGTGGAATACTCTATCACTGTGCGTGACCTTGACGACTCGATCCTGCCCTCAGACCAGACACAAGACGAAGTTAATATATATCAAAGGCATACTCTGGGATCTGCCTCCATGATACGGAATGCTGGGGAAATCCCCACGGTCAGGTTCGTCATTCTAGGTTCTTGGTGCTTCTGTCTGAGAAATATCTAACACACAAAGATATACCAATGGTATCATACTTGTGACAGCTCCCCGCGTGCAAAACAGATCTACGGCACAAGTCCTCCAAAGTGGGACTTTGGTGCCCATCGTCCCGCAGATCTGGTGATCATCAACCTGGGTGCAAATGACAACCTCACCGTAAACAATGTGTCGAGCTTAGATTTTCAGAAAAGTTACGTGGAGTTCATAAATGGAATCCACCATGTTTGGCCTAGTGCGCAGATTATCCTTATGGTAAGTGCTGTGACACTTGATGTTTTTCACTGGATGCCGCATTACTACTCCCTTACACCCAGCTGGCCTATAAAGATGCGATGCTAAGCTAGAACGTACCCGATAGTCTCTATGGGGAGACTTTATTCCCTCCAGAATGACGTACACACAGACGCCGCAATATGTCGAGGAGATTGAAAATGTCTATCGACATTTTGACGAGGCACCGGAAAAATTCGTGTATTATTTTGACACCACGGGGATCCTACAGCATAATGATATTGCACAGGAGTCGCACCTTACTGACGTGGGAAACGTCAAGATTGCCAGTCATTTGAACCGATGGGTGGCGATGAAGTTCGGTTGGAGAATGCAGGCCACGGGTTCGGAGATATTGCATGGAACAATGTATTGGAACGACGAGTCGAGGTACTAGCATCGCTCTCGCCAGGGGGAGCACAGAACGTCTTGCCGCGTAGGTTGGCCACTCCAGGGCCGTAGCCAGCTACAAGTCTATCATTGCCCTTACTGAACTGGAAGGAGGGATGCACTCCTTACCTTCTAAGGCATGGTCACAACAGCTGATAGAGTTAAAGCCACTGCACAGAATTTAACCGAAACTCAGCGTTTTGAAAGTAGATATCTCTATGAATCACGGGAGTGAAACGTAAACCGGTCTACATAGAAACCTGAAGATGCAGGCGACTCCGCCATCGAGGTAGATGGAAGACATCTACCTAGATTTGATTTTGTGCAGAGATTATGACATTTTCCCGGCGAGAGCAGCAATGTGTGATTTGGAGAGATCAATCTATGAGGCCTGAACTTAAAAAACTAGTATCCACAATGGGTTTGGTAGGAGCTGTATCACGAACATTAGGGCTCCTCTAAAGGGATATTCTTCTCTGCCCGCCATCTCTGGCCGAACACTGCCACAACTATCACTGGTGGGATACACAGCAAACTGATCAGTCCAATGAACGTAAAGGCCCAGCCGTACCCTACGGCATGGAGCAGCGGGTCGATGCCGGCTGTTACGCCGGCTCCTAGTAAACATCGCACTAGGTTGGTTGCTGCTGTTGCGGTCGCTGGATTGTGTGGGTAGAGGTCGATCAACAAAACACTCATGATATTGACGGTCGCCACGCCCGTATAGCCGAGAAAGAACAAGAGAACTAGAGACCCTGCTACGAGCTGCGAATAACGCAAAACCCAGCCGTATGCAATAAACCCTACACACTGCAGGCATGCCAGTGGAGGGAGAATCTCCACACGAGCCCGCTCAATAGGGAAGTCGTGTATGTCCTGCCAGCGACCTGTGGGGTCAATTCGACCGAGCCGTTTCGCATGTCGGCGGTAATTCCAATCTGTTAGTATTCCTTGGGTATATGAAGCCGTAACGCCGCCAGCGCCCAGGGGAAGAAAGCAGAGACCAATCTTGACGTCGTTAAAGTCATAGATAGTTTTGAAGAGAGAGGTGAGACTCGTGCTAATCGCGAGAAAACAGCAGAAATTGATGCCTTGCGTCAAGATAATCAGACCCGCCTCTTTCTCCGCCAGCACTCGGAGGACATGGAATGGGTTTGGGATGTGTCGCCTTATTGCTATGCTGTTCCCCGTCGGGAACTTTGTCCGTGGCTCCATCCGGCGCAGGTTAAGGAGACACATACTCCAGCGTGGGGGTGGCCTCGAGCCATTTCCAACCAACTTCCTAGATGTCTCAGGAAGAAACAACAACATGCCAATGAAGAAAACGCCGGAAAAGATGGCCAAGAACCAAAAGATCCATGGCCAGCCCAAAAACGACGTCAGGAGGCCCCCTAGGGCAGGAGCAAGCGTCTGTCCTAGGAGAAACCCCGTGAATGAGTAGCCTACATAGACCCCTCGCTCCGCTGTAGCCACAATGTCCGAGATGACTGCGCTGGAGAGGGCTACAGTGCTGCTACTTCCGGCACTTTGTAGCCCTCGCAGAACAAGAAGGGCTGCATAACTTTTCTGCAGTGCCAATCCAATATTGGACGTAATGAATATGACGAAGCAGGCGATATACGCCGGCCTTCTACCGGAGCTGTCGGCCCACTGTCCGAAAAAGGCTGGAGCCAGTCCTTGGAAGATCTGGGTTCCCTCTTAGCTTTTGAAATTCCTAGAATTTATCTTGCGAGGGACGGGAACTGGAAGGCACCTGGGCCTCAAACTCACGAGATATATCGTGACAGTGAGATTGATGAGCGTATTATTTACATGGAGATCACTCGCGATGCTGGTCAAGGCTGGGAGATAAGTATTGGTTGCCAAGGGCGAAAAGCACCCAGCAATCGATACAACAATGACTATCAGAAGCTTCTCTTTGGTGTCATAGATAGAATATGGGCTATCTTCTTGCCCTCCTTGAGTAACCGACAGACTTTGATGTTGCGGCGATTCTTGAGTCTCTCGAGGATGGCGTGGGTCAGTGTCTGTTGGAGTTTCGCGGTCCGGGGGGGATTGTAAGTCTGCGGCCATGATGAAAACCATTTGAAATCTAACTGGGTTTGTATTAACCCTGTTGGATACACAGCTGACATGGTTATATCCCGGCAAAGGACACGTAGGTGAGGCAACCACCGTATTGACGTGGAATTCCGCCCAGTACCCCCTGCATACCTGCCCTCCGTGTCCAGTCCTAGGATATGCTCCTTGCGTGGGAATCATTGCTGTCGTAGGAGTTGCAACCATTAGATGTGAGATATTTACCTTACTCCTACCCTACAGACTCAGAAATCGTTTGACGTTTAGTTGGAAGTCACCAAAACTTTCCTAAACATTATAGTCTACAACGTGCCAGGCAGCTCTTACAACACTTCGGGTCACTCACGAGTATACATAACGACTGCCCTGAAGATGCGAGAACCGCCCCCGTGTCAACTACCACCGCGCGTGGAACGTTTGAGGGCCCTCATGACTGATCAAAGCATCGACGCAATCGTGTGTCTGAAGCCGGAGAACACTTTCTATCTCTCAGGCTTCAATCCTATCATATATTCCCATCCCGCGATTGTGGTTGTGACCCTAGATCATGATCCGATCTTGCTGGTATTTGCCTTGCGTGGCCAACACGCCCGGGCCAGCGCTTGGGTAACGGATATTCGGCTTTTCGGCACTTGGTCTGACATAGAAACCCTAGCACCGGACTGGAAGGAGGCGCTGATGATCATTCTGACTTCACTGCGTGCCTCTGGCAAGACCATCGGACTAGAAGAGGGTTTCATACCCGTTGCCCAGTCTCGGAACCTGGCTGAGATACTACCGCAGGCCAAATTCGTCGATGTGAGCCCCTTCATCGACCAGTGCCGGCTGGTCAAGGACCCAGACGAGATCAAGAATGCTCGAATTGCCGCCAGAATTGCGGATGTAGGTATGGATGCTGCATTTACTGCGTTGGCTCGCGCAGGCAGCACCGAACGAGACGTGGCGATCGCCTCCACAAATGCCATGAATCAGTATTGGGCGGAGAACTATGGCGACGATGTCGAAATATGCGGATTCGGATCCCTGGAAGGTGGACAGCATAATGGCCTTGCAGCCTGGGTGTTGTCTGGTCCGAGAAAGTCCTACGCCTGCGATAATCCCACCACTAGGGTGCCTGAACCCGGCGAGACAGTTTCCGTATTTGTTTGGACGGTTGCAAATGGCATGCATGCTGAGCTCGAGAGGACTGTTTGCGTTGGGCCAGTCGCGGAAGTCGAGCAGAGAGCCATCATGGACATTCTCGAGATCCGCGCCAAAGTCGACGCACGCATGCGGCCCGGGATCCCGGTTTCGGAACTCTATGAAATCGCAAAGAAGGGCTTCGAGGCTAAAGGCTACGGTTCTATCATTCCCGGTCGTATTGGACACGCCATCGGACTAGGCCCTCATGAGAACGCTTCAATTAGCGCCACCTCTCCCGTAATTCTTGAACCTGGCATGATCCTTACACTCGAGCCACATATTCTTATACCTGACGTCTGTGGAACACAGTTTTCTGATACTATTCTCATCACGGAAACAGGCCGCGAGTATTTGACGCGCTTCTCTAGAGGCTATCTCACAGTTAACTGAAGTACGCAAAGAATTTCATTGAGGACCTAGTAATGGTAGCTTGCACAGAGTCCATATTTCCCTATATAAATTACGGTTGCCTACAGTGCTAGGTAGCCATGCTTCTAACATCCACTCTAGAGTCTACATTCTGCCTCAGTAGAGTCTATTCTATACTACCCACTATTCTTAAATTTCTAGTAAGTATCCGCCTCCCTAAGTGAGTCAGTTGGCATGCAAAAAGTTAAAAGGCTCATTTTAAAGTAAAGAAGGGATCAAAGGAGATTAATCAAATATTTAAGATGCTTCTACCGAAAATAATAAGTTAAAGACGCTTAATATCATGCCTAGTCTATATATCCTAAAGATCTGTACCTTACTCTAGAGTTTTACAAAAGCACAACAGTGTTCCTCCTCAAAGCTGGCTAACGTGGTGACACACATGTAACCAGCACGCAGGTATCTGGTAAAGCGGAATACTAAATTGTGGGATCTGACACCAGACTCATGGCACTAAAAAGCTCTTCTCAAGCAGGGAATTTCTCTTACCCCCGTGATTGTCCCTAAGACCTCGTCGAAATTACTCATGCTGTAGAGCATAGAGACGACAAAAACGAACGACAAGACAACAATATGTTAGCATCCTAAGAGAGAGTATTCATATATTTTAAACTATATATTTTCTAAATATCTTACTTAGATAATAGCATATATGACTATGGTTGAGATATCTAAGCCTTGAAAAGTGTCATTTTATACGGAATACAGAAGTTGGCGGCTTGGTTGGGAATTACATTATATATGACCCGTCTTAATCCCGTGCTTGGTCTCACCTTATTGTGAATATAAACATCTACTGTCCTTCTCTGGACAGTAGTGCAACATGTCTGCTGTTTCTTTGAGTCAGTGGGGAAAAGCTGGGAATATCAGGGGAAGCGTTTTTGGGGGCCAGAGGCCAATAGAGCATTAGCATGAGCAGAGTCCACACTCCGGATCTTGTTTCTGGGCCTCAGCCATTTAATATTTTCCCTCAAAGGCGAAATGTAAAATAAAGAGCCAGAACTAAGGGTCCCAAATTTAGATTAGTGTATATGATCGGCTCGTTGGGTTAAAATAATATAGTGGCCCCTTAGCAGAGGCTAGAGCCCTCTCGATTTTGCATTTAAAGTGAGTTGACTCGGTTGCAGTGGTGGCCTCTGGTTTAAGTTATACTGCTTAGTTGAGTGGATATTATTCTAAAAGAGTCGGATTTTTTGGATTCAGGTCAGAAGTGAACATCATGTTTGTTCTAGAATACTGATGGGCTTGGAGACCCAGTTAGCCAAACAATTGCCTCCCTTTTTCAATACCCGCAATACACATACGCTCCCTAGCCGCGGATTCTGTCAGCGACGATGCTGTCCTTCAAATCCGCTATCCATGAGAACGGGCAAAGTGCTCCTACTAAGCACTTATGAACAATTGGCGAGCCCAGCTCCTAAAGGTGCACATCCATTGCCTTGACGTATGCAAGGATGGGTCTATTTTAACAGTTAGCATTCTATACACTCCCATTTACTGGTAAGCAGCAAATAGCTTTTATAAAGCTTGCTTTTTTCCAATCATAACCAATTTGATAACTGAATATTAAGGGGAAAACTACTGAGGTGCATGCGTAAAATGGTTTGTTTGAATCCTCACCATTCCCAACGCAAGTTCCAAAAGTCCCACCCTGTGGAAGTTCACAATTCTATAAGATGTTAGTTTATTAGCTACTGTTTCCCATATACATGTATTATAGGAGCGACAGGGTAGGGATAGTGTGTCATACAAACCAGCCGAAGGCAACTGATATAATAGAGCAAAAGGCGATAGCAGAAGTAAGCTTCATCTTAGATATCGGGAAGTCAAAGATAACTTATTGAGAACCGATGAGAAAGTAGAAGCTTTAGAAGAATAAATCAAAACCAGTGAAGTAAAAGAGTATTTATACAGTGAGGATTCCCATATAGACGATATAGTGCTGAGTTATTAGAGCTCATTCAACATTACTGTAGCCCCATGAAAAATTACTTGCGACGGTAGAATAATCCTGGAAGGATCAAGGATCAGAAAATTTACTTGAGCATATGTTGGTCAATGCCTGATTTATTATTTCGATAGCTCCATAACAGCTAGAGAGAGCATTAATCCATTCTCCGCTTCTCATACATGGGTTTACACCGGCTATAATTGGCTATTAGTCTCTAGATTGGTTTAGCACCGTATACGTGAGCGCGCTTGTTAAGCATCATTTCCCCTATTGCAGCCACTTCAGCTGATTAGCTTTTGGGGCACCCGCAGTGCCCTGGTTTGTCTGTCTGGCACTTTGACTTAAGTAACAGGGTGTCCAGGTATGTATACCGAAATTTCCCCGCTGTTAGTGGTGAGTTCTCCTGCAATCCATGATCCCTCAAAAGCTACTTTGTAAGGATAAGTAAATTTGCAGCTGAAGGATTGAAGGATCGGTCTGTTGATGAATTGTAATATTAGTTGTTTAGCATGATTACCTTGGATTGAAGTAGAGTTAAATTTTCTATTGTTTCTCTAATACAGACATTAAAAGGCCCATGTGTAATGGGCGTGCTGATTGCAAATCAGCAGCTATTTATTCAAGCCAATCTGATTGATTAATATGTTCAACATTACTAACCATTCAGCATATTCTACCTGATTCTCTGTATAAGGAGTATAGAACTTAGTACTATGTAGGTAAGCCTTAATCCTAAAAAGAAGCAGCCCTATAAGATTCCTAAGACACCTTAATATAACTCGCTGAGTAATAATAATAAAGTAGATTAGTTGACTGTGGATCAGTCTAACCAAGCACTGCCGGACTAGTCTCAGAATACATGCATCATTCCCTTCTCAACGAGGACGCAAAATGATGTTTCCCTCTCGACACTGTACACTCCATCCATAAAGAGCTCAAAGATGCAACAGGTGGTTCTCGGGGCAAACTCGGAAGCTTAGCGAAACTACTCCGCCCAAAGACCTATTCAGCATGGCGTGTCTCAGTAGCACAGCGGCGCTCGACTTGGACCTCTCCCATGATTTTGATTGCTTTTAGAACCGGTGTGATTCAGAGAAGATTAATTGTTTTTTGTACCCGAAAACATGAAGATTTATATACAAGATGAATATCAGATTGATTTCCAATCAGTCTGATTCCATACAATAAATTCCGTACATGAAGCTCCATTGTCTACTTGATCGAGCCTCGATTCACAACACCCTATAGTGTGAACACGTCATGACAGAACTTGAGATCGGGAATTAATTCAGGATAACCCTGGCAGCCGGTTAGGAAAATATACTCTAGCCATTGTTGGAAACAGAAAGCTGTTCGAAGCATAACTAGCTGGTCAGTGCCTCGACGATGGTTGTATGTTTCTGGTTCACAGCCCTCGTGATGTCGCGGCTAAATTACTGAGGGGTCCAGACCTTATCCTTTTTTCGTTTACCGTTATATAAGAACAACTATTTGGCAGTAGTCGTCTATGTTCAAAAGTAATCTCTGGACGGTGGGATCGCCAGGCTGATGGGAACCATGGTAGGGAACCATAGTAGTTTGATGGGCCAAATGTAACTTCAACCTGCGGATAGAGTTTCAACGAGGAATCCAGCAGCCACCTTAGCAATTGGTAGCTGCAACCCATCAGCATTCGTTGTGTAACATCAAAGTGAAACAGCAGGAATGATATGCAGCCACTACCTGGAGATACCACAAGGTGCAGTGGCAGGTATTCATAAGGTATTCCTGCCCCTTTCATCTGCGTCTCCTGTCAGCACTAGCTTAACCCAGTGTATGACTCTACCAGTTGAATAGATCTTGCTAACACTCTCCCATCAAAGCTTAACCAGGCTACTGATTTTGAGAGCTGCCAAGATGCGATCTCTCTCTGCGCTTTCCACTGCAGCGCTGCTAGCACTTGCTACGGTGCCTGGCACTGCCTTTGACGACATTTATCCTCAACAACAAAAAGAAGCCTTTAATACGACTGAAGTACCCCGAGCACCTCTTCCCTGGGGAATGGTCAACTTTCTGCACACAACGGATACTCACGGATGGCTTGACGGGCACGCGAATGTACCCAGCTGGGGTGCTGACTGGGGCGACTTCGTATCCTTTGTAATGCACATGAAAGATAAAGCCTTACGGAAGAAGGTAGATCTTCTTCTTATCGATAGTGGTGAGTTATCTTTGATGTCAGTGTGTTTTACTTTGAGAAGCATCTCCGATGTTGAAGTGGTCACCTTTGCTTCTCCTAGGAGACTTCCATGACGGTGGCGGCCTCAGCGACAGTACAAGCCCTAAAGGAGCTGTCTCAGACAGTATTTTTGAGAACATTGATTACGATATTTTGACCGTTGGTAACCACGGCGTTCGAACCGGGGCAGAAGCGCTAAACATCCACCACAACCTATCGAGAGTCTTTGGTGACCGGTTTCTCACCAGTAACGTCGACGTAAAAGAAAATGGGATACTTAAATCAATTGGCAATCGATATCGCGCTTTCCAGACCAGAAATGGGCTACGGATCGTGGCGTTTGGAGTCACTGTCAATGACCCTGTCCTCAGGGATCTAAATAATACAGAGGTATACAGCGCGGGCTGGATATTCAAACAAACGTGGTTTGAGGAAGCCATGAAGAAAGAGGCCGACCTCTACGTACTTGTCGGTCATGCGCCTACCTACGCTTCTTGCCTGGATCCTAAAAAGGATAACCCTCTGGTGTGTCTGCGTGATAGGATCAGGAATTCCACAGATAAGCCTATCCAGCTCTTCGGGGGCCACGCTCATCATCGAAACTTCACGTGTTATGATGAAAGATCCTCGGGTATTGAATCTGGCAAGTATTGCGATACCGTGGGATGGGTGGCCTTGAACAACGTGTCATCACCTACGTGGTCTGGTGCGAAGGCACTGCTGGGTGACGAGCCCCATCCGAACAAGTCCTGCGCCGTAGGCAATCAAGGAGGTATACAGGACATCCCTTATTTTCTGGATCGCCGATACCTGGACTGGAACCGTGTAACGTTTGCGTACCATACGGTATACCTGGAAGGAGACACCGGCAACCCGTCCGTACCAGCATCCTTCGATACGCCGCTGGGCCGCAAGGTCACCGACGATATCAGCAAAGCCCGACATTTACTCAACCTGACCCACTTCCTAGGCTGCGCGAAAGAAGACTACTGCTTCAATTGCAAGAAAGTGGGACAGGACGGCAATATCTATGAGCTCCTAAAGGTTGCCCTCGCTGATACAGTTGTGAACAAAGAGCGGGCACACCTTGCGCGGGTCGTGATTTCCAATGACGGTACAATCCGGGATAATATTTACCAAGGCCCTTTCACGACTGGGGACGCTTATGCTGTCGTGCCCTTTCCGAATTATTTCCAGTATATCGCGAATATGTCATGTCCTGATTTCAAGAAGATGACTTCAAGTTTGCAGGCAAAGCAAGACGTTTCCTGCATCGATGACGGCGACCATAATGATTCCTCTGTGATTGACGAAGAGGGTCATGGATCCCAGTCTCAGTCACACCTGGAACTCCGGAGCATATTTGATGATCGTAGTTATCATCGGGCTACATTTTCTTACAAGCCCGAACAACAAAACAGAGAACGGAAACAATACAGCCCAGGGTACACAACGCACGACGCCTTAGGCAACGACGGAGACGACACTCTACACTCTCCTATTATCGAGGACGAAAGATACATGAAACTGTTCTGGGCAAACGCCAGCTTCCCGAACCCGTCCCATTACCCGCCTTCATTTGATGTGGTTTTCACCAACTACCTCACAAAGAGAATTCTCGACGCTCTTAATAAAACCGGAGCTCCCTATACGGAGAATGATGTCATCGATTACCTGCCGCGGGCTTATACTAGTAGAGAGGTCCTTGTTGACCATACTGCGAGGAATTGGGGCCAGGATAGGGAGAACTGTCCTATTCGGAGGCCGGGGGATCGTTAGCTATCCAAGTGGAGGAATTGGCTACCTTGCCACCAGGGCAGAGAATTATGGTAGATTTCTCCGATGAAATGATGTGCTGTGACTTTTTGGTGAACTCTCCAGCTCTCCTCGCAGCCCAGAATTTTGGAGATCTTTCCATTTTCGAATTTGAGGGTGGAGTGGCATAGCCAGGCAGTATTAGACTTGGCTAGCTATACCAGTAAATTCTTACCGGCAATAATATTGATTATATATAGCACATACGGTTGCATCATCTGTTCGATCCTGTAAACTGATTTATTTATTACGTTGCTTGCGACAGAAAGTAGTCCTCAATTTTCCTGTGCCACTCTTTTGCCGTTTCTTCATTAAGCAACCAATATACCTTGCCAGAACTCAGAAGAGATGTGCCTTCTTATTGCCTTGTACAAAGAAAGTCGTTCTCTTGGCTTGATAGGCTATTCAGTAGCTAGTCATGAAACACTTGGTATGGGGGGCTTACCGTGCTCGCCTTCAGTCCTCAAGACCAGCATCGAAGTCCACTTCCTGGTCTTAGTAAGCTGAATTTCGTGACAATGATTCATTATGTAAGACTGGATCTGGTGGCTAGGGTTTAGGCATTTGAGGACAACGATCAGGTCTTGCCAAGCCTCTGGATACGAGGCTGAATCCCTCCAACTAATTTGGCAGACCTAAATTAGTTCACGTTTGCCCCAGGCTACCCAACTTATAGTTCGGCTACTGCACGCCCTGAGAGTGTACTATATATACCATTGCGAAGCCAGCTTTTTTCTGTATTCCTCAACATAAAAGTCAATTTCCAAGCCCAAGTGCCAAGACAGTAGCTGGGAAAATGTCTGACGAGGCATTCGTTCTCCCCTGTTCTCCCTCTATCTTGCGGCCAGATCGCTTTGACTTCGTTTCTTCTGATGAACCTGAAGTTCCCTTTTGGCGGATTTTGTCTTTTATCTTAGCCGATTCATTAAACTCTGTGACTGACATCTTGTCTCTCATCGATACCTTAGAAACGATATCAGTCGTTCTACACGGAGAGGCTGCCAGGAACTATGTATTCCTAGGGGAATTTCTCGACAAGTATCTGTCAACGTCTACTCCTGGGCCATGCAATTTCTTTACATCAACGTGGCCACGGCTAGTCGATCTTGCCTTGCAACTGCCATCTTTATTCCCGACCCACTCCATCCCATCGCTGAAAGGCGACGAGACTAGCCAGATTATCTTAAGCAGAAGGCAGGCTGCATGCTTGGTTGTACACCAATTCTTGTGCTCCATGCCGGCCCATCCATGGCAGACAGAGTCCTTCACGAATCTGGCACCTTGGTACTCGGTTGGAGAGGCAATGCACCAGGGTGCTGTGCAGGCGTATCTAACCGCACTGTTCACATATTTCCAAGCCATAGTGGCCTCCGAACAAGACAGTGGAATTTTACACCATTCAGTAGAAGACTGGCCCATTATTTTCTCGTCAATAGTGATGCCTGAGGACCAATTACACTCACTTCTTCGCAATGCACCAGCCTCATTAAGCCACTTGGCAGTTGTCCAACTCCCACACCAATCAACAGACATCGCATACCTCGGTCTTCCAGATGGCGCATGCGTGATATCCGCTAATAAGTGCGTGGGATTTGGTGCGACAGGTACTCAAGAAGAGCTTCAAGTGGGTATTTCCCCCGAGGCGTACCCAGTGACACTGCTAGCGCCCCCTCTGAAGGACCGCCAGGTCCTCATCTGCCAAGGTGTCGAAGCAATGGTTACTACTAAAGGACATGGGAGATGGGCCTCCTTGGACGAAATATTGCATGGTAGACCAAGACCATCGTCAGCTGACTGGCGCAACCGGGTCATGCTATTCATGGATGCCCTGGAATTGGACCTTGTTGACAGCACTCATCCACATGGTGGAGAGAACATTCCGGACCTCATGCCAGGCTATCTACATCGGGAGTTGGTGAAGGCCTACACCGCGTTCAGCTCACATTGTTACAGGAATATCCAGAAACGATATTCCTTTGTTACTACCGGACTTTGGGGCTGCGGGGCCTTTGGGGGAAATAAACGGGTTAAAGCGATGATCCAGTGGTACGCCGCATCCATGGCAAATGTACCAGAGCTTCGATATGTCCTAGGTGGCGCAGAGCAGAAAGAATTTGGAGATGAGCTCAAAAGGTTCGTCGGCTGGGTGGCAGAGCACACTGGGAGAGAACTGGAGCCACGGAAGCTCTTTGATGTGCTTGTCCGTCTGGGTACAGACATCCAGAATGGGGAGTCCGCTGTTCCCAAGCCAGATGAGATTTTCGAATATGTTTTGAAAAGCCTGTAGGGAGAGGGAGTATTGGCTATCGTATGCTCTGGCGGGATACTGGGTCGCCTTGTTTTCCACCATCTCCTTTGTAAACTAGGAGCTTCGAAATTTCTAGAATGCGAGAGGCTAAAAGTCCGTGGCCTAAGTGGCCCCAGTATGCAAGCAAATGTTGCAACCATGGGTTGATTACATTTAAAACTTCAACACCTCTTTCCTACTGTAATATTAGTTTCCACATCTCAAGTTTCAATCACTGGATATCTACGTGCCATTCATGAAATACAGATTATTGGTCCTATGTATAGGATAGGATTTCACACTCTTCCGACTGAGCATTCCAATTAATCATGAAGAGAATAACCTCAAAGGAATTTACTTGCAGAATCATAGGAATATATTGCTGGATGAATATATATTAGCAAGGATGCATTATCATACTCATGGAAAGCAGAGAAGATTAAGAATTGACAAGAGCCTCTCAAGAGTCTCTTATTTGGCCTGTACGTCTGCCTGGTCATTCCATTTTGGCGAACGCGTCTCAGACAAGACTGCCTGTCTTACTCGCAATGTTTCAAAAATCCTGGGCATTATTTGTAGCACTCTTCAGAACTACTTCATGAATGCGGAAGCCTGGAATTTGAAGGGCTACGCAGGGTATGTCCGCTTTCTCACCAAAATCAACATTTTCTTACCATAGTGACAGCTTCGTTGGGGGCAGCTGCCCCTTGATTGTTATCATCTGGGCCTTATTCCGCCTCCCAGAACACCAAGGGAGAACTCGATGAATTGGACACCCTCTTTGCGAAGCAGGTCTTTGCTCGCAAGCTTGCTGCCACCGATGTTAACGCTTCAACGAGGAGGAAAACGACCAGCTGGCCGAGAGTTACGCCGTCTCCCGCTAGACCCATACTGTGTTCATCAGAGTTGGTTCTCGTCTGAGTATTGACCGTAGAGGAAAACCGATATCTGCTGATGACTCACCAAACATGCAGCATACAAGGCACAGGAGGTGGCAGCATAGCGTGTAAGAGTACCTCCATGCTGCTTTTTCCAACATCGTGTCTCAGCCGTGCATGGGAATGCTTCCAGCCGGAGGTAGCTTGTTGGAAGAGAGTCCGAGAGCCACATGAGCGTATCACATAGATGATGATGTTCATTAGAAATACGGTACATCCCTGCCACAGAATGCTCCTTAAATGGGTTCTGAAAGAGACTAGCTTGCCACGTTGAAAAGATAAGCTTCTAATGTACAAAAGTCCCTTTCAGAAAGACCGTTCATTCCGAACAATGATTAGTAAAGTCATTATCGAATTCACATTTCTAACTCAATATGGCAGAAACGGGCTCAAGACACAATTGCACTTTTCTCCCCTGCATGCTGAAACCTCTGCCTCCTACGCTTATCTGATATGATCCTGAAATGTTTGCGCCACATATATGAAGCCGTCAAGATCAGTGCCAGGACCTTACGCTTGTTGAGGCTTATAGCTACCCCGGGACCGGGGAGAGAGCGAGTTTGACGGTCGCCACTGAGAGCTTTGATTATGGCTTTGCCTAGAGAAGGCTAGGATCTGTAAGAAATACCCTCTATGGATCAGCAATTTTGAGCACAATTCTTCCAGAGATATCGCCTTTCTCCATTTCCTCATATACTGCTGGCAGCTCTTCGAATTGCCGAACCTTGATCTCCGGCTTTACCATCCCTCGCTTTACAAGATCAACAGCCTCCATACATTCTTTCAATGATCCAACCAGGTTTCCAGTGATCTTCAAGCCCCTAATGACAATGGTCGCAATCGATGTTTCCAGACAAGGACGACCTGGGGGGATTCCCACACAACTTAGAGTACCTTCAATCCGTAGCATTTCACACGCGTGGGCGAAAGCCTTTGCGCTTCCTGCAGTCACTACAACAGCATGAGCCCCAAGACCGGTAATGTCGTGGACACGTTTGATCGGATCTTCTTTGGTGAAGTCGATGAATTCTTCGGCTCCGAGACCCAGCACGAAATCTCGCTTGCCTGGCCCATCCACACCAATTACCAAGGCCCCCTGTGCCCGGGCGTATTGAACTAGCAGACCTACTTTTAGCTATATCGATTAACAAACAACGTTCTTGACTCACCCGCCAGATGACCCAGGCCTCCACCAGCACCCACCACAACCAGCCAGTTTCCAGCTCTCAGATTAGCGTTAAGGACAGCCTGAAAAGATCATATCAATATCAAGTTGTTACAAGTTATCACTGGGTTTCTTCACCTTATACACCGTCACCCCGGCACACAGCACCGGTCCGACCACGCTTGGATCAACATCATTGGGCAGAATCGTCAGGTAGTCTCCGTCCAGTGCAATATACTCCTGAAAACTTCCATCCTCATGATGCAGGTGGTTTCTGCTCCTCAAGCAGTACTGCTCCATTCCTGCAAGGCAGAACTCACATCGCCGGCAAATACGACTTGCAAAGCGGATGCCAACAAGATCCCCAATCTTGATATCTGATCCACAGCCGGGACCTAGAGCGACGATACGTCCGACTCCCTCATGGCCACCGACATGAGGGAGCTTGATCTGGGTGATGGGATTGCCGTCTGCACCAGCTGCGGTTCCGGCCTTGGTATGAAGGTCTGTTTATTGAAGTTATTATCCTTGTCTGAAACAACAGAGCTCTTCTGGCCAGTAACAGCAAAACACCCAAGGAGACGCTTTCATGCCAGCTTCAGACATCGTACTCACCGCTCTGGCACACTCCAGAATAGAGAACCTTGGCTAGAACTTCATTGTGACCAGGTACAGGAACTGGATAATCGTCTTGGAACTCAACAGCGCCGCCGAGCTCGCGAACGAGCGCGACGGTTTGCGTCTTTGGGATTGGTCCCGAGCTCATGACTTCTACCTGTTCCTTTCGGGGACGAGTTTAGTTGTAGCGATGCAAAAATTTGGTCGGGCGTGCTGGCTGCCTGAAATACGTCAGAGGGAAGTGCGACTAGATTCCGGGCATGAAAGCGTCAACAGGACTCATTCGCTCGGAGCGTTAACAGTTTGGGATTTAGTAAATGCCCAGTGGCGTCGTTATGTGAGAAATTGAAATCGTCCGCACGCGTATGGGATTTGACCTTGCCCCCACGTTTACTTCTTAGAACTCAATCAAGCATGTCCAAGCCGTTTTGCCGTTTTGCCGCCTGTGCTTACCACAAGTATCGGGATTTAGCTTGCGAAATGGGTGGAGTCGACGTGGGGTGTTATTTGTCCAAAGGAAGGCCCTCTGGACCGTTGTCTGGAACCCTGCCAAGAAGACCTGCTCCTGTGGTGATGCTCCAGGCCCTCAAAGAGCCTCCGCACCCCGTCTCCCCCGCATTTCTTTCGGAACGCAATACCCAGTCTACAGTGAGGCCAGTCTCGCTGACCTTCCCTTGTTTTCGTTGTTTTCATATCCCGGCCAGAGAAACGGTAACGGATGGTTCGCGACTTTGCTACGAGGCAGTGCCTTCGGAGTGGATTCCAGCCAATTCAGAGCAAAACCCAATTCTACTCACTCCGTCCACGTCACTTTCCACCGGAGGCCCAGTAATGTAGGATATAGTCCTGTGGTTTATGGTGGGATTCTGGCTAGGTAGAGTTGGGATCACAAATTGCATGGATATCTTCGTCGGCGGACTGAACGATGGGATACCGCTGGCATCAGCTCGACCATCTCGAGCTGACTGTCCTTGCTTTGTAGACCACGCTGCTTAAGTGTTTCACGAAATCATATTCGGCTATGCTCACAGATCTGGATAATCACTGCTTGTGAGGCATCACAATCATATTGCGTACAGGGTTTATCCTTTTCTCCAGCGGGTAATCGCCCCAGAAGTCTTGAACATGTCTCAGTATCCTATGATACCTCAGCCCTTCTCCCGGCTGCATATGGCCCGTAATTCCCATTCTGTCTGATTCGGCTCTTTTAGGAGGTATCAAAGCTCTGCCAACAATCAGTTCGAGGCCCTTGAGCGAGAAGTCTGCCGCCTCCCTGGCGCTGCATGGAACGCCCAATTCATCCAGAAACGCAATCTTTGTTCTTGGGAGTTTTTCGCGCAGGTAATCAATAATGGCAGGGTTAAATGAACCGCCACCGCCGAGGTAGATCTCATCCACTCCTTCCTTGGGACCCCAGCGCTCGTACGCCTCTACAAGCGCTTGGGCAGTGATACGAGTGATGGTCGCGACGCAGTCTTCGGGAGTTGCGCCTTCAGCCATCATCCGTTCACAGAGTTCCTGGCTCCAGTTGTCTCCGAAGGTTTCGCGGCCAGTTGTCTTGGGAATATCATGGACAAAGTACGGGCCTTTGAGGGTTTCATCGACGATTGCTTGGTTCACGCGGCCGGCTCTGGCCATCGATCCATCTTTGTCGTACTGGCGCTTGCCCTGGGTGAAATAGCGAACCGCACTGGCGAAAGCAAATCAGTAAGCCGGTTGTATTGTCAATAAGGCGCTTCTTCTGTGTCAAACAATATCGCTGCTCGACGCAGCAATGGGCCGTTGACGATATACTCACCCATCAATAAAAACGTTGCCCGGGCCTACGTCAAAATCATACGCTTCATCCGGCGCGTTCTTGGGGCAAAATGTGATATTTGCAATACCACCAATATTCTGAACTGCTCGATTCAACGTGGGATGCGATGCGACCAGAGAATCAAAGGCCGAGAAGAACGGGCAACCTTGGCGGCCAAGAGCCATGTCGGAAATGCGGAAGTTGGACATGGAAGTAACGCCAGTGTGGGCAGCGATGATCGATATCTCGGACATGTCCAGATGCGCGCGAATCTGGTTGCCTTCAAAGAGTTCTGGAAGAGGAAGATGCCAGATTGTTTGGCCCTGGCCGGCGATGATATCAACGTCTTCTTCAAGACTAAAACCTTCTCGCTCAGCGAACTGCCGGATTGCTTTGGCAGCGAATTCGCCGAGCTATATATGCTCACACGCGGACAGGATTAGTTTTCTAGTTTAGAAAAGTACAGACAGTCACATATTACCTGGATGTTAACCATCGATATCTCTTCGGGGGTCGTTTCATTGTATCTGATCATTCGCATGACCGTTTCTATCGTTACCCTGAGCCTCAGAACCTATGTCTGCGCAAAGCAGCTCTTAGTTCTCGTAGTGATATGGCTCACCTTTCAGAACTCCGTCAAACTCAACGTCCCCATGATTCAAAATCTCCATCTTCAAAGGTGCTTCTGGGTGCTCTTGCGTCCAATGGATACGGACAATATCAATTCCATCCATGGACGTCCCTGTTCCAATGTTCCGCGTTCAGTTGCGTTCAAGAAGTTTGTCGTTAGGGTCGAATATTCATGTATACCTTGATTGGTCCCGATGATTCTCAGACTCAATGGCTTCCCGTTCCATTTGTTGCCATTGCTTTGGGTACCAACAGTCTCGTTGGTTGCTGTGTGGGCGACCGTCATCGTGGAAGTGATAATATGGCTTTACTCGCGAGCATATGGAAGAAGATGGACGAAGGGAAGTTCAGCCTGCATGCTCAGTTTGGGCCTTTTAAATGTTGGATCTGCATCCCCGGATTCTCGCACGGATTTTCGGTGGAACAAAAACGGGTCCTCTCAACTCGGGCCCATGATCACTCCACGCGTGGGGTTGACCGAACTAATGAATAGGCTGGAATGACTACAACGTAAATTTCATTGCCCTTGGGCGGAAATATAAGCGAAGTATGCCTTTTCACCGGGGGCCTTTTCGCGCGCCGCTTGGTATCCCCGGAATACTACTAATGCAATTACCTTCCCAGCGACTTCAGCCAGAGTGTCTACATCTCAACAGCAGAACCGACCTTTGCTAGGCCTGCAATATTCCCAAGCCGCCTTGCCGCGGTGGCGCATAACTCTATTTGCCTTGAATGCCTCGAGACGATCACGTGATCGGCAACCGAGAGAACTGATCTGCTACAACCGTGCGCGAGGTTTATTTCCAAACCCCACATGTGCTGACAGCCTCTTGATGGATCGACCGACACGAGGAGATGTTTCGTTGGCCGGAGCGAGACGAGCAGAACCAGGGTTCGGCCATGCGGAGGCGGGGACAATAAGCGTTTATCCTTCGCGCTAGCAGAAGCCGAGAAGAGGACAGGATCCAAGAGTCACTTTTGGTGGCAACGCTATTGACATCGAGCTCCGTACGAATCAGATAGGCATCTCCGCTGCTCTGAAATCAGTTTGAAAATCCGGGGTGGATGACACCACGACCACCACCAACGACTTTGTTCCACTCCTACTCATATTGAGGTCTCTTCCATCATCTTGGTGCTCATTCTCCGCAATCCGCACCCCAGTCAGCATGGCGCGCAAGTTCTGGGAGCGCATGAGCGGCGCTCAACTCATCTTCATGGTCAACTTTATCGCGGCCTGGGGCATTTTCTTCGAAGGGTGGAATCAGGGAAACATGGGATTTGTCAACAGCGCCCCGACATACCAGGTCAAAATGGGCCTCGGTGCCGGCGATGGCACTGTCAATAACCCAACCAGAGAGGGTGGCATCGTCGCCATTTATTACCTCGGTGCCACCATTGGCGGTTTCTGGGGCGGCCACGTTGCCGATCAGTATGGCCGTGTCAAAGCGGTGATATTAGGGGCGCTATTTGTCCTTCTTGGTGGATCGCTGATGGTTGGTGATCAGACTTTACTGAATATACGCGACACACGCTGACACGTACCAGGCCGCAGCCGAGAACATCGCTTGGATGTGCTGTTCCCGCGTCGTCGCGGGGTTCGGCGTCGGTTTCTTCATCTGCATCATTCCTGTCTGGTCCTCGGAGATCACCTCGGCTCGCCGCCGTGGGTCCCACTTCTCCCTGCTTTGGTGCGGCAACTTCCTCGGCATCTTCAGCGCTTACTGGGTCGGATATGGGCTGTCGTTTGTCAATGGCGGCGATTCTACACTCCGGTGGCGCTTGCCCCTCGCGTTGCAGGTCGTTGCGCCCGCCGTCATGATCCCCGCCATCTGGGTGATGCCTGAGTCGCCGCGGTGGCTGATGAAGGTAGGGCGGAACGACGAAGCGTTGAAAATCATTGCCATTTTGCGCGGGAACGGGAATGCCGATCATCCCGACGTGAAGCGAGAATATGTGGAAATCCAGAAGACACTGGAGGAGGATAAGAAACTCGCGGATTTCGACTCGTACTGGCGCCTCGCAACGGATTACAAAGAGGGCGGGCTGCACTATGGCCGTCGTGCATTGCTGGCGTTTGGAATCCAGATCCTTGTCGAGGTCGGCACGGGCATCGCTCTCACGACCATCTATGCACCGACGGTCTTCAAGCAGGCCGGGTTTAGTACGGCGAAGACGGGCTGGCTGTCCGGGCTTAATGGCGCAATGGGCCTGGTGGGCACCGTTGTCGCCGCCTTCTTCTGTGATCGGTTTGGACGACGTATGAATTTGATGGTAGGGAATGCACTGTTAGGCACATGGATGTGGATCTATGCTGGGGTGAGAAGGCTTCGTTTCAAAACATGCAATACATTAGGCTGACGGATCGTAGCTCTCCAAAGGGGCCTTCGACCATCCCGAACATCAATCTTCATATGGGGCCGCCGCGTCCTCCATGATTCTTATCTTCACCTTTACCTTGTGCGTTTTCTGGATGATCCCCTGTTTTATCTACGCTGCCGAGATCTTCCCCACTGCTCTCCGTGCGAAGGGCAACGCGTTCCTCGTTGGCGGGTGGGGAATCGGCGTCGGCAGTGGTGTGTTGTGGTTCCCGATTGTGGTGGAGAAACTGGGATATAAGACTTTCTACATCTTTGGCGTCGCAAACTATGTCTGGATAGTGGTTATATTCTGCTTCTTCCCTGAGACGGCCGGGAGATCGCTGGAGTCCATTGACCTGCTGTTTCGCTCCAACTCATGGTTCGTCTGGCGTAATGAAAAGGATTATGAGAGAATGGCGAGGGAGCATGAGGAGAGCGTTGCGAGGGGCTTGAAGATGCTTGAGGAAACTGGAATGACGGGCGGCATTGTTAATGAGAAGGATGCAGAGCCGGTCCAGTTGTTGGAAGAAGAGTCAGCGAAAATATTCATGCAGAGTGATGTAGGAGAGCAGATGTAGGCAATGCCTGGCGGGAGGAAGGGCACAGCAGCGGAATGGAGTTATTGTATTTGTGTCATTTCAACTGGACTACTCCTAGAATGCAACATCCAGTGCCGGACATTGTCTTGAATATCATATATAAGAGATTGCTTTATCAACTCTCTCATGATACGCTGTGATTGTTCAATATCTTGATTTACATACAGGTCGGTAGGCATGAGACAGTGCAATGTATTCGACATCCATGAAAGCAACCCATATCCGAAATGGGGGTGAATATTAACAGTGACCCTCATGAAAAGATATCACAGCGTATCTCCCATTTCGGACCCAGGCACCGCCTGGAGCTTCGGCATTCAAGGCGTCCACCTTGACTTGACTCTCTACACCAACGCAGGTGTCGGACTTGTTCGTGCGAAGAGCGAGGATCTTCATTCTGCTCTTCCCCAAGGGACCAAGCGTCTCCCGGAATGACGTAGTGTAGGGCCACAGCCCATCCTTGGTTAGTTTACGATAGTTCAGATCGCCCTTGAATATGACAAGGTAGCTGGACTGAAGTTGATCGAAAAGAGCCGGTGCTCTGTTCGGCATCTCATGAAAGGAGTAGGGGGTTGTCCAGAACGGTTCACTCGTTGTGCTAATAGCGCCACACTCAAAGAACTTGCGTAGTCGCGGAACCAGTCGATCGAGGTACTCGCGGTCAGGGAAGCATTTGGCTGATCCGAGATGCTCAAAAAGTGAGTCCACGTCAGTCAGAACGACATCACTGACGAACCAGGGGAACTGTTTTGTATGCAATTGCACCGAAGTTGCGATCTGAGAATCCAAGAGATAAGCCGCGTAGATCAAGTCCGTGAAGAGCTCGAACCCAGCATTGTCCAACACGATGTCCACATGGCGATCTACCGGCGATGGCGTGCACTGGAGGTACGCCCAGACGGCATCAGTATCATTATCCACGATATTCTTCTGGTTCTTCTGGATGGCGTCCTGTCCCTGGAGATCCTGCAGATCTTCCATGCTTAAATGGCTTAGCAGAGACAAATCGGTGGCGTTTCCCCACAGTGCAATTTCGGTCATTTCGATGAACAGCAACCGCTGCGCCTCCTCGCTGCCGTGGCCCGCAAGATCCTACTCTGCTACGACTTGCATGTACCGGCTGGCGAGCTCTTCCACGGCGGCTCGTGACGTGACAAAAGTTGAGTCTTTTCGACGCTTGAATACGTCATAGCCCTGCCAGTTTTTGGATGCGTTGAAGATGGTCTGGATGCGCCTGCTTCGATCAGCCTGTGACTTCAAAGCTCCAAATAATGGTAGTACCTATACAGGTAACACTCTGCAAATAGCCACGGGCAATCCAACCAACTGCAACTTCCAATCCCGTTGAGCTGCTTGTTAAAATCACCAATACCAGGCACTCCATCTTCTCGTAAAGGTCTATTGGCAGTTAGCGTACGCTCATTGACAGCCATTCGGGACTAGACCGACTTCAAAGGCTCGTTCCGTTCGATCTCATGCATGATCTCCTGCAGCGCAATCCGCATGGCAGCCCTCTCGGCCCGCTTTTCCTTGTCGGAAGAGGCTGCGGTCTCGTCAATATCGTCAACGGTTCCTTCAACAATCTTGGGCCACCTGGTGACGGCCGTCTGTTGAGCCATCGACCCTTGGTCAGAAGTCCATACGGCGCGGACTTCTTCAGTTGGGGAAGGCATGATAAATGGTTTATGAACCTTTGAAATGTGTTAGGGAAGGGGGCCGTACACAGGTACGTTGAGATCGCTGTGGCCTCTTGACTACATTCCACCGCGGAAAGGAGCCTTATATCACCATCTGAACCAAATACTCAAGCAATATTGAGGTATGTGGACCGCTGTTTGGCCGTCCTTAACTCCGGGCGCCCGGCGAGAAAAAGACTCGGGTAAGAAATAGTGTATCGCTTAAATGGCTCTTCACCCGTCGTTCCCTCTCCCGAGCGAGAGAGGCTTTAAACCCCGCCCTAATTTTCTTACTCCGCATGAGCCGTACAGCATTTTACCGTCCGCTTGGCCTCAATTCCCATAGGGCAAGCATGATTTGTAACAATGTCAGAACAGGGCATGAGCGCATCTTGCCTTTGCTGCAGAGGTTTTGACATTCTGAGTCTTCTTGCCTATTCGCCACTGGATCGCCGAAATTAGCCTGGCAGGTCCGACCGTCCGAGCAAGCGCGTCAGCGTGGGGGTTTCTACAAAACAGAAATGCTTCACTGGCAGCTTTGCATGAGAGTGTAATTCTTGGTGCCTCTTCAACGCAGCAGCACCAGCTCTCATCAAGCTTTCCGCACCTTGAGCCCTTCTTTCACCATGTCGACGTTTAGAAAAGGCGACCCGAGACACAACTCATACCGGTTCTGCACGGACAGTGATATGTCTTTACCATGGTGTGAAAGGGGAAACACTTCCCCAGCTGCGATATGCTGCGTTGAGCTCAGCCCTTACAATCACAATTTAATTAGAATTTTCTCTGCCATCAGTCTGTTTGTTCAACGTCTTATCAACCCATAACGACAATTTTAATCATCCCAAATCGTGTCTGCAACCTCTCAAACCTCCCAAACATTCAAACTTCTCCCATGCCGTCTTCATACTCCCAACTTTGTTCGGACTCTACAATAAACGCAGTCCAACGTCCTACCAGACCATAGTGGACCCTAGACAACCTCGCGGTGGTCAGCAGTTGAAACGGCCGCGTTGCCCTTGCCCTCCGCCATCTCGTTAGAGGATGATGGGGTTGAGGTTCCGGTATCATCTAAACCTAAAACGACACGAGCTTGGTGGACATCTGCATGGACGTCTTTGAACTCTCTTGCAACCTTGACTGGGCTGCGCCGCTCGTGGTGCGCCTTGGCAAAGATCACGTCCATATCCTCCAGGGAGCGACCAGCTGTCTCCGCAACGAAGAAGTACGTGATTGGGACGAAGGACAGGTTAATGATCGCAAAGACCATATAGAGCCAGTAGTGGATGTTCTTGAAACCAACGGGGGCGATCATGAGCCTGATATGCGGTAAGTTAGCAGAAGACTCCAATTCTTCTCTCGGGCACTTGGAACATACGTGATGAAACAGAAGATCCAATTAGAAGCAGTTCCAATAGCATTTGCTGGTGCACGAATACGGAGTGGTGTGACTTCCGCATTGTACAAGAATGGAATTCCAACCCAGGCGAGGCCGAAGAAGGTGTTGAACAGGAAAATGCATGCGATAGCGACTGCCTGCGCAGCTTTACTGGGACTCTGGAGGAGAAAGGGAAGCATGAAGAAACAGGCCCCCTGGCCAGTAGCAGCAGCCATCAACATTTTACGACGGCCGACCCTCTCGATGAAGACGATGGCGAGGAAGGTGAACAGGAAGTATTGCGTGCCATTGACCCCAGCTAAGAGCTGAGCTTTCTCGGCAGATAACCCGAGCTGTTTGGTGAGGATGACGATGACATAGGTATTGCAGACGTTGATGCCAGAGATTTGTTGCGCGCCTTGCACGAATATACCAAGCATCATACGTCTGAAGTTTTGGTTCCTGTCGTTGGTCACGAGTTCCTTGTACCGGAATGGCCGATCTCCTTTTTGAGCTTCGATGGATGTCAATATGAGTTGCGCGGCTTCTTCGACTTCCTCAGAACTCGTTGAAAGGCCAAGCAAAGCACCAAGGACGTAGTACGCATCTTCCTTGTATCCATGCTTCAACAGCCACCTTGGAGACTCTGGGAGGAAGAAGACGCCAACAAAAACAACGGCAGCAACGATACATTGGATGCCAACGATCATGCGCCACGATACTTGGTACTCATCACCGACCCCTCTCAAAAAACTTTCAGATATAAAGTGAGCTATGGCTCCTAATGGGAGGTTTATCTGACTTACGCATATCCCACCCAGAAAGATGTCATCACACCGAAAGAGCAGAGCGCACCTTCCAGCATCACGAAATAACCTCTGGACTTTGGCTTGGCACACTCACTTTGCCAAGGAGGCACAGTAGCAACTTCGAGGCCCAAACCGACACCGGCTACCACACGACCGACTAGGAACTGAGGCAACCCGAAAGCAGAGGCCTGGAGGAGTCCACCAACGAGAATAAGTGCCTGGCCGAGCAAGACCGTCCTTCGTCTACCAAGACGATCACCGATTTCGAGAAGAGAGAGAGCACCAGCAAGGCAACCGATTTCGAAGATACCAACAGAGATACCTTGGATATTAGGATTTGTGGCAGTCGACGGCATGGTTTCAATAAATGACTGCGAGATCAAAGAAGTGAGAACTCGCAGTCGCGAAGGAGGTCGAGAACAGCTACTTACCCTCTGCGTAAGCACCGAACCCATGTAACCCATGTCATAGCCGAAAAGGAAAAACGAGCATCCTGCAAAAAAGGCGATGGCAGTGTTAAGCCTGTCGCCTGTCAAACCTCCAAAAGTGTGAATCATTTTGTGCGATTGTAGTCGTTGTAGGTTTACAAAACACAGTACGTGGTCTAAGGAGCGCAGGACTGAGGGACGCCGAAGAGCCCTTATGTATCAATTTCAATACCTGCACCGCATGTCATCCAGCTGCATCATTATGATCAGCCCATGCTCGCATGAAGCTTGGGTCCAGCTTGCTTTGAAAGCTGTAGGTGTAATATCCACCCGGCCCCCACGCGAGCTACAACAGAGCTTACCCCGTGGGGTGCTCAAGCTGTGGAGGCGCGTTGTGTCAGCTTCAGGTTTCTACCCAGGGATAGATGGACTATTGCACAGGGCCAGATACGGTTGGCTGCCGCAAGATGCTTTGAGTTACCGGGGGGCATGTGAGTGTCATCGGCTCCAGCTCCTAACCGTTTATCCTTTCCATGGACCCGAGCTCGTCTCGACATGATGTGGAGCCGGGGTATGCTCCGTGAGCTGGAATAAGGTTATTCCCCGCAAGGATGGGCTGCACAGCAGACATTATTCTGGGCCCACTTCTGACATGGCTTGTATTAGCTCACTACCCTGCATCGGCACGCAAAATCATCCAATAGTACTTGTAACTGGGAGATTTGAGATGTGGGACATTTTAACTAAGGTGGAATATGGGTAAAGAGGAGTAACTTGAGTGCGGGGAAGCGGGAAATCTGGGGAAAGCTTGCTCATCCCACCATCTCCGTTTTCCCCAGATTGATGTCAGGATAAGATCTAGAAAGTATTGGATGCGCGAGCTCTCCACGTAAAAGCTCGAAAGATTAAAGGAGCATTTGACATCGGGTTTACAACATGGGGAGGAACCAGCCACATTCAACTCGCGACACAAAGCAAGATCTTGCGAGACGATCTGCTGGGTCCCGGCGAGATCGGCTAAAATATATGGAAATTGTACCCATTGGAAATGCACTTAATTACTAATTATTGTGGTCAAGCCAGGTCGGTATTCTCACTGCTGGCCACGAAGGAGTCTGGAACATAATAGCCCCGCGAGGGTCCTTTTGTAGGCGTATTCTGCTTTGGTTCATGCTACATCATGTGACTCGCGTCATGTGCGTCTCCCACAGTTCATTCTCCATTCCCTCTCGCCACCTCGGCCTTCAGCCTAGATGTTCCATTTCATCATCGTCTCCAGTTTATACACTGTATGTTAGGCATATATGCCCTCAGCAGGAAACAGCATCTTTGATTGGAAGATAGGTACACTCTGCGCAAATTGTTGGGTATTAACGAAGTGGAGCGCATCAGTAGCTTGACCATGCAGCGACAATCATTTGTGCTATACTTTCAAGTCATATGTTCGGGATACACCTACAATTCCTAGAGAACCTTCAGAGCCGTTTTGTCTGAGATGCATATGATGCCGTATAGTACATGGGTTTTACTTGCGCGTATTGTAGTTTAGAGCACATACAACTGGACTGGACGTGGCATAACTGCTCCCAGGTATAGCCGCAGCCTGGCTCAATATGTAGGGTGAGGATGGACAAACCAAATGGTTCATAGGCGTCATGGGCATGAGGTAGCCATCTACACATCCTTGAATAGATACACTCTTAAGACAACAATCGTTGCCTATGCTCTCAAAGAAACCATTCGCTGTGGTAACTATAGTCTCTAGTGCAGTTCATACAAATGATAAACTAATGAAAGGTCTGATTCTTTTTAATCTAGTATCTAACGAACGAATATTTATACTATCGGAATCGTACCTCAGGGGGCTAGGTGAGGGGCATCCAGCTTATTCCTGCAGATAACGCGGTAGTGAAAAACGATATCTATCTAATAGGCAGGTAAGGCGAATCTGTTCGAATCGATAGCGTTGAGGCTATACACATCTCCCAATTAGGCAATCGTTTTGAATCGTTGGTGTAGCAAGAGGTTGAAGCTCCTGGATCAGGCCCAGTCTTGTATCCATTGATCTTCTAGATTTGCGACTCTAGATGTAGATCATGACCAATCTTTACCTAGTCACAAGTAGATCGTTTACATTCTAAGCAGCTCCTGATTGGTCGATAAGGCCACTGCAGTGATAGTACAACGCGCTAGTTAGGTGAGGCGGTCAAGGTCGGCAGTACAGAAGAATGTATGAGCTACTGTATCCACTCTTTAGCTTTCCCCGCATCACATAAGCCCCGCAGTTTTCTGTTGCATTAAGACTTGTCCGTCAGACCATCGCCTCATTCGATTTGGTAGCATACCCCTGCCTAAACACTTGGACCTCGATCTTCTCGTTTCCTTTTATCTCAAGATACCCGCCGAGTGGAGCAAAAAGAAATGGATGGAGACCACTCAAAGAAGGTCGAGAACCGGATGGTGCGACATTTTCTCAATCTTCCTGGCTTGTACCGTCACACTGACCGTTAGCCTCATATCAGTTATACCTGTCGCCAACGTCATCTGAAATGTCAGTCTCTCCAGAGCCTGCGGGTGCTGCAACTATCGCGCTGACCTGCGATCCCTTTTTTCCTTTTAGGCGATGAAGAAAAACCCATTTGCTGGAGATGTCGGATTGGTGGCCGAAACTGCCTCCGGCCTCACAATTCTGAGGTCCACCCCGCGCGTCCAAGACGGACCACGACTTACGAGAACGCATTTCAAAGAGCGTCACCTGGTACTAGTGGCCCGGCGCAGTTACCAATCCTGAACGACGTGCGGGACAATGTTGATCCCTCTCCCGTAGTGGCTGCTCCTCCTGCGCAGAGCGTCAGCAGCTCACCTGATTCGGGATCAACAGGTATACCAATACAGTCCTTAGCAGCAACTACTCCATCAACAGTTGTTCCAAGTGTCACCGTGCCCACGTCGCTCGCTGAACGGACCGCTCCGCCCGGAGAGGCCGACCTAGCTGCGTCGGCCCCCTTCGATGTTCAGACCCTGCAAGGAATCCAACTTTATCTCGACCATAGCGACATCAAGGCTGCTTCGCCCACTGCACATGGCTCCATACCCCCGTTCACCGTATCCGCAGAAGAAGAAACTTTGCTCCAGCACTATGCGCGCCGTCTGGCAAAATGGGTGCGTAATACCCGTCTCTACACTGACTGATAATCGACTCACGTTTGCTTGAATCTAGGTGCGGTCCTCTGACGCCGATCGACACTTCACTATCACGGTGCCACATCTTGCACGTCGCTCTCCAATCCTTCTGAAGGCGGTCTCGGCTTTGGCAGCGCGGCATCTTTGCCGCTTGGGAAGCTGTGATTCCGCTATTGCGGAGGATTATCACAAACAGTGCATCGGGTTGCTGATACCCGCGCTGGGTGATCCTAACGCTGCGACTGATGATACCCTACTCGCAGCCTTGGTCCTGCTAAGACTGTACGAGCATCTGAATGGTGAGTCAGCCTGGACACCTTTCCGCTGTTTTCGTACTCCTCATTGGCATGTTGTCTGATGTCATGTTTCTGGTGCAGTGTCCGACAGCGGTCGGGATTACGAGCACCATCTCATAGGCGTATCGGCGATGGTCACCTCCACGATCCGCAATCCCTGGGCCGCTTCAGGCTCAGGGCTGAAATGGGCGGCATTTTGGTGTTGTTTTCGACAATCCATCTACCCCGCCTGTGTCTACCGGCAACCGCTGAAGTTCGACATCTCCGGCTACAACATCGAAGTCAGATTGTCATCCCCGGCTGCTGGCGTCTTGCCGACGGTAGAGGAGGAGTCAGAATGGTGCCACTGGATAACATGGATTCTGGGCCAGGTCGCTGATTTCTGCTTTGGAACGAGGTCGCTTGAGATGACGGCGACTGAGGAGGAAGAGGCATGGAATGGATTGGTGCAGGCGGTAGACATGTGGGAGGCCAATAAACCGAAGAGTTTTCTACCGGTAGCGTGTAATGATCGGGAACTGGAACAAGGGAGATGGTTCCCCGAGATATGGTTCGGAAGCGAATGGCACGGTGTGTTCTACGTGGGGTGAATCTCCAGAAGAGAACTTATTTTCGCTAACCACGATCGAACGGTAGCAATGGCTGCGGCGCAGTCCTTGGCCGCGCGAATCCTGCTCGATGTTCACCATCCGCAGACACGGAAGATTACCATTGGAGAATTCGGTTTTCTTAGGGCAAGACAGCAACTTGAGGTCCGTTCCCGGAAGTGGCATGTTCGTATCCTTACTCATGGAGGCGCAGAGAAAGGTCCTTTTGCATGCCAGGTCGCTTTGCGGAATTTGTCTCACAGACCCAACCAACGTTGCGGCTATTTTCACCATGTGTCATGCGATTTTTACCTGTAAGTCCAGCTGGTCCCTCGGATCTATTGATACTGATCTGACGGACTCTGGGATCGATCAAGTTTCCTCGTTTATCAATGTCGATGAAGAAAGGCGACTGTTGGTTCGAGTCCTGAGAACCGTAGAGAGGGATGAAGGCTGGCCTACGACGTGAGTTCCCTTAGCTTCCTTTCCGCCGTGGTTCTAACTACTGGAAGGCGCTGACCGTTTACTAGATGGATTGTGAATGCGCTGAAGGTGGACTGGGATGTTGACTGGGTGGACGAGTAATCCCGATCAGTGTGATATTTTTTTCGTGAGGTTCTGTAATCCTCATAGCTCATATAATCCATTCGACATATATCTAAGCTTCCATTTCTATATAAATTAGGCTCATAGCATGGAAACAGTGACTATAAAAGCCATAAGAGATGGAGCCAAAGCTCCGTGGGAGGGATATGATTCATTTATATCAACACACTTGTGCCACAGGTGTATGTTCGAAAGATCGAAAGAAAGACACAGACACACACAGAGAGAGAGAGAGAGAACAGTATTATATCTGCATGAAATGCTTGCTGAAAGTTATCTATTCATTGGTACATCATGCACCATTCTGTTTAATCTGACCAAATATCTTCCAGTAACTGCTTTGATTTCTTCATCTCTCCCGTGACATGCTTTTCGGCCTGCTCTTCAGGCCAACTTTTCATCTCAACGAAAAGTCGTATCAAGGCGCGCCTGACCTCCCTCGCCATGTCTGCACTCCCGCAGACATACAAAATGGCATCCTGCTCCAATAGTGCGGCGACCTTTTCCTTCTCCTCCATGAGCTTATCCTGCACGTAAACCTTCCCCTCGTCGTGTCTGGAGAACGCATTAATGAGCTCAAAGCCGGGAAGCCGCCCCGCATAGCCTGCCCATTCTTCAGAATAGAGGAAGTCCTCTGTGGGAGATCTGCAGCCGAAAAGCAGCAGCGCTGGACCAACAGCAAGGCCGCGGGCTGCTATTGATGCCCGTTCTTGGACAAAAGCTCTGAAGGGAGCAATGCCGGTACCCGCAGCAATCATGATGATGGGCCGTAGAGGGTTGCGCGGAAGTTTGAACGTTGACCGTCTGATCTGGACAAGGACTTTGTTGCCGTTGACCCCATAGTTCGGTCCGTCGGTAATCGGTTGTTGGGTGGCGGACCCAAGGTTACGAGACACAGCAAGAAGGTAATTGGATGCCAAACCGTAGAAGCGAGAGAATTGGGCGTCGGGATCCGACGGAGACCTGACTACGGTCTTCCTAGTAATGGCCAAGGTAATGGCCGGCTGAAGCGGTGAGACGGTCGGCGACGTGGCGATAGAATAGTAACGAGGTTTGAGCTTGCCTAGACAATCGAGGAGGAAGCTAAAGGGAAGCTTGTCCCAGGTCCTGTCGTCGCATGCGAGTTGCATAACCTTGCCAAGTGAGAGAAAGGAGGAAGACACTAGTGTGCGAAACTTTACAGTGTCCTTCGCTAGCGAGGAGATAAACTCTTGCGCGATCCGCGTCGGCGCAAATTTTACCAACAGGCGCAGTGCGTCTCGGGATACTGGACCGGATATATCCAAGTGGTGGTGCAGGATCGCTTTTCGCGTCGTTGGAGACGGGAACCCAGGTGATTTGCCTTGGACTCTGGGCCTGATGTCGACCGTCTCATTTCGTTCCTCTTCACTCAACCCAAGCAAGCGACAGAGACGCTCCACCTCGTCGGCGGAGTTTTGGGGCCATACCACAAGATGATCACCGGCCTGGTATTTCATAGACCTTCTGCTCGACAGATCAAACTCGACGTGCAAGCATTGTCGGTCCGGACTATTGGTTAGGTCTCTTGCAATCGTCAGCGACGCTGCAAGAGCAGCACTGCGAGGGTTGATGGGACTCGCATTCGCAGTGTTATCCTTGTCTGCAGTCGCATCGATCCGTGTAATGCTGAATTCGGGCGCATAGCTCACTTCCTGTTCCTCCACCCCAAACAGCCGTCCAATCGTCTCAGCAGCACTGCTACTCCATTCCAGAAAATGTTCATCGGTAGCCGTCGGTCCCTTTGCTTCATCCCCCTTTCCGACGGTCACGACATTTTTCGCTCCAAGCGCCTTTAACGTCTGATCTACAACATCAACCATCTTGTTATAGTGTTTGTAATTCCTATTCCCCAGTCCAAAGGCTGCGTATCGCAGGTTCCTCAGCAGCTCTGGCTTTCCCGCATCGCGCAAAGCTTTGAAAACGGAGAAGAACTTGACTGCATTGTCCGTGGGATCGCCTTCGCCAAACGTTGAGACAATGAACACGACTAGTTTGGTCGATGGCACTTCGGTAAGGTGCCGAGGGTCGTAGTCATCCAGGTCAGCGGCCGCTACGCGCAAGCCGAAGCGTCCAGTGCAGTCGCGCGCAAAGCTGGCCGCCAGACGTTCTGCGCGACCGCTCTGCGAGCCCCAGAAGACAACTAAATCCAGGTCCTGTCGATTCGTGAGCAATGGGGAACCATGCCAGTCCAAACATTGATAATCCAAGTTCCCACCTTCAAAGCTTCTGCGATGTTTCTGCTTATCGTCGGCGCCTTCTTGTATGAGCTCCGATCTCGAACCGGGACGAAAAGCAGAGGATCAGGTTTCGGAGCCCAGAGACCCCAGGCATCGGTGAACCATGCCCATATGAGGAGAAATAAGGAGACCGTTATTAAATCAGGGATATAGAGGAGCTTATGCGAGCTCATTCTCCCGTTTACCGGTAGTGTCGGCAAAGATAGGATGCCGCTTGAATTGCTGGGCTCCATCGCGTCGCTTTCTATAGACCTGATGGTTGTTGTGCACGTCTGTTCTTAGGACAAGACCATTGTATATGTAATAGTGTTTTCTTGTTCAGCTTGGATGCTGTATATCTCAAATGTGCATCATATAGAAATACCACAGAAACTATACTAGAGTGTCTCAGCATCTCTTTCATTGTCCTGTGTTTAACTGATTGTCTTTCATCGGAAAATGGTCTCGAAACGAACACGTGACCGGCTACCATCTTCCTCCCACTACGCCACACCTTTTCCCGAGTCTCATCCACAGCAATCAAGCGAAATCAACAATAATATCCGGACTCGAATAAATTATTTCTCCTTATCTGATCGACACGATGACATTGGCCTGCACAACCGACCGAATACCCCGGCAAACGTGGGGTGCCGGTATCTGCGTGCGCGTACCCAGCGATCTAACCTCACGAAGTTTCGAGAAACCGAAAATGGCACAACTCATTCCGTGACTAGGCTGGGCCCCGGTCAATCTCAACGTCTTTGTCGTCTCGAGACTATCATATAGCCGAGGATAATGGCAGAGCAGCTGACCTCGTAATGTGCTGGCACAGTAGTTAAAGCGTCACAGTAATCATGGCGGAGTTATACATTGGTGGTGTCATCCCATGTTGTCAGCTGTTTTTTGTCTGTTGTTCAGAGACATACCATATCGCGAAGTACCATCCGATAGCAACAATGCTAAGTACTCCAACCATAGTGTTCATTCAGCTGGTATTCGCTGGGTTCTGCTTCACTTGTCTTCTATGGCCAATCTACTTGCACATTCGAGATGTAAAGCAGCTGAGGCGCTATCCCGGTCCCTTTTTAGCCGCAGTGACAAATCTATGGATGATGTTTAAGCACTACTCGGGAGCGAGGACTGATGCAATCACTGCTCTGCATCAGAAGTACGGCAAGATTGTGCGCATTGGACCAAACTCGCTGTCGTTCTCGTCGCTGCAGGCCGCCAAAGACATCTATGGCCACGGAACTGCAAGTTTCAAGGACAAATTCTATGATTCTCTGGCAGGTGTCCACCGGCAGCTGTTTGATTCCATTGATAAAGACGAGCATGCCACAAAACGGAAGCTTTTTGCGAATGCCTTCGCCCAAAAGTCGGTCGAGGAAAAGGAGCATAACGTGAATATTGATATTGCTGAACTTGTTCACCAATGGGATCAACTGTGCACTGATCCTCCACGCCATGGCCAGAATGTGTTTGAGGAGCATGAGCTCACAGACGCTAGGCGTTGGTTCAATCTTCTTACGCTTGACCTAGCGGCGGATTTTGCTTTTGGAATCAAACTTGGCTTTGTCGCCGCAGGAGATGACTTGGCCACATGCGAAACCATCCGTGGCGATAAATACCAAGCGCACCCGGAAGCAGGAACCTATCACAACCTGCTTATCCTGTCCACCCTTGGGTACGCCGACCCCGCGTATTTCAAGATCAATCGGAAACTGTTCGGGTGGCATCCTGGATTCAACGCCGGCGAGGTCTTCAGCGATTTTACCATCCACCTGATCCGACAAAGGATGGCCGCGGAGGCTGATGGCGAGAAACGCACCGACTTCTTCGAGGCACTGAACTTCACTCGCGACGGCGTGCCCACTGCCATGGAAATGGGTGAGCTGATCCAAGAATGCGCCCTGCTCATGAACGCCGGCAGCGAAACCACCACATGCGCGCTGCAGAACATCTTCCACTTCCTCATCCGCCATCCCCATTGCATGCAGGCCCTGTACGAGGAGCTCGAGACCGCTTTCGATGACGACGAAGAGATCGTCCCCGCTTACGACAAGGTCAAGTTCTTGCCCTATCTCCGCGCTGTTATCGATGAGACGTTGCGTCTTCGCCCGAGCCTGGGCATCGCGTTGCCGCGCGTTACGCCGCCACAGGGTATGATCATCGATGGTGTATGGGTTGCCGGCAACACGACTGTCAGTGCACCTCACTGGACGATCCATCGGGATCCCGAGTTGTTTGAGCGCCCGCTCGAGTTCCTCCCGGAGCGGTGGCTGGGTGCGGACGCGGCCAAGCTGCAGAAGGGATTCATGCCCTTCAGCTCGGGCGCAAGAGCTTGCATTGGAAGGAACATGGCATACATGGAGCTGACTATGATTGTTGCGACTCTCGTCCATAGATATCACTTTGCACTTCCTAGTCCGGAATGGAAACCGACAATCCTTGAGAGCATGGTGATCAAGTCCGGTCCCATGCCAGTGAAGATCTGGACGAGAAGGAGCGCCAGAGAGGTGTAATTTTTCTTGCCCTCTCTTGTCCTTTGAAAGAGAGGTGGGAAGTATGGTTGCTCAGCGTCCAGCGACAACATTTGTTATATTGATCCAGTCATATCAGCGTTAATAGTCGATGTTCGCGATATTAGATAGACATCTTTTCTCACTACCGTGTTATCCGCAGGAATAAGCTGGATGCTCCTTATCTAGCCCCTAAGATATGATTCCGGTAGTATAAATTCTATATTCTATATAGGAGTCATGGGTTCAGGTCAACACCACAACTATAGGTGATCTTAATGAAACCTATACCATTTAACAGAGTTTTCATTTAGCAGGAGTAGGTATAGATGGACTATATAATATCCTACTCTACTCTAGGTATAGCCTACTACATGAGAGATAAGCCAATATCTTCATGCTCTTGGGTGGCTGTAATATAAGTATCTAATGGGTTCCTGGGATGGTTCATCTGTTACTAAGCTCCGCAACATCACCATGCGGGGATGGAAGATGGGATATAAAGTAGGCTATCAAGTCGAAGCCTTCCCTCTTGCTCCACCGATGCCTCAGACGATCGACGCGCTTTTGGTGGCAAGGTGGTAGTTTGAAGATCAGTAATAGCTATACGCGTCCAAATCCTGATGAGGTGGTTTATGTAAGGAAGTCGGGGGGTGGAACAACGGAGACTTTTGACCAGGTACTGTACTATAGTAGACGGTGTTATTACTCCGGAAATGGATTCTGACAAATCGACAACAGGATCGACATCAGGACAGCATCAAAGGAGACCGATGAGGTTGCGCTTTTAGATAGGTGGGCTTCCCTCTCTTCATACCTTCATCTTCTATATATATAATTCTCTTCATTTTCTCCGCAAACCTCTTCGCCCATGACTACATTCAAGTACCATTCGAATTCCTACTCACAATGACCACCTCATCCCTAGAAGGGCAGGAAACTGCATCGCATCATTCCAAAAATCCACCATCGAGACATGGTGATGGTAAGTAGCTCTCAAAGATATCCTGCAAAAGCTGGAGGCATTTTGATCGCGTTGACTAACTCATACAGGTGGAGGTCTAGGTTATGCACAGACTGCGAGAGATGAATACGTCTACATTGCCGATGGCTACGGCATGATTCGGCGGATCATCTTCATCATGACGGTGTGTTCATCCATGTTCACGAATCAGTTGGGCCTATGCAACAGCCTCACGACGCTCGAAATAATCGGAGAGTCCTTTGGTGTCACCGACCCTGGCAAACTCTCGTGGACAATCGCTGGCTACGGCTTGACTCTAGGCACATTCATCTTGATCGGAGGACGTTTGGGTGACGAGTTTGGCAACAAGGCAATCTTCATCATCGGTATGGGCTGGCTTGCTTTGACCAGCATGATGGCAGGAGTCTCCGTCTACTCCAGCTACCCCGTCTACGTCCTTGCTCGTGTCCTGCAGGGCCTTGGTCCCGCCTTAACTGTGCCTAATGCACTCGCCATCATAGGCAAATGCTTCTCCCAGGGCCCTCGAAACATGGGGTTCGCCTGGTTCGCTGCATCAGCCCCAGTCGGTGCGATGGCAGGTCTCCTCTTTGGGGCCCTCTTCGCCATGGCTTGGTGGCCATGGATCTACTGGAGTCAGGCTTTGGGGGTTGCCTTTCTCTTCGTCCTCTCTATCATTGCAATTCCAAACATGCCTGTCGAGGGTGAGCAAAAACAGCGACGAACGATTCGCGAAATCTTGGACCGAGTTGACCTCCTGGGAGGCGCAAGCGGTGTGACAGCTTTGGTTCTGTTCAACTTCGCCTGGAATCAGAGCCTGGTCACTACGTGGGGCGAACCTTACGTCTACGTATGCCTGATCCTCAGTTTCTTGTTCCTGGCGGCGTTCCTTTACATTGAACTTCGCGTAGCTCGCTATCCAATCCTACCTGTCGCCGTCCTCACTTCCGACATTGCCTTCGTCTTTGGTTGTACAGCAGCGGGCTGGTCCACATTTGGCATCTGGGTAAGTACTGATCTTTGCCCCGAAATTATGTCAAACTAACGAAGTATCTAGCTTTTCTACGTCATCCGAATATGCCTCAATATCGGTGGCCAAACTCCCATTCAACTGGCTGCATGGCTTTCTCCTATCCTCGTCACCGGCATAGGAACAGCATTGATCGTTGGCAAAATAATCACCAAGGTTCCAGCCTCATCCATCATGTTCTTTGCAATGCTTTGCTACTTCCTCACTTCCCTTCTCATGGCCTTGCGACCCGTCCACTCGACGTACTGGACCTACTTCTTTTTCGCCACCATCATCGCCACCTTTGCAATGGATTCATCGTTGCCTGCTGCCACGATCATCTTCGCGAACGCAGTGCCTCGACAGTACCAGGGCATGGGATCCAGTGTGATCACGACGATTGTTGTCTACAGTATATCACTAGGTCTTGGTTTCGCTGGTACCATTGAACTTCAGATCAACAATGGCGGACACACCGAGGCAGACTTGCTTCATGGTTACCGGGGTACTCTCTGGTTTTCTGTCGGGTTGACAGCATTCGGCACTGCTCTTGCCATTATTTTTCTACTCAAAGATCATCGAAGACGAAGGTTGGCCAAGAATCAAGAGGAAGAGGAAAAGGTTGATTCAACTGAGGCTTGAATGGTTGAAGGGTTGATCACTCGTCGATCATCCTTTAAACACTCCAAACGACCAAGCATAATTAGAGGAGTTGGATTGCAAATAGGCTTATACAACGAGTATTTAGACTGGTAGTACTTGTGAAAGCATGGTAGTCAGGTTGTGCAAAGTCTCCCGACCCCCGCCCCTCTGCGGAATGTTTAGTGCAATGTATCTACAAGGTATTCATTCTGTCAAGAAGAGCCTGAACTGTGGCCTTTGGTCTGTCGTCTGTCATCAGACGCCTGTACCCGTTGTCTATCGTTTATGGCATAACGTCTTATCATCTGTTGTGTGTCGTCTATCATTCGTCACCTGAACTCCCTCATACAGTCTGATCTTTCCAATCTCAGCCCATCAAGGTTTCCAGACTTTTGAGCGAGCTGTGTAAGCTTGAGAGCATCGGCTAACGGCAATGCGTTGTCCAAGCTCCAACCTCCGAAAATTCCACAGCACATACCTAAGTACGGCAAGCTTTTCTTGGAAGCGCTACTCACAATTTCCAAGAAAGTCACACTGATCGACACTGCGATCAGGTTGATAAGCTCGCTAGAGATCTAAAATTAGCCAACCCATTCTCCCTGGGTTAGATGTCCTTGTCTCACCCGCAGAGTATGTCACAGCTTGCGATTCGAGCCGCGATGGCTAACACGGCTTGGGCTGATTTCTCCTCTTGCGATAGTGTTCGGAGATTAGTCTGGACTGGCTTCCGGTCCATGGAAAGAAAATGATAAATATGGCCTCATGATACTTGCGAACCATGGTCAAGGTCAAATGGCGCGTCTTCTGGTCGTCGAGGGTGACATACCCCGTTTCGTGCCGATGGATATTCTGCAGATGTATTGGAAGACCTGTTCTCCAGCTCTCGAGGACCATATGTGCCTGCATCAGATTTCGTTCTCGCTCGGCCACAGTTTGGCAAAGAGCCCTTGAACTGTAGAGCGTATTGACCGCTGAGCTGAGAGTGTTGGCATGTTGACATTGGATGAGCAGCCAATCGGTATCCTTGCCGACTTTGGGTAGCGCATAGTCGGTCCAGTCGGGGGTGCGGATCTGTTTTGGACTGTCAGAGGAGTCCGAACAAAAAGGGTGGCACACCCGGAACTTACCGGTGGCATTCCATCGCGTATGGAATGGACGACTTCCATCGAGTAGAGGTACCACAGACTTCTCCTTGCAAGGTATTCTTTCTCTTTTATCATGTTCATGTATACCGAGTCACGATTCATAAATCTTCAGGATCTGGCACAGACTGCGTATGACGAAAGTTCAGTGTGAATATTGTGATCGATTTGCTCAGAAATTGTCATATGGAGCTTGGTTAGCTGTTGGAAGGAAAAGTTCAGAACCTAAAATTGTCTGATCAATCAACATGTGACCAGTTCCACGTGAGGAATTGCTGACTTACCTGCATCTTCAGGAGTGTGTCGGGCGATCGCTGCACGGCATCATGAGGGCTTAATGCCATTCTTAATCGAGCGATCGCCTTCCTGCTCACATCAGAACCTGCAGAGGGCTGTGATCTTGCCGCCAGGGCTTGAAAGCCGAAAGCCATAACTGAATCGATCAGTGGTCTCACTGCTAAGCCCTCAATGGATGGCGACTCCGTTGCTTGTTGGACATGATTGTCGAAATGTGATCTCGTCAAAAAGGTGGAAATGCTAGCATGGTTCAGTCTTATCGCAATGGATGATACGGAGCTGCGACGTACCCAAGGGGTTCTTCAAAACAAGCTGCTAAAGTTAGACTCTGACGACAAGGTGAACCATATGGCCTGCACAGAGCACATACCAGACTTGCACTTTTCCATCCATGCTGTGTCGCTCCAATACCAGCGTGAATAGGTGGAATCATATTACTCACCGCCGACTCCAAATGACATCTGAGACTGAGCGTCAGAGAGTCGTCTGGAAATTCCATCTACTTCGTCTTGTTGAGCCGGGCTTTCGACACTTTAATTGACAGCACAAGACAGAAAGTGTCTGCAGTGGAGGCTTGCTACGGCCCATCAAGTGTTCCAGCTGAGTTACTCAACGTTTGAATTATCTCATCCTGTCTTAGTTTAAAGAACTATAGTGATGAGGATGGGAAGTTGAGGCATGGCCTTTCCAGTAGAAGATTTTTCAACACAGGCATAGAATTGACGCGCAAGGTGGTTGACGACTTGGCATATATAGTACGTATAGAAATGAAGAGCAAAGTAAGTGCAGAGTGCAGAATTCCTTTAATCTTCCTGTAACATGTTGAATTACTAGTTTGTATACTATTCCAGGTGCTGTAATCTGGCAACAGATTACAAGATACAGGTCCAGGTACACAGATGGTAGACATGGGGCTATGACAATGAGAAAGAGTTTAAGCATCCTGTTTAGAAAATACTGATTTACTATTGTTTTAATGCAAAAAGGGGGAACTAATTTAAACCACTGTCTTCAACAACGTAGTCAAGGCCCTGGCAGACCAGGAATCTGGGTTGGATAGGACCGTTGCAGGGAAACTCTAGTTCCTAGGATTTCAGAGTCAGCATTGTCTAAGGAGCAATTGTTTAACAACGGTGAAGTCATGCACTTTGAATGACTTTTAAGGCCCCTATAGGCATTATTACTTGATGCCATGCAGATTGACAGTCAAGCGATCTAGACGGCTCTGGCCAGCTGGACTGGGTGGGGATGCCAGAATGGAAAAATCATGATGCCAAAAAGACTATCCTCATAACGCAAGGCTAAGATTTACGCCAAGTACGAATAGTTCTTCCTCTCCCGGCAGCTGGTAGCGCATCTGCGCGTTCAAATTCATGCCCATATGGATACATTTGTGGGATATCATGTCATGATTATGTTGGTACTCCAGCTTTTAACATTGTACATTCAGAAGGTTTCAGCTCAGGCCTAGTTGAGAAACTTGCTAGCCATGTTGCATTGGCTATGGTTTCAGGTCATATGTAAGCTTGACCCCAGCGGTTTATTTGGTAGAATGAATTCAATGATCCGTTGTTGTTTCATGTTTAGATCATATCTCGTATTTTAAAGAAATGTTGATGGGGTAGAAGTTCCTCATAGAAGCCTATAATAGGTCATTATCTGTATATTACTCATGTTGAAGGCAAGAGGAGTAATTTTTTATGATCTAGTCTAGCCTAATTCACAGCTCACTACATGATCAATACTCAGATGCAAACAATCACCAACCCTTTTTTTTTTTTAATTGTTCAAGCATACTATTCTGAATTTATATATTCTATAATCGTTTTAATTTCCCGCTGATATGCATAATATATTAAGCCTTCAATAAGGACTTCGTTCATTTGGACCAGGATAAAAACTAAGCTTCACAGATAGTGGAAAGAAAGAAAATCAAGTTCGCCTCCCTAATTTGGCAGCTTTGAAGATATTCATGGGGCGACACAATACAAGTCTGAGAGGAAAACACGAGGAAGTTCCAGTGGAATTGGGCCGCTATCGTAATGCGACTGTTTTATTGGTGCTCGTGTTGCCTTCGGTAGTTTAATTTATGGACCAGCAAATCCATCCTAGGGGTAGACCTTTGTCAAGAAACAACCGCAAGCCCTCGCTTTGATGGTACTCAACCCCACAGTCCCAATCACAGATTTTGAAGCTCCCTCTCTTGACCCCCTCCTTTCAGAGCGTTTTTCTTTGTGGGAGACCTTGCTACTTTCCTTCGTTTGGGTGTTGAAGAATGGGGAAGATGCGACCTTGACACTAACCGAAATAGCGACCAGCTAGTCGGGAAGAGCTTGCAGCACCTTTCGTGATAATTGGGTTGCGGCGCAAACATAGGCACGAAAGCAGGGCAACCGGTCATCTTCAAAATGAGTTCTTCAATGCCTCTCGTAGGCCCAAGTCTGGCTATCTTCGTCGTTTCTGTTGCCATGATGGCTCTTTCCGCTGTGACTGTCTTGTTGAGGACCTTCGTGCGACTGCACATCCTCCGAGCCTTTGGTTGGGATGATGTTCTTATGCTGGCAGCTCTAGTGGGTTATCCATGGACAAGGCAGCAAAGATCTTCTGCTCATGATTTTGTGTAGGCTTTATTTGTGACATTGAGTGTGTGCTGTTTCATCGGGACAATGAACGGGGTCGGCCGCTCAAGGACAGATTTCACAAACATGGAAGTCTATAGAAAGGCCTTGTTGGTAAGTATTGATTCTTTGAAAGAGACTCTCTCCAGTTTATTCGGCCTTCGGATGTCATGATCGCTAAGCAGGACTGTGGCTTCGCAGTACTGGTGGTTCAGTCAGATTTTCTACATATGGGCATCCGCCCTGGCCAAAGTATCTATTGCTATCTCCCTCCTTCGATTAACGGTTGTAAAGATTCATCGTCTGGTTCTTTGGGGCAATATCGGCCTTACCATTGCTGTCGGTCTCATGTTTTGGCTTGTCTTGCTTCTGGATTGCGATCCAATATCCTACTTCTGGGATTTTGCGGATCCGACGAAGTCAGGGACATGCATGTCCGAGAAGATCCTAGTCAAAATCGCATACGTTTACAGTTGTCTGACAATCGTGTGTGATTTGACGCTTGGAATTCTACCTTACTTCCTCGTCTGGAAGCTCCAGATGAATAACAGGACGAAGTTTGCGGTTGGAGGAATTCTCAGCATGGGCGCTATGTAAGCGATCTGTTCATATTTCTTGGTTGTCAACGTTGAGGTGGCTAATTGTTTCGTACTAGTGCAAGCGTCGCTGTCATAATTCGACTTCCGTTCCTTCACTTCTATGCAGACGCTAATTTCCTACGTAAGTCTCTGGAAGCAGACGGCGGGGGGGGCCTACGGTGGCCATCTTCGAATATAACTTGTAATTAATATGGCTCAAGATTCCACCTACCAGATCGCCATCTGGTCCGTCGTTGAAACTGGCCTCGGAATCACAGCAAGCAGCCTCGTTACCCTTCGTCCCCTCTTCCGCTGGCTTCTGGATGAAAGCCTATCGCACGTTCGGCATGCGCGCAGCGCCGGAAGAGACTCTGGCAAATACCCGCTCTCCAGCCTGAAAAGTCATGGCTTGAAGAACTCTCACGATCCGAACGTTTGGCTCACCGATTGCAGGCCCGAAAATGACAGAGGCGTGATTAACACCGAATTGTCTTTCCTGCCTAAGGATTCGATCGATTACAGCAGCAGCCAGGAGGCTTTGAATCATCAAGTGTGGCCTGCCACTTCAAGAAATCATATCACTATCCAAAGGACTCTAGTACAAACTGTGTCAGAGCGACAGAAATAGGCTTCGTCGCATAGAGCTATTAGGCCGTCACGTTTGCTGTTGTTCATCGAATTCTCCCTTTGATACTAGGTCTGTAGAGAATGTATGCTACGCCGCTCGGCCAATCCGAAGTCAAATCGGGTCCTCTGAGTGACAAGGGCATGAATATACCACAATGCAACGGGAGGAGCAGGCTCTTGAGGGGCGCTGTTGCATTAACAGAGTTCCAGTCAGCTTTCTGGGAGTATAAGCCGGAGGGCCTTATGATAGAGTGAAGTTTTGACTTATGGGCTGCTAGTTAACTCTCATGGCTTTATGATTTTATTTTTTGGTAGTTAACAGCTTACTAATGCTCTTACTGGCTGTAATCATGGCTCTGAGATAACGCGTAGGAGATTGTAGTCGAGTTAATCAATACGAGACCTCAGTCCCTGGTTCTTTCTAGTAGCCGAGTTAACCATGTGTAACCTCGGAGCCTGGTTCTTTCTCCTGATGGAAGGAGCGGCAGCTCGAGGGTAACATCATCCGAGGCAATCGGCCCAGTGCTAAGGGGATGGCTCCACTATAGTTGACATTAATTAGGCAGATCCCTTTGGACTAACGGCAGGAACAAATCGCTATCCAGAAAGCAGCGGTAGCYTCCCGACCCTACGCGAACCTTCCCAACGGCTACGGTCGGGGTGCTTGCACCGAGACACTCGGTCTTCACACGAACTTTAAGGGGACGAAGATCGGCTCCTGGAAGTCGAACGGCGGGTAATTATGGAATCATGGCCATTATGTACGTATGGCATTGGCAGTTGGGCGATGCTTGATGACTGCTAACAGCTCCAAGAGCAGAACGGAGTAGGCGGTCATCATTGACTCTGACAAGTTACCTAATTTGGTTTACCAACAGACCAAGTACGAATCCGAACCCACTCTAGCGGGCTGTGGTTTATAATCCAGCTACCAAAGCGATATGCAGACTACGGAGTTACAACCACTACATATCTCGCTGATCGTACAGATAGCTTCCCACTTTCTGAAAACGAACTTACTCAGGTTGAGTTCGGTAGTTTTGTTAGCACGGTGGGGCCTTACGGGAACGAATATATTGAGTCTGCTGGTACCTAGTATTTACATAATATATTGTACACCTCCCACGCTATTGCTGCCTGGCACCTGGCTTGCAGGATTCTTTAAACAGTAATATACGCGTCCTCACTTAATTCCCAACCGAGTCAGACGCCCTATCGAGTCAGACATGTCTATATTCCATTTAGAATGCCCCATTTTAAAGCTTTGATTTCTCAACCACGCCGTATATGCTATAATGTAGGTAAAATATTTGGCGAATATAGTTTACAGTATATGATTCGTCTCTGTGCGCTGGTACCTTTACTTTGAGCTGTACCGGTCACAGGCACCTTTACTCTTTCACAAGGTTTAAAAGTACTACGCCTCTTTCTTAATGTCTAGACGACCAAAAATACAGATGCAATTTATGTTACCCGGTATACACAAATGCTAGGAGGCCGTAGCGTATAGATATAACTCCACGTGACTATACTTTACCTCATATTTAAACTTGCACCGTGTAGATGCTTGGTTGTTGAGATATCAAAGCCTCGAGGAGTGCTATTTTACATGAGACACGAAGGTGTCCGGTCAGCTAGGGTGCCCGAAAATATGGAACATAACTCTGTCCAATCTTTCGTCGGAATATAATCTCAACATACTCACTACTACGTATAACAATGGATCTCAACACCTTTGATCCAATTTGCGCTTGGGCTCAAATCTAAAACTATGGCCGCTTCAAACTGGGGCTGATTTGCGGGGACCTAGGATCCTGACGTTCGCTGGCCATTGACTAGGGTGGAAAGATCTGCTGGAACATTTCTACAATGCTACAGAGTACACTGGCACAAGGCTCGCTAGGCGAGGGTGAGTCACCATATCCAGCAAGTCCTCCAGACTACGCAGACTAGAGGCATCTTGTTTCAGACCGACCCTTTCACTAACAGACATGCAACACCCAGAAGCATTTCAAAGATAACGTGTTCGTGGAGCTCTGATTCGAGAGTCAAAGATTACCGAAGCACTCTAGATTATTGTTATGTAATGCTGTTCCCGGGCTATATTTGTTCAAATGTTCAACCTTAAAGCCCGCCGAAAAGAAATAGACGTCGACGTCTTATTTGTGAATCTACCGTACACGTTCTTGCAGGCCATGTGCAGTGTTTCCATATCTTCAATGCGCCGCAATAGCTGATCTACAACTGCTTTTCCGCTTGGCTTAAAATGTTATAATGGGCCCACAGAGTTCATCCAACTTGGACAGAATCTGTAGCCCAGCACGGCTATATAGACTATAGGGTTTTGCTTGAACTGCTGGTCAGTTCACTGTCATTGCTTACGGAGTAAGCTTCGTGTAATTAGTGCTAGACAAAGTCTTTAGCGTAACAGCAGATTACAACGCAGGGACTCCCTGGTCACAGCCCATTCCCTCTAAAGTCCAATTGCAAATATTGGCCCATACATAGAAAGTCCAGATCATAGAATTTGCAAGGCCCTGGAGAGCACTTGTAATCTTTTTCTACTGTTTTATTGCCCACGTGGGCCGAATATGTGCTTCTACAGTATATCAACGCGCTCAATGTCCCTGGGATAATTGGGACGCAGTGATATTTTTCTCGCAAGCGCTTGAACAATCCAGTTCATCGACGCATATGCTCTCAGAGAATCAGACTAACATACAACCTGGGTTCAGAGCTGCATTGTTTATGTTTACTTTGGTCAGTAAATTATAGTCCAATGGTACACCAAGTTAGAGGGGCCATTCATGGCGATCAAAACTGGGATCCCAAAAGGTTGGGCGCACAATCCGAGCCAAGCACAGATTATACGACCGTACTGACTTTCCAAGCTTCTTCTAATTCCTCCAGGAGCCACGTTGTAAATAACTTCTAAACTGCTATATTAAGCATTTCCTAGACGTTCAGTTGTGCTATGTCTAGAGGGCTTGAGTATACAAAGACTAGTTTCGAGGTTGACAGAAGCAAACAACTATAGACAAGAAAGAGGCCCACCCCACCCTGGTTGTGGGGAAACCTTGAGTGGCAGAGGGAATTGCCATAATAGGAAGATTTGTCATCTCATCTGCATCCTCTGCCAACTCCCAAGCCTGAACTCCATAGAAGACTCCACCGAACTGAGACATACTTGTACCTCGCTTAAACATTAGTAGCTAGTCATCGGCTCTGTTCTGGCTTTAGTTATCAGACATGAACTCTGCTTCTCTACTACGGTGCACGCCTGGGAGATACTTTGTGTGGGATTAACCTGCTACTTAAGTCTCTAAATTCAAAAACAGGTGCACTGTCGACGGGGAGGAGAAGTTGATTTTATCATAGCCACAAACTGAACAGGCTCTATTTACGTGAATAGGTGTCGTACCGAATACTGTGCGGTACTAGTTTGTCGTAGCAACTAAGCGCCCTGAACACTAGGTCATGACTTTAGCTAGTATAGATCTACTTTTAGGCTGAAGTAAGGATCTTGACGCTTCACATAACATATTTAACAGTACTTTGCCCCTTCCGTGCATTCCAGTAGTTGTGCTGAGGGTTCTATATACGCAGTCAAGCAGGCTTTCACAGCCTCACAAAGCATTAGTGGCAAGCTGTGGCTATCAGCGTTGGGTTGGAACTCAGCTCTTTACTTGATTTGCCTGATCATGCGCATCATGCAGAATTCGCAACACAACAGCGTCCCAACCAGTGTGAATGATACCCTCTGCACACGGCCTGACGTTGCGGTGAGTTATAAGCGCCACTTATCCAATGTATTACTAGGGAACTGCTCAGCACTAACACGCCCCAGCTGGCCTCGCCCAAGGTTCCGCATTGCAATGAGGGCACGTATCGGCAAAGCCCTGCTGGACGAATGAGATTTCAATTGTGGCCAAGAGTCAAGCAATATGCTCTTTTTGGCACAAGAGGAAAACTCCGCCCCCGCCAACTGGTAGCCAGTCAATCAAGCCCTTGTCTGCTAGGGATTACGACCAAACATTCTGACAGAGTGACAACTATTTCTGAGCAACATAAACCACTGGGTACAGCGCGATGCGATGTCAGTATACCAGATGGCACAACCAGGTTCAACACCACTGTCAAACCGAGTCCTATAGATTCGCGTAAGTCGTTGAGCTTTCCGTATTGGGGTCGAAAATCGTAGCTCATATTTTACAGCGACGATTCCAGCCACGTCTCCCATTAACAAAAGATCAAAGACTATTTCGACCGCTAAATCGCCAACAAACCCCTTCAAAAATGCTGTGCTTCACCCAGTTTCTGGGCCCCGCATTCTTCCATCACAGGCAAAAGATGCGCCGCTGCAGCGGTCTCCTCCGATTAGCAAATGTCGAGACGCGGTTGCCAAAACTGCAAAGACAGACACGGAGCGCTCAATGCACCCGGTTAGGTTATTTGCCGTCAATGCGGAGCCTGAAACAACAAGTCCCCCTCCAGTGCCTCCAAAGTCGCCACGGACGATGAACCGCTCTCCAAAGCTTCAGCAAGAACAATGTACATTCACCTCTCCATTGAGAGATTTCCCGACTTCGAATCACGGAAGGTACTTCGCATCCGACACGCTCGACACAAAATCTCCATACATGAGTCAAGCTATATATCAATGCAAAGCCCCATGTACATTCCACAGTGCAGGAACTCTGCTGGGGCGACGATCTTCAATTGTACACACCCCAACAAGCAATTGCAAAGGCCAACGCCATACTACAGGCGAAGATGCAGCAGCAGAAGTAAGATCTGCGGGTGCTATTTCTGGGACACCCCAACCAATCCGTGGCATACATGGAAGGTATCTATCCGACACATCCATCGTGCAATGGGGCAGATCAACACGGACGAATGGCACAACTAGTGGGAATTCAAACAAGGGATATTTCTCAGCAGAACGCCGTGCATCCTTCATGCTCCCGTTCGCAGTTGCTCCATCAGGTGCAAGCCCGCTCTTTGCGCCCAGGGAGATAGAATGTCTGCAACGCCACGCTAAGCATCAGGCTGAGGAATCCAAAGTACTAAACTGCGGTGAAGTCAGGGCACTTTCTCTGGTATGAGGCTAGGACGCGCGGTGTCGTATGTTAATGCCCGCCAGCTAACATCATAAAGGAACTTCGGGTACTTGACGAGCGCTGCAAAAACATTCGCCGTATTTACGATTCGCTCGAATTCGAGCGCCGTGGTCTTGAGGAACGTATAATTCGTTACCTCAGGTCCCAGAGCACAGATGGTGCTGAGTGCAGGAAAAACATGTTGATCCGAACGAAAGCAGTGGCAGACCTTGATGTGTCAATGAAAGGATGGGCCAGCAAGTTAGAGCAGGCTACGAACCGACAAGTCTATATCCGTCAAAGGCTTGCCGAACATGTGGCGGCGGCTTCGCTCCGCGACACGACCGACCAAGGGCTTGGAATATCGGACGAGCCGAACCATGGAACTCAGCCAGGAATGACGTTGAATGTTGTTGATGCGAGCCGCAGAAAGATGGAATCCATTAAGGTCTACGCAGACTTGAATCTCTTCGAAGAAATTGCCACTTTGGCGGAGACTGAAAGGCACATGGAGCTTACGGGTTACCCCACAAAGGCGACCTCTTGTCATGATATTCTTCATCCATTTTGAGCTTTTCCTGTCCTTGTTAGCCTTTGACTCACAGCTACCTGTGCATACCGCCGTTCTCTTTTTGCAAGGCGGCGTTGCGGACATATGTTAGCAGCCTTGGTGGACTTCCGCATCAGTCTCTTTCTGCTAATAGATGGAGTGCAGTCCCGATGATTCTTTGTGACTGTCTAGACCATTGAAGAATTCCATTGTAATGAAACATCTACTTTATTACCAAAATGTAGTTCTTTTCTGCGAGAACAAGTGGACCAGGTTCACATGTACAGCAGTATACTCTATGCCCACCTTGGACAAACCAAGAATTCTACGTTTATCAGTTGATGATATAGTAGTACAAGCACTCGTGACTCGACTGCCTTCTTAGGAAACTAGTGCATTTGACCACCATGCAGGACAAAGGAGATAAGATCAATTGAGGGTTACCATAGCAAGGTTGGAGAGCTGCTTATATCATATTCCATCCGAGGTCATAGAGGAAGTTTATGTACATTAACACCGCGCAAAGACCTTTGCTTGAGGATTCAGATCCTCCTGGCTGCTGTTCATAGCAGCCGTGGCAAAAGCATGCAGTCACTGGACAGACATTCCATGAGATCAAAACGGAGGTACGACGTTTGCTTGGTGTGAAGAAAATCATCTGGTCTTCAGGTAGGAATGGTCTTAATATCACCAATGCTCACGCCAATGCTGAGGTCAACCTTATCCGGCCTGATGTGTTTGTTCTTTCCAGGCCCCATGCGAGTACGTCTCGGCTGTGGGATGAAGTCTATGAGGAAATCCGAGAGATTCTCTCTCAGTCAGTGGACGCAAGTGTCGTCTGTTTGAGATCCACATAGTTGACGAGCCGGATCCTAAAGTTCTGCGGGATCTGTGCTACAAAGAACCGGCGACCAAGTACACAAATTTATATTTTGTCAATGGCAGCTTGATCCTACCTCAGTATGGTAATAAAGTGAGAGTTCAGGAGGCTGTGGAAGCCTTTGAAAAGCTGTGTCCTGGCTGAGTGATCCAGCCTGTGTACGTGCATGCACTTCCATTGGCTGGTGGCGTGATTCACTGTGCAACTCAACCTGCTATCGCCGTGGAAGAGCCTAGATAAGTGATACATAGGAAAGAAGTCGTCAATATGTACATGATCAGACATGTCATGTACAAAGTAGGAGATTGGAATGGAATATAGCTCGATGAGCGAACAATTTCCTTGAGCTTCAGGTCCTTAGGTCAGGGGCTCTAGCGGAGCTACAGAGCCGTCAGTATGACTTTGACTAGAAAGTCCGACGTGAGCAGCCCTTTGTAGACGTCCTCATGGACGTTACCAAAGCCTGTTTTGTCCACCTTTTCCTTCTATGTGCACGCCGTTGTCTCTTTTCCATGCTTCTTCGATGCGAGATGCATCAACGAAGTTAAAGGCTTTTAGGTGGGTGCCGTTATCAGAATATGAGTTGACGTCCATGAAGGCCATAACTAGCCAGCTACCCGGCCTCAGGTTTTCTAGAAGAGGTTTTTATGGTCATAAATGGCTCCTTCTAGTGCACAGACATGGATGTAATCGAATGGTTGGCTATAGGACAACGGCAATTGAAAGTCATCAATCCCAAAGCAGCAATCTGGAGGGATCCTAGGTAGGCTTGCGCACTGTCCGATGGACTAGTCCAGGAAGAGTGTACCAAGGTCGTTGGATGGGAACCGAAGTCGTTCCCTGGGAGCCATTAGTCTGTCATCTCGTAATCTGTGCTCTTGCTCTTGCAGCCTGAAACTTACTAATGACTTCTAACTTAGAATGCTAACTGCTGCATCACATTAGTTCACTGTAACTACCTAAACTATCCAAGGACTTCTCACTCAGCAAAATCAATCGCCCATATCCTTGTGCCGGTTTCACGGGAAAGCACTGGAGGCAATTGTTAGATGGTGGATCAATTCAGGCTGCTACCAGCGAACTATTTCAGGGGCCTAGAAGCAGAGATCCTGCGAATATGCATTAAATATCCTGGTGAAGAAGTCTCACACTGTGTGGACACAGAAAATGGTACACAGTCTAGTCAGTCTCGATGTAAAAGGGTCCTATAATAGCGTTATAAGGGAGGTTCTCTTACATTAACTAAGAGAAAGGCGAATCTTAGACACTCATTTGGTGGATCGATGCGCTTTGCCGCGATCAATGGGCAACTATGATCGTCCATTCCTACTGCTTAGATATGTGGGAGATTGCTGATGTAGACCTTCCACAGGGCTCCCCATTATCTCTAATCCTCTTCCTCTTTATGAATGTAAGTCTGGTCGATGTGCTGATCACCAAATATGCTGGAGCTGTTGCGGTTGTAGAACAACTATAGTGCCTGGGTGGTGGGTCTGTTAGCTAACACCAACACCCAAAGACTCCAGGATGAAGTGGTCTAACCAGAACTCAAATAGGTAAGAACTTCTAGAGCTACCTTTAAAGTTAAAGAGACGCAATTTTACCTGATGTCCATGGAGGTAGATGCTGCCATCATTACCTCTTTAGATTAATGGTACAGCAGTAAAGCTGCAGTAAGTTGTCAAACTCTTAGGGGTCCTACTCAACCAGGAATTGATGTTCAAGAACAACATTGGGGAGATCACAGGATGAGGGATCCAGGCTGTTCTAACACTACAGCCCCTCCAAATGATCCCCCCGGCAGTAGCTAGGCATCTATTAACAGCTACAGTGACGCCCAAATATTGATTATGCTGTATCCATCTAGTGCTGCCCAAGTCAATACAGAGTGATTGCAGATGGATTAAGAAGCCACTAAGCATGATCCAGTGGATTGCCAGCCAGGCAATTATAGGATACTTTAAACCATAGCTCTGTAGATTTCTGAGGCAGAGGCAGGGATTGAACCTGTTTTAGCCCAGCTACATAAGCAAGTTCTTAAACACTAGATGTAATGCCATACACTACCATAATCACTCCCATTTTGGCTCTATCACAACTCATTTGACAACTAGAAAGGGGGCTCCCCATCCCCATTCAAGCTCCTGAGATAAATGTGCCTCAAACAATCCCTTAATATAGAAATAATTTTACCACCAGAAATGACTCCCAAGTTTCTGTGGGAGGAAGGACTGTTAATCAATATATTATAGCCGCTGTGCAATTTGGGATCTGAAATAGGAGATGACTGGACCCAGATCTAGGTATTTGCATAATTAAATAAATGAAGGACAAGAGTGGGCTATGGACTGACAGTGCACATATATAATTATGTGCTCTTTATACACTCCTAAGTTGCAGGAGATTCGTTGACTATAAGGATCTATCAAGTGAGTCTGATGGTGATCCATGACCTGATTAAATACATTAAAGAAATCTTACCGCACATCTAAATTAAACCAGCCCGGATACTGGCACTCATCTGCACTAACAACCTAATACTATTATAATTATTACACCAGCACACTCTAGCCCCTACGCTTGGTTCCACTCAACGTTTGATGTCGTTTCTCGCCCGGTGATTGGCCCTGTTTGAGGTTTCTGTTCCGGGAGGTCTTCCGCCATGGATGGCTGCAAGAGGACCTCCCCTTCCCCACCGGCGCGAACGTGAAGGTGACCAGCATCGAGGTCCTCTTTACTCTGTTGGGGTGGGCTGGCGACAGTCGAGCGGGCGACTGGAAGCGGCAGCATTGGGACTTCAAGCCATCTCGCGTGTTCTTCTGCCAGGCGTTCGGCGTCATTGCCCAAACCTACGGTCTCAGACAGGCGTGTGTCTGGCGCACTATCGTCCGGTACACATTCTTCCCCACCCATCATCTGCTTTCCTACCCCAAAGACACCTGCTACTGCTCCCGCGGCGGCGGTGGCCGCCTGCAGAAGTGGGCCAGCGCGGTTTGTCACCGACGTTGGTGAGCCTCATCAAGATTACTACGATCCAAGCTTTCCTTTAGACTCTTCATGCTACGAGAAAGTCGAGCTAATTAGGATAGTTTCGACACCGTTGTGGGACATCGCCATTTTTATTCTGAAGTTTCTTCACTTCTCTCCTCGTCCATTTCGAGGAGCATAAAGACCTCGCTTCAGATCACAACTGAGCAGGCTAGGACCTACTATTTGGGTAATGACGGCCAACGGTCTCGCGATGTTGCACGATTAGATGATGCTCGCAAGTGGATTGAGCGTACTATGTCTGGTGGCTAGAAAGGTCATCAAGAATAAGTAAATCTCTTTGCACCAGTTGAATTCTGCCTGTACTGTGGTTCAAACACCTCCTGAAGCCAGCAAAAGGCCTATTATATCGGTTGTCCAGCCATTGTCACTCCTTGAAATTGACCAGCTTTCGGGAACTGCCGGTTCTTGATACTAGGTAGCCTATTGCTCTTTCCCCTTCAAGATGACAACTAGTGGTATAGAAACCACCTTTACACTCATATATTTAATCATTATAATCCATTTATAATTCCCTTGAATAACTGTACAATGTCTTTCACTCCAATCTATTCCAGCGATAATCTTAAATATTATGTAAAGTTCTATTGCAAAGCCTGTTTCATCAAAATTCCATATATCATCTTCATGGATGCTATGTTCCTGAATAGCTTCATGTACAGTTTCAAACAACACTATGCAACCTTTGGATCCTCCTACTTTGCTCACTGGTACGTAATCCTTTAACTATATCTTGTACGTAGTTCAGGACGGTGTTTAACAAAGGAATAGGCCTAGTTGACCCCAAGAACTGCAGTGGAAACTTGGGAACATTCATAAAGCAAAATCTCTGCCATTCCACGCAGAAACTCTAGCTGAATTAAAAAGCCTTATTTATCTGCATCTAGAAGTCGCTTGACAGGAGTTATTTTCTTTAGTAGCAGTCAGTTTACGGCCATTGGCGCGTGTCTGATCATGGTTTGATTCCTCTCAGCCGACTGCGAAGCATAGCTTCTGGTACACCAAATATGCCAGCAGCTTCTTGTTTTGATTGGATTCTTTTTGGTTTTTTCGTTTTTATAGCTGAGACAGCCAATTGCATTTGATTCTCTTGAGAAAGAGACATTTGCAGGGTATAACTAGAAGAAGGACGCGTTGAAAATTATTATTAGTATAGAATTTGACGCGACGGCGAAAGTGCGTAGCTCGGCCGTGGATTACGTTAATTGTCTATAGCAATCAGGGTATAGTAGMGGAATCTAGTCCCTGATACAGAGTATTAGGGTGAGAGTATAGCCTTCTTTCGCCATTCTTACCTTTCTCTACTGCTATCTTCCCATGGTTCGAGCCACCGACTGACCACTCTCGCCGTCGATCTCCAAATAATTACTTGAGGATATCTTTGAGCCCAGTACAGACCCTCTATTACTGTGATGAGCCCCCTGCAGTTCGAATTCGGACTCATTTGCTGACCTCTTTTGACGTCCCGGCCACGAGGGCGCAGCCGATCCAGCTCCAGCTGCGGCGTACTTGGACTTCTGTCTCGTTCCCTTCAAAAGTCCGTACAGGACGGGAGCATTGGCGACAATAGCGGCAGCAAGTAACTCAATAGACGCCCAAGTTGTTCTGTTCACCTGCTCAGTGGCATTTTTGGTGTTTTGAGGTAGCCTAGCGATGGTGATAGCGACGATGAAGAGGCCGACAGTGAATAGGGCCATTAGCTGGAATTTTCTGGAGGAGGGGAACGCGTTAAAGAGATACATGTGGTGATATATGCCTGGCCAAGCTTACTCAACAGTGGATCGTTTAACCACAACCAGAATTGGAATCGGCATGGCGATAAGCATAACGTCGGTGATGACATTGAGGACGCCTAGTGAAAGAAATAAGAATGTAAGAGGCATGATATTGAATGAGCTTTCGGGAGCGCATACCGAGGACAATTAATTGAAGCTGTGCCTGGCAGCATGTGCCTGAATATGTTAGAGGGTGAAATGAACAAACCAAAAATAAAAAAAAAGTAAAGAGAGAAGGACATACCAGGATCTGGTAATACAATCCAGTAATGGTTGAATGGATCGCACTCCGTGAAAGTCACAATCTGTACAATTACATACGTCGCTAAGAATATGCTGATATATGAAATCACCGTGACCTTCTCCCAGCGAAGTTGCGTGTGAAGTCTGCGGTAGGTATCAAGTAGAACCAGCTTTTGGAGCCAGAGACTAAAGGAATGGAGTATGAGAAAATAGCCGTCAATTCAGCGGTCCGCTCAATTTTGGACGTACTAGGAATTATAGAACACTCTGTTGGCGAGGACAAACTTGCTCGCGATCTCTCTGCGACGGATCTCCTCCGGGGTGAAATGGTGCGTATGTCGGAACGTCGCCGCCATATTGTTGGTTCCCCAGATGAGAATAACGTGGACCAAGGCGAGGCGTACGAGCGCGCAGAAAATGGCCCCCATTGAGAAATAATCGCCCAGAACGAACTGCGACCTTTTCCATTTTCGCACTAGAAGCCGAAGGGAGATCAAGCCGACTGTCACCCAGGTGAACACCCAGAGAATTATGAGGGTGGAATCCATTGCTTTCGCAGGCAGGAGGGGTGAGCCTCCCAAAGAAAAGTAAGGCAAAGAAAAGGAAAACGAGTCACAGGAACAAACCTTGAGACAAGGAGAACTATAGTAAGTTATTAACAGATAATAATGGAATGGAGGAGTCTTGACTGGGCCTGCTATGTCGGGTCTTTTCAATACCTAATAACTATGGCCTTCTCAACACTGAGAGGCATAGTTATTATTAAAAGCATTATTGGTATCTATTATGGGCTGGGCTTGGAAAGAAGTTCCCTACCCAACCAAACGTACGGAAAAATCAAAAACGGGGGGTTTTAATCCTTATTTACTAGCTTTTGGAAAAGTGAGGTGGGGAACAGTCAAGCTACCCGATCCGCCCTCTTCGTGTTCATTTCCGAGAATGCACTATTTACGTAGTTGGCCTATAGATAGAGGTTTTTTTCACAAGAGACTTTCTCCAGGATCGCTAGGAAAAGTCTCTGCGGTGTAAAGGTCCAATAACCGGCCAGACTGAGGCCCAAGTCTCAAAGAAAATTCGCCCAAGCGACTGAAGCTCCACCCGCCAAGAACGGCGGAAAAGGTAGGTTTTAACTAGTTAACCATACCTAGCAATTAGTTACTAAATTAGTAGCATTTTAATATAAATTGCGAGTCTCAGATAAACCTTGATCCCAGATCTTCCCTTGCATTGTTTAATCAACGACCCCCCTGGCTCGCCATCGCCACCCTCTCTCACAGGCGAACACGATGCATATCAAGACAGCATTATTATTGATCACTGGGGCAATTGCTGCCACAGCTTCACAAAGCTGGTGCGGCGAGGTGCCAGCCCAGCGATCGTATATGTATGTTGGAGGACAATATACTCTGAATAGCGCTGGCCAGCATGTCTTCGCGAATCAGATGTATGTGGAAAAACTGACCCCAACCGCGGGTGTGACCAAACCGTATCCAATTATCTTCATCCATGGACAAGCTCAAACAGGCACAGTACGTATCAAATGATAGCCCTTCTCCCCTTCCCGCCCCGGACGAGTTAACCGTGATGAGTAGAATTGGCTCAACAAGCCTGATGGAGGGGAAGGCTGGGCCTCTTACTTTCTCTCTCAAGGATATGCATGCTATATCCTCGACCAAACCTTCCGCGGCCGCAGTGCCTGGTTCCCTGGCAATGGGACGCTGAGCGTGTATAGCGCTGAGCTGTTGCAGCAGCGCTTCACCGCATCACAGCTATACAACCTCTGGCCGCAGGCGTCCCTGCACACCCAATGGAACGGAACGGGCGTCATGGGTGACCCGATCTTCGACGCTTACTATGCTTCAACGGTCGAGTTCCTTAATTCAGCCACTTACCAGCAGTCGACCGTCCAGGCCGCCGGCGCCGCCCTGCTCGACCACATTGGATCCCCAGTCATCCTCCTCTCCCACTCCCAGGGCGGGCTAATGCCCTGGCTCATTGCGGATGTGCGCCCGAAGCTCGTCCACTCCATCGTCTCAATCGAACCCACAGGCCCTCCCTTCCAGGAGGCCGTGTTCAGCAACATCTCCGCGCGCCCCTACGGGCTTACCGATATCCCCCTCACCTTCTTGCCTGCCGTGACCAATCCGGTCACTGACCTTGTGAAGCAGGTGATTCCTTCAAATTCGTCCCTGTATTCCGACTGCGTTGTCCAGGCCGATTCCCCCGCACCGAGGCAGCTCGTCAACCTCGCCCATGTGCCGGTCCTGGTCTTGACGACCGAATCGTCTTACCATGCGCCGTATGACTGGTGCACAGTCAAGTTCTTGCAACAGGCAGGCGTGCCGGCGCAACATCTGCAATTGGCGGATATCGGCATCCACGGAAATGGGCATATGGTGTTCATGGAGAAGAATAGTTTGCAAGTTGCAGCTGTTTTGAAGCAGTGGATAGAGCGTACGTGATTTGTGGGATGAAATTTTTATTTCAGCCAAAGCCGAATCTTTAATCATCTTCACTCGTTCCCCTCGCACGGACTACAGCACAAGGTTGTGGGAAAGGGTAGTCGCCTATTGTCTCTTCTCATACTGTATACTGTCCTTTACAGAGAACATAACAGAACTTAATACACAAGCACATATATACAGATAGAAGCTCAAAGAGTTCAAGTAGGGAAGAACCTCTGGTGGCGCGCGAGCTCTGCACCGGCCACTTCTTAGACAATCTGTAAGGAGAAGCAAAATACTCTCACATATAATCATCATTCCATTATTAATATCGGCTCAGTACTCAGAGTGTAGACATTGTAGGAACAGCTCCGCTACTTCTGGAAGGCTTCAGCTTGGCCCATGCAGAACATGAAGATCGCAGCACAGCCAACTAGCTGTGGTTACAGGCGCGTATGCATAGGAGGTTAAAACATAAATCTAGATAGGGAGTCATGGGTTTGGGTCAACACCACAACCATAGTAGATCTTAATAAAACCTATACTATTTGATAGAGTATAATAGAGTAATCTAATAGTAGTACTATTACTAAAAAGTATTAAGGATTAATAGAGTTATTTACTATAAAGACTAACCACTTTTAAATCTCTATTATATTTCTACTTAAGAGCTATAGAATTTAGCTATTAAGATAATAAATATCTTTAAAAAATAGAGAAAATTAGTTAATAAGAATAGTATATATTATATTAAGATCTACCTATAGATAGTAGAGTAATCTATATTAAACTATTATTATAGATAGTAGAGTAATCTATATTAAACTATTATTATTAAGAAATAGTTTATGTAACAGGCAAGGCCCACTGAATGCTCAAGCTCACTAAGTACTCACAACCTGCCTTAGGCACCAATGAAGTCCTGTCCAAGGCGGACACCAGCTCAATCACATAACCTAGTCCTAATCAACTCTATTATGTGACCTCATCTCCTATTCATACCTATCTTTTATATTCAGCCACTGCAGCCCTAGTTAGAACTCCTTAGCAATTTCTTACTATCTAAATCTAGGTTGTAGGTTAACTAGCTTCTAGCCTGCAATATTAAAAATCACTCACTACTAGATAGTTAGATAGAACTAGTGAGAGATAGTTAAACCAGCTAAACTAGCTAGATAAGTAGATAAACTAATAGTAATAGCTAAGATAGAACTAGTAAGAGATAGCTAAACCATAAATCTAGCTAAGTGTCATGGGGGCTGCGGCCTAGGGTAGAGTTGCATAACCGAACCGCTAAAATCGAATCCAACCCTCACCAAACTCACAGCGGTGAGGTTCGGTTCCTAGATTGCAAACTCACACCGGATTAGGGGTGGGTCAGGGTTACATCCAGGGGGGCATCAGTTAAACTACCAAAAACTGTTTTGCTTAGTAATCACTAATTTCTAGGATTTCTATAGAAATATTAATATCACTAGATAGCCTAGTATCTAGTCTATCTAAATATGAAATATTAATTCAAAATATCTAGTGGCTGGTGAGATATAAGGAATAATTATTTCTATCATAGATTAGTATAAAAGTGGTAATGGTTTATATATATATACATCAACCTTCAACAATCACAATATCTAAGAATGATTTTTAACCACTAACCATTCAACCCTACAGATATTGAATTGATATTATAGATATATATTATAATGACTATAAATACCATATATTTTATATAAAAATAATAATTTTATATAAGCATGCTAGATAGGCCCTAGGCATAGGCCTAAGATAGGAGAAATTGAATTCTAAAAACCATTAAAATTTTTGATATTGCCTAGGCCTACCACCAGCCTAGAGAGGCTAATGACTACCTATCTAGGCCCAGGGGCAGATTTTGCGGTTAAACTCGCACCAAATCAGAATGGATCAGGTTTGGATCCAATTTCTAAGATTTGGACTTGAAATCGCAGCGGTTCGGTCCCAACTGGGGTTCGACTCGCCCAAACTCAGACCAAATGCAACTCTAGCCTAGGGGGTAGGTGGTATATAAGCAGGTTCTAGGCTGATGATTCCAAGGGGAATCATCATTGTGACCTTTTTGGCATTGTGGATAGTAGATGCCTAGGACCCTACTTTCTGACACTAAGCTAAACTAGATAAGAGAGAGCTAAGAATAGATAATATAGAAAGTATAGATAGTATAAATTATAATAATATATTATTATAGATATTAATATCCCTAGAAGGACCTAGTAAAGAGTACCTACTACCTACTATAGTAAAATACTGTGATATCAACAGGTACATATATGATTTCGATGATATCTATCACATGTGCAATGATATCTAGTAGTCATTATTAATTATATACCTAGTATTTAAACCTCTCCATTCCTTATAGTTTAGGTTGAATATAAAAAGGATGGGAACCCGTTGATATCAGCAAAGAAGCATAAAAGGAAAATCTAGGGTGAAGAAGAGGCAGCATACATTTTAGATGACTTGCAGTCTAGAAACTATATGCTCTACCTTCAAGAAGTCCCTAATGTTAAAGTTAGTCACTGCTAGGCTTGGGATTGCATGCCCAGCAGACAAACTCACAAGCCCATTATTTGTTCCTACTATCGTTTTGCTCTGAAAGGCGGGACTAAGGGCGGAGGTATTATGCCTGGTTTGACTGGATGAAGGATCTGCTATGCTGACTTATGATGACGCAGAACGCGTTAAGTACTATCACAATAGCTGCTTTCAGCATATTATTTCTGATTTAGCCGACCTGCTCAGAGGCGTGTGTTTGAAAATAGATGGCTGGATAGCAGCCCTGCTAGACAGCAAAGTCATAATTAAGCCTTCTACCAATGCCATCCAAGACTAGTTTCAGTATGAGGGATATATATTCAATATTGACTGCTATGAACAACACAAAAAGGACTATAATAAATGGGAGAGAAATTAGAGCATCCTTTACATTAAACATCAGCTCGCGCATATAGGAAAGCTAAGTGAGACTGCTATCTTTGTGCAGGAGTGCGAGAGCCTAAAGAGCTAAGAGAAGTAGATTATTTCCCCTAAAACCCATCTAAGGTTTTGTTGAGTTGATTATTGGTGATTATCAGCGGGCAACCGCACATTGATAAATGGTGGCGCTGGCGAAATTCTGGAAAGGAGGCGTGAGGGCAGTTCATGGAGTACACATACAGTCTAGGTGGTATATGTGTTCCTCTGTTATTAAGGAGGTTGAGACTACCTTCTGCATGATATGACTTAGGTACCTTGCCACTTAAGAAAGGATGGGAAAGAATAAATATTTCTTCGGTAAATACTGGAACAGCAGACGGGTTAATATACTGCACTGTAACGTAATTCCCAGGCGAACCGCTATGCCGGGCGAGCCGCCACCTTCTGTCTTACCTTTGTAGGGCTTCTTTCTGCGCTTCTCTGTATCGTAGCCAATCACGGAGTCCTCGTATATGGCAGAGGAAAGGGGCTGGGCAAACAAAATGTTTCAGAATTTGCTATCTTGTGGATGCATGTCGCAGGGCTCGCCCAATCATGGCGTGCTTCTTCCTCGCCGGCTCTGTTCTGGCTTGCTTCCCCATAGTGACGACCAGACGAGACATATCTAAGGTACTCCTACAAGGTACCTAGGTAGTACTCAGATAGCTCTGGCTTTTGCGTTTTTCCGACGCCTTCGGAGACGTTTGGAGTCTCGATGGTAGCATCCGCAACTCCAACGATGAGCCATACCAGATCGCCCCAGCTTTCTTATTCACAATTTAGGTTGGTAACTTTCACACTTCCCGTAAGCAACTCCACTGTTCTGGAGACGCAGGAGCGTGGGAGTAGATCCAGATAACTTTGTTCAGGATCATTAACGTTTTTCAATTCGCGCAAGAGGTCGACGAGCTCGCATAGATTCATCTGAGAAGTTTCATTGTGCATGTCATGGTACAGGAATTCTGCACAGACTAATAAAGGAATAGGCATCAATGGATGCACCTTAGAGAGCAGTCAGCGTTTTGTATTTGTGACTATATCCTGGCGTGACATACCTTAGAAAATGGCAACTCTCTTAACGCGGAAGCGAATTGGATGACCGTGCTTGATGCTCCTAGTGCCAAGTTTTGATAATCAACACAGCCCATATCTGCATTTACTGAGTCGCCGGCCTCCATTGCAGTGTCTGCCATTCCTTTGCAGAAGTATATCATAATTGCCTGGCCGAGGATGTGGGCGAACAGCAAGAGCGGGTCAAAGGATTCATGTGGTGATGGATAGCACTGTGACAAAAGCTGCAGTCTGTGGGTCAAGAGATTCTCCAGCCATTTACGTTGATCTATACAGTTCATTGACATGTCACCATAAGCTTTTGATATGTGGTACTGCTGGATTTGCAGCAGACTACGACCACATATTGTGGCCATGATGAGACATTCATTGAATGCTGAGCGGATTTTGACCGTGGTTTCGGTCATGGCTTCAGATAGGAAGGGTCCCACATCGCAGATACTTGCTTGGAATGCCACATCTGGACCTGGAAGACGCGTGCAGATCTACCCGTCAACAGGATGGGACAATTAGCGGGAGACTTCTGTGCAGACGGAACCCGTATTCAATCTCTTACCACATGCTCATTTAGTGTTATAGGCCAATTGTCGCGCATGCTAATGACGTGGTCAAGGAAATAGGCCATCCAGAACACGCGGCGCCTCTCCTCTATTTCAATAAGGTCGCCGCACAGAGCTGAAGGGCAGTGATTATCAATTGGTCTGTCAAGGCTATGATATCGCATGCCCTGTACCAAACGGAATGCTCGACCAGCACTTAACCATGCTTGATGGTGATACGTTCGCATTGATTCAAACGTCACCACAAGGACCCATGCCTGTGCTAGCTCTGTGTTGGCGCTGCTGGGCTCATTGGTGGTAAGAGACTCAAGCATCTGTTTCGTTTCTCGATAGAGAGGCTCTGCCATATGACTGGAATGTGCCGACAGCAATGAGGCTATTGTCCACATGGCATATTGCAGGCATCGACGCGTCGCTGACTTATTGCTCGACTTGGACCATGAGAGGTACCTCTTTTGGTGCAGAATGGGTAAAGATTGGTGGACGCGGTCGAAGTATAGTTGGTCCCTAGGAAATACATTTAGCCACATGTTATTGCTTGGGGATGGAGTTACTCTAGGGCATAGTTACAATTCGGCGTGCAATATCGGCGAAAGAGGAACATGCTGGCCAAATGGACGCGTGGACACCAAGGCACTTTCTTTCGCACCCGACGCAGCGAGAACCCCGTCACCATTGTTTCCTGTAGTCCCCAGGGGTTCTTCTCGATAGGGCGAGGAGCGAGCCTTTAGCATTGCCTCCAGCTGCACAATACGACTTCTTAATTCTCTCAGATGGCCTTTTTTAGGTCCTCTGGTCCCACGCTGAGTCATTTCACATACAACACCAGTGTCTTGACAAACGCTACATTGTGGCTTCTTGCCATCGCACCGTTGTTTCCGCCGTCGGCACTCGTCACATGCAGCCTTTTGTGGCTGACTTCCGCGTTTTGCTGTATCTCTCATCTCGGTTTCAGTGTCCGATGCCATCTTGAATGAGTCGGAGAATATGACGGGGCTTCTTTTTCTCACAGGACTCCGTGAAAGAGAAAGCGAACTGTGTCTGAAGGACTTCTCACATAACCTCCTGGCGAAAAGATAAGGATTCCTTAATCGCTGCCGCGAATTCATTTTTAAATCCGCTATGTCCGATCAATCATTAGACATTCTTCGCGCGGAACTGTCAGTTTCAGGGCCAATCAGGACAGCTCGGTCTCCCAGCTAGTGCTTACTGCCTACTTCGGGTATCACACATCCCTAGATACAACTTGATTCTGGTAGGGTGCAAGCCCAGTAGGTGAATAATTAGTGAAATTAGTTTCTCCGACAGCCAAACCAAAATTGCCAGCCCAAAGCTGGAAATGCATGGGTGGTGCAAGGATCGCGGGGCTGAGTTCAAGATTCCGAAATGAGATGTGGAGCTCTCTCTTTGCTTATGAATGCACAGAACACAAATTGGCTGGATTTCCAAGTCAATTTCTGGCAGACACTAAGATCATTTGGGGAGCCAACGGCTTTGCTGGAGCCAATTTAGCAGGAGTCTGAGAGATACGACCTCCATCAACAGGCCCAGTCTTGTAGGGAAATCACTGCTTTGAGCCAATCTCTCAACGACATCCAAAAACTTCTAACGAATATAGTTAGTAATGCGGTTTTATTTTGGAAAATTATTTTTGTAACTGGCTAAACAAATATATCTTAGATTGTTTACCATGCTAGCCTCTTATATCCAATTGCGGTAGTGGCACGAACGATGGATGGACGTTGAAACAGGGAATGAAAAATCGGAGAAATAGTCGGCGAATTAGTTTTAAAAGCGACATCACCAGGCCAAATCATATAGCTCCATCACAGTAACAATTACTTTGCCGACGTGAGATGTCTCAGGTGCAATGATCTATTGTTGCAAATTGGCTCATTGTGAATTGTTCATTCATGTCCTTCTGGGTGATTGCTGGTATATATATAGCATATGATTCACGTCTTCTCCCATGGCAATTCAAACCATCCATTGTTGACTACATTATATACGCAAAGAGCAACTGCAACATTATACGACACTCCGGAATCATTCATCAGTATTATTGAGAATGTATATCCTTGCTCGAGGGAACGACGCTATCAGGGTCAACCCTATCACTGGTGTTGATGAATCACTGACCGTGCATGGTTCTGACTGGCTATGGGCTGTCACTGCTATCTATTGCTTCGCGCTCGTGAGTCTGCAACTCACCTCCTTCTAGACTTATCTCGTAATTGACGTTCCACAGATTGGTTGCCTTGTGATGTCTTTTGCCGCAAAAGAAAGCCAGCGGGTCTTTCATTACCTTTTCACCTTTAGTCTTCTGGTGGGCGCTATAACCTACTACGCTCAAGCGTCCAATCTGGGTTGGAGTCGCGTCGATCAGGTGAACAATCTCGGCAATGATGACATCCGCCAGGTGTTCTGGGTCAAATATGTGAACTGGATGCTGGCATTTCCTTCCGTCACTCTCGCACTTGGGCTGATCTCGGGTGTTTCCTGGACTACTATCATCTGCAACATTTTTGTTTCTCTCTTCTGGGTTGGGAGCTACCTTGCAGGTGCCTATGTGTCTTCCTCCTACAAATGGGGATTCTTCGCCTTTGGGACATTTGCATGGCTCATTCTCGCTATGAGCACCATCAATGAAAGCCGGGAAGCAGCTCACCTGGTTGGTATTGATAAGGATTACATCATGCTTTCAGGTTGGACGAACCTCTTATGGATAATCTACCCTGTTGCCTGGGGTCTGACCGACGGGGGCAACAGGATTGGCGTTACAGGAAGTTCGATCTTCTTTGGTGTCCTCGATACCCTCATGGTCCCGGTACTCAGCGCTGCCTTCTTGCTCTTCGCCCGGAACTGGGATTACCAGAAATTGAGCATTGCTTTTAGCGACAGCCGTCCTAGCCGGGAGACCGATGCCGCAGCTGTGCTCAAAGAAAATGCGCCTCATGCGTCTGCATAGCTTTCTGATTGCAAGACAACTCTGTTTGGTGTCTCTTCCACAGCCACTGGATGATAACTACAATCTCCCTTGGCTCTGTCTTCATGTTATCCTGATATTTTGTACATTTTGTATAGTTTTAAAGAATGCTCCATTTCACTACTTTAGTGTACGGGATTGTAAAGCGTAAAAACACTAGATTTCTAGGGTTTATCGTCACTCGTGTGATGGTATGGACGGGTCTAGGCTGACTGTGATAGCTAGTATATCCATCCATTCTCGCGTATTAAAGCCACAGTCTACGGATCTCCTGGTCTCAATCTATGGTCATTATATCGCAGAAAACATAAAGAATAAGACACATCAGCCACATACTGACATCACTGCTTTTCCAGCTCACACAAATCATGGATATCCTCTACTGATGATTTCCTCGATTCCTCCTTGCTGGTTCCTGCGATCATATTCATGCTTTTCTCCGTCTGGTTGTATTTGCGGAAGCAGAAATAGAACACGATAGCTTCCACACTTGGCGTCACTGATTCGCAGGTCCATGAGGCTCTACAGCTTCACCTGCATTGGTCGCAACCTCTCTTCTGTTGTATAGCTCTGTCCTTACTATGACCTACTGCAACTTGTTCCACACCTTACTTCACTGCCATATGAAAGCACATTAAGTGCTATTAGCACTTTGGTTACAGTTACTTAGCTTTAGTATTTAATTTAATTATTTAGGTAATTAATAATTTAAATAGATCTAATCATATTCAGCTGCTGTCTTCTATAACTTTAAGTATACTGTGATCCCGTTAGCAGTTATAAGGACTCCCCTTTACTAGTGGGTATATATCACATCCCTTTATTACTTCCCTACCTCCTTACCCTCTTATTCATATCCTGCATTCATCCCTTACTATCTAGAATATATAATAGTTTATATTATAGATCTATAAGTAGTGAGTAGGGCCCCTAGTTTATAGAAAAGATAGATTATAGTATATAACTACTCTCTATCTCCTCTAGCTTATAAAAGGCTCCTACTACTACCCTGAAAGTAGTAAATAACATACTTAATAGGCCTTACTTCTATCTCTACTATTATTATTCTTATATTACGTTTGGATTGTCCTTGACCCCTAAGAGGTTATTATATTACTACATCACTAGGCTACCTGGTTGGTAGGCCTCAGGCAAGTATAGGGTATAGTCCAGGGACTATCTCACCCCATTCCTAAAGTAGTTGACTAGTGAAGAACAGCAGAGACAGATCCCAGGGTGTGACACCTCTCTGGCCTCAAAGGGTGGATTCCAGCTACTATAAAGCTATTTTAGATATTTAGAGGTGTAAATACCTCTAGATAAGCTACTAGATATACTTTAAGGAAGTTAAACTTATTAATATAATTATATCCTAAGTGCATCTTTTACTTAATAAGGCCTCTGTAAGCATAGGGTTAAAGGGCTAAAATAATTAATATCTAGTAATTATAAGAAATAAGAAGAATAAGTAGGTATATAGATAGTAATAATATTATTATCCCTATAGACTTTATTAAAGCTAGGTATTAGATAGCTTCTACAGCTATCTAAGATAAGAAGATAATATCTTCTAACTATATAGCTAGTTATAGAGTTGCATTTGGTGCGAGTTTGGGTGAGTTCAACCTTAGTTAGCACTGAACTTCTGTGGTTTCAGGTCTAAATTTTAGAACTCAGAACCAAATTAAACCTAATCTGGGTTGGTTATAGTTTTACTACAAAAAACCATAGCTAGGCCTATACTAACTAACTATAGTTAGATTTAGTTTAATTTTAAGTTGGTTAAACTATAAATTTTAACTATTTTAACCCTTACTATTTCCTCTAGGGCCCCCTTTAGGGACCCCTCTAAGGCCCCCTAATAAGCATACTTATGTAAAATTATAATTTTTATATAAAATATATAGTAATTATAATTATTCTAATCTATATTAGAAATATTAATTCAATATCTATGGGGTTGAATAGGTGGTGGTTAAAAATTATTTAAAAGGTATAGTGGTTGTTAGACCTTGGTGCTCTTATATATATATCTCTATACTACTTTTATACTAACCTATAATAGAAATAATTATTCTCTTATATCTCAGTAACCACTAGGTATTTTTAAATGATATTTATATCACTAGATAGCCTGAATTGATGGCTATCTGGTGATATTAATATAATTTAAAAATATTTAGAATTTAATGATTTCTAGGTAAAACAGTATGGGTTGGTTAAACCTAACTTAAAAAACTATAAAAACTAAAAACTGTGGTTTTCACCTAACCTAGATTAGATTAGAGGTAGCCTAACCAAACCTAAAGTAGTTCCCTAGGCTTACCCCCCGAACCCGCACCGCTGCGAGTTCAGTGAGGTTTGGGTTCGATTTTTGCGGGTTGGTTATGCAACTCTAGGATGTAAATTAATCAATTGCTTCAAGGAAGGCCAAAGATGCTGTTACACAAGAGAGATATTTATAAATGCAATGGGAGAAAGTACATGGTAAACCCCCAGCACTAGCATCTACATAAGAGAATATGGTATTAAATGGATCAGCAGAGGCAGTAGATAAGAATAGCAATTTTTTTTATATAGATAACCCCTAGCATGGCTTCAAAATCATGATTTTAATGAGAAATCTACGATTCCGGTGACATCTACGATTCCGGTGTGGCGCGCCGGGGTGGGTGAGCCTAAGGCACGGATATGGGCATGCACCCAGCCGGGGGACGGGAGCACGCACAGTCAATTACAAGGGGGACAGCGGGAGGAGGACCAATCAGCAGGCAGAGAACAGGAGGGTAGGCAGGGTCGTTCAACCCCTAGGGAGTAGTATGGGAACCATGGGCTCCGCGCATGACACGTTACTTGGCTTTCCCATTCTTTGCGATGGCCTTGTAGATGGCTCCGAAGGTGCGCAGCTGGAATAGCACGACCGCAAGGCCTGCATATCAGTACCCGATATTCAGGGAGGTAACGGAAATGCTCCATTCCAGTCTGCTTGTGGGAATGACGTGCTAAACACGAAAAAGGTAATAGCAAAAGATATTGTTAACAAAGCTAAATCACGGCGCTTCTATTTAGGCCGGTTAACGCGTCGTGTGGGCGTGTGTGACAATTCCAGGAAACTGTGCGTGGAACGCAGCGGGTGGGGCTGCAGCAGACCAATAGGAATGTAAAGAAGTCGGAGGGAGCGCCGCCTCCTTTAGAGCATTACGGATCAAGGTCAGATTAAGAAGTAAAGCTCTATATATATTTAGGTTCTGGTATCTAAACCATAAAACACGGACGGTTGCAATTAAATCTACCTATGGACTCGAGACGAATGAAGGGCGAAATACCCCCGAAATATTGGATGACAAACTCAACTGGAAACCGCCGAAGATTGTTGAAATCAGACGTTAAGCCAAACTTGACAACACGGCTCGTAACAGCAATGATTGATAAAATCAAAGCATTAAACCAGACACAGCAAACACTCGAATTCTAGCACCAAGTGACCATATCAACCATTATATTCTGTCATGGCTGGATGGCGATGAAGACGCGCATAGCGACACTTAGGAAACGAACACAATCCCAGCAACATGTGCTAAATCATGTTATTTTAACATTGCGCCTTGCCATCTTCAAGTTGCCAGACAGGCCCAGAGATGGCTTTTTCGTCAATATCAGTACTGTTGGGCTTTGTAGCCTTAGGTACGCGGCTACCGATTTGAGGATTGTCGGAGATGGGATTAAGCCCCTGGTTAACGCCTGGTACTTCAGTGGTGTTGTAAAGAACGTCAACGCCAGCTGGAAGGTTGAAGTTGGAATACAGCGTGCAGGTCCGGCGGTCGGAAGTTGGGTCATTAAACTTCCACACGTATGAAGCGCAAGTATCTGGCCTATCTAGGCAGGCCTGAACACAATCGCATGCATTTTCAATATTCGGAAGCTCCACAGTTGTAAGGACCCCAGTCACATCGAAGCCCCGGGTGTAGCGAATACAGCCGTTATCTTGAGTGTCAAGATGCGGGCATATCTTTGCCTGGGCGCCCCCATCCTGAGTGGCAATGGCGCCAGCAGCTGCCATGGATATAATAAAGGCGATAGAGAAGTGCATTCTTTTCTTTTTCTATAAAGAAAAGATTAAGGAATTCCTTTAAACCGATCGAACTGCTTTAGGAATGATAGAGAAATTAATATCCGTGGGAAAAGAGACACTTTATGTTGCGGTGCTCTCTTCGAAATGGCAAGGTGGCCCTATTTATATAGTCCATTTTGGAACAGTGTGAGGTAAAAAAATGCACTGCCAGGGTAACCTCCACCAGCTTCTATAACATGGCAGGTAACCCTGACAACTAGAATGCTATCAAAAGGATCTTCAATGGCCTCACTACAAGCCATGGAAGTTTGATCACTAGATACATAACTAAAAGGGATGATAACTAAGTTTTAATGGCGCATTCTTGTCATCTTAGTACAGAACCATAACAGCAGCCTTAGTATCTAGAAGTCAATTCAATACTCCCTATCTAGCCCTGTAATTAATGTTATCCCCGCAGTCTCATCTAGGTAGGGGAATATATGTGGAACTATGGCTAGAGATAAGTGAGCTTATCTCCCAGTAAATCTGTTGTGTGACGTACCTAGATTATACGCAGGTAGAGTTAAACCCATTGATGGTGATTCAACAGGTAATGTATATAATTAGCAGTAGGTCTTTCTTCTTTCAGGAAACTTCATAATACTGGATATAATTTACATATTGAGTGATTTTATCTTCAATACGTTAATACGACATTGCTGACATGCTCGAAGGTCGCTGCTACAGATATGAATTTATGAATATTAACATTGCCCAAATGCGGTGTCAGGTATTAAAAAGATAATAACCGGTACGGTGAATACTTTTATCCCATTTTTGAGTTTTCTTTCTGTCTAGCTCCATTTTTCCTGCACACCAAATACCTCATGCTAGACTATTAAAAGAAAATCTCCACAAACTCTGCTTGATAGTTCCAACTAATAATTTAACATATTATAGCATTCCTTAGAAAGGAAAGGAGAGAAGAATGAAACACAAGAAATTCCTCAGACGCTGGTATATTTAATATTGATAAAAAAGGCATTATCGACCGAATAAATCTCGAGTTTTGCAGACATACATCTATGTGTTCGCATGCCTGTTTTGGGTAAGACTCCACTGAGGGTCGCGACGCATCGACAGCGACGATATTCAGGATAAAACACATTATAGATAAATTAGTATGCGCTGATTATTCCAGTCTGTACAACATCATGGGCCTCTCACTGTCCACCGGGAACAAGCGATGCTACACTCCAACTCAAGTATCTACAATTAAGTCTTTAGCAGGGCCCGCACGGAGGGCTTTAGGTGCCAATTCTCGAAATTGAACCCCCTGTTTGTGGAATGTGTCCTCAGAATGTCTAAGATGTAAGGGGCCCTAGCCTTGAATTGATGCATGCCGGCGCCAGCCTGTCTCTAATTTGTTGTCGATCCTGTTTGATTTTCTTTGGTTTTTTTGTACATACGTTGCAAAGCCGATGATCGACCTTCGCCGTGGCAGCCTTGCAGCTACACGAAGCTCTTACCCTCCAGCTCTCCAACCCAACATATCTTCCTCCCTTCACACCTACTCTATATACCAGAGTACACCTACGCATTTGCATCAGCTCTTGAAAATGGATACTTAATGGATTAGATGACATAATAGCCTTTGCATTCGCATACAGTACAGGGAAAACCTATTACCTAGGGGAAAAACTTGTACCAAGGCTTCACCATAAAATAATTACACCAAATTATTTTCTGCTCTGCATTCACAGAATCCTTGATTCAAGCTAACTGAGATCTGAGGGATTCAAGAAAGCCCTCACTGTCGAACGGCCTCTACTCTGCCGTACCTTTTTCCGCAAAAATTCAACAGTATATGCTTTTTGAATCTTAACTAGAGTTGCATTTGGTCTGAGTTCAGGTTAGAGTTGCATTTGGTGCGGGTTTGGGCGAGTTCAACCTTAGTTGGCACCAAACTGCTGCGGTTTCGGGTTTAAATTTTAGAAACTGAACCAAACCCAGACCCGGTGCGATTCAGTGCGGTTTTTTACCACAAAAACCCACCACTAGGCCTAGCTAGGCATAGCTAGGCTTATACTAACTAACTATGGTTAAATTTAGTTTGGTTTTAAGTTGGATAAACTGCTATTTTCAACCTAATATCTTAAGCCTATAAGATGTGATAATATCTCTCTATATACTAATTATTTTAATTTAAAATATTATTTATATAAGAGTTAAGATGCAGAGGTTTCATCTTAACCTAGTAAGTAATAGATTTAAGCTATATTAGGTGAGTTTATGGTTTACAGCTAGAAATATAATAAAATATATAAATATATATATAAATATTATAAGTATTTATGTATAATAGTGACTATAATAAATTATATCAGCCCTCTCATGCCTATTAATAATCTAAATATACCAAACCTAACTATAGTTATATTGAGAAAAGATATATAGCTTAAATAGATTTAATATAACTAAGAATGCGCATAAGAACTATATAACTAACTAAGTACTATATAACTGACTAAGTACTATATAACTAACTAAATACTAAAGGCACAATATAAGGCACTGAATCTAACTACAGTTAGATTAAGAAAGGAATAGATATTATATAAATATCTTTAATATATTTAACTAGGCAATATAACTAAGTATAAGTTGTGACAGTTAGCGGGGCGCCAGAAATGGCTCCCATTGAACCACCGCTCTGCCATCCACCACTACCTACTACAGCTGGGCATCCTACTGCCCTTTGCAGTATAGTGTTTACCTCTTTTAGGATAGTGCTATATCTCACCACTTTTGCCCTAATTCTCCTGCCACCTCAACATATATACTCTGTCTATATAAGCCAACACTGCTTCCTTAAATAATAACATACTTTATTATCCCCTTTTTCCTTTACTATATCACTTATTAGTGCTTTAGTCTCTTTTCTATAATACTATATTATCTAAGAATTACCTTTTCCTAGTATAGTACTATCCACTCTACTCTTTTTACCCCTGCAGCTACAGAGTCGCTAACAGATAGTTAGAAATAACTAAGACCTAGTACTATTGCTTGACTTAGCTTAAGCTATCCACTTTAACCTTTACTACTATTACTAGATTACTATAGATTTCAGTGTACAGTCATTACACCTATAACAGCTTATTCATAAGGCATGCTAGCTATTTAGTAATTTACATGCTACTTCTAACATGCCATACTATAATACCTTTACCTTAAAATTATAAGGATCATCTACACTCTTGCTTTAATAAAAAGTTTTTAGTAACTCTATGAATCCCGCGCCCAGAACACAAATGGAGAGGAAGCTTCCTAGATTAGCTAGATACCCAGCCTAGCTTCCATCCAGTCTGCAGCGCCTTTTGACACCTGTGAACTAGATTTTATCTCCCCCTCCATACCTATTTTTTGAGCTCTGAGGATCAAATCTATTTCTGTATCACTGCATTAGTCATGAGCCAATAGCAAAAATGCCGCATCTCTTTCATTTCTGTATTTAATAGGCAAGGCATGAGCTGCAATAACTGGATACAGTTAGGCACAAGGCAGAAGATACCAGACCCAAGGCATTGTTCCTAGACGCAGATAGACACATCAGCAGCGCTGTTTGGGATTTATGGGTTATATGAATTCCCCTGGTTCGCTTCTTCCGAGAGAGAAATAGAAAGGTTGACTGGACAGCCTGAGAGAGGATCTATAAGGAGACCAACAGAGCTTCTAAATCTCCAGTAATTACTCAATTTTCATGTGCTTCCCCTTCCCTCTTTCTAATTGCCTTCCCAGCACACTCCCTCCCCCCCCTAAAAAACCCCCAAACATTTCAATTTCACACAATACAATATGCCCCCTATATTTCAAGTGAACAACTTAGCCATGGGCTCCTCATGGGAAGCCATTCCCCCCTCATAAATTACCTAATTTATGCTCCTAAAGAACCAGCAACTCCCCTTATCCTAAACATTATCCTGAGTTCCTCCTGAGCACTCTGCCTATTCTATAGTATTACCTCCCTGTATAGCTACTAGCCAAGGTCTACATATATCTAAGTTTGAAAACTTAGCTATATGCACCCCTTAGCCTATAAATTTATATAGGGGAGATTCCTATAACACTATCAGATATACTAAGTTTAGAGAGTGCAAAGCATAGTATAACACCTCCTTATAAACTAGTACCCTATATACCTCAAACACCTCACACCTTAAATACAGATAGGGCATACTATAATTCCTAAGAAGTCACTAGGACCCTAACTAATATATCCAGCAATCCAGGGGGGATTATAGAGGCTGCCCTGCCATTACTAAGTATATCTAGCCTAGAAGATAGCTTTAAAGAAATCTTCTAGCTTATAGATATAGAGGGCACTATTCCCATTAACCCTATAATACTTACTAATAATGAGTCCTAGGTAGCTAGTAATTAATGCCAGCCAGTCCTACTATATAACAGCACTATTAATTTAGAGATAATCTATCTATATCCTAAACCTCCACCTATTCTTTATAATATATATAGGAGTTATTAAGACTTTAGTAAAGGTACAGACAGCAGTAATGCTAGTATTTAGATAAATTATTATCTATATATCTATAGTCATCCAGATTTGCGCTTGTTAAATCATAATGCTAAACCTAACCTATCCTACCTAAGTAGTACTAGTAAGCTATCTAAAAACTCTAAGTATAGGAAATAGTAATTAGATAGATAAGCTCTGAAATGGCTCTAAGTTTCTAATAGATTATAGACTAGAGAGAATTTAGTTACTAGCCTCTATTCTTATTTCTTAACTCTACTCCTTAACAGATATTTATAGTTTCTATCCTAGCTATTTAAAGGTGTCCTATAATAATATATACCTAACTCTATACCTATATATAAGGAAAGAAATATACAGGTATAGTATTACTTAACTATCTATGCAGTGGATGAATAATTATAGTAGGATATTAGTAAGGCCTATAGGATATCTAGAAAGGGTAAACTAT